CCGTTTCATTGAGGGGGCGTTCGACGCTCGTCGATTGTCGCGTGTGTGTTATTCCTTCCAGCGTCAGACGTCACGCGTTATTCAGCGTCTCTTTGTTGAACAATCGCCCCTCAAAAACGGGAAGTAAGAAAACCTCGCACGAGAAAAAAGTATCGCGTGAGAGAAGAAAGGGAAAAGAAAAACGAAGCGTTTCCATTGAGACTTTTCCTCGTAATCACATCGAATGTCGTTTCCTTGCGAGCATTAGTATCGTCTCATCGTCATTAATTTGTTCGTTAACAGAAGAGAAAAAGAAAACGTACACATACACATACACACATATACACCAGCTGCAAAAGTAGTGCCTTTCTATTCTCGTTCGTAAGAAGCAGGAAACTTAGCTGATTAAAGAGAAAAAAATAAAAAAGTGAAAAAAAAAAGAATAAAGATCAAATCGATCGATTTCTCTCTTCTATGTAAAGATACGCGTAAAGATACGCGCGAGAAGTCCGCGACGAGCGTCGTCCGAATCGTTACCCGCGTGTTACGAGCGCAGGACGCCGACACGCGCTAGCGAGACGAAGAACTCTCTTCTAGTGCAGCACGAAATTGATAGCTGAAACACGCTAGAGCGGTAGACAAGGCGAAACCTTTGATGCTTGGTGCGTGCTATTTAACGTAACGTGATAACCCCAACGCGAGGGACTCCCCTCATGAGAGATTTCAGATCGTCGACTCCTCATTCCCGCAAGACAGCGGGTGAAATCGGGAGCTCTCGCGATATGATGTGCAACACAATCCTGTAACTTACGGGGCACACAAGTCCGATGACATATCGCGGTTACTACTGTTATAATTCGCGCTGTTACAATTCTCACACAGAGCTCTTCCAAAGAATCTTCGTAGTAAATGCGACTGACCATACCACCAGTATCAAAGGATTAATCAACGTATGTGTCTTACGTAGAGGTCTCTAAGAAAATTAGATCTAGATTAAATCCGACGTCTTCTTACCAGAGAACGAAATAGTTCCCTAAGCACACATAAACACAAACACACGCGCGCGCGCGCGAGAGAGGCACACGTTACGCCGTCGCTGCGATTAATAGAGACGCTATTATCTGTTTACCGAACCGTTAGAAAATCTATTGACGTCAGATCGCCATCCGGCGTTGTACTGTTACGCATTGACATGATATTTTCTCGAACACACTTTTTGCCCCTCCCTCTACACATACACACACACACACACATTCCCTCACTCATGTACACGCTCGATCCTCCGGAGAAGTGAACGAGAAGTATCGTTTGCTCGCCTGCCAGGTCTTAGGCACGTAATGACGTACTTATAGTGATTTGAACTTCATTTCCATAGCCGTGTGACCGAGAGCGGTAAGGATACAAAGCGAAACGCGCCACTAGAGAGCGATAGAACGAGTAGTAGGCTGCAACGAATATAAGAAAATCAGCGGTGCGACAATTGCTAGCGCAAATTGGGCTTCACCGACTTCACGGTAGAACGAGCTGAGCGATTCGCACCTTACCCGCTATGCTTCGGAACAGAAACCTTTGGAAATTTTTCTGCCGTTCGCGTTTTGAAAGAGATGACTGTTGAATCACGTATATATGCACATGATTGCGTACATGTATATATATACATGTCGTTCCGCGAGACACTGAAGCCGATTAATTACTTGTTGCTCACTATAATACCTTTCCAGCGCGTGAGATAAGTGAATTCCAACGCCGAAGAAAGTTCGATTGTTTGGCAAAATCGAAAGAAAAGAAAATTCGGTTACGTTGCCGAGTCACTTATACCCCTCGATATTTCCCGTTTCGTTCAGCCTTACTCGTTTAGATGAAAGATTCAAATTATCTCCGATCACATGCGCAATTGCAATAGAGATTCGTTCACAAGTAACTTTGCGATTATTTTCTTTTTTTTTCTTTTTTTCCTCATTCGAATCTTTTCAACTTTTGTGTGGATTATCGCTTGATATTTATATCGCATTAAAAGTGGTATGTTAACAACGCGATAGAATGGGATCAATATGTGTATTTGGAGATACTTCACAGTGTGTACGAGGCTGGGCCTCCGTCATTTCATCTTGACTCACTTCTTGTAAATAATAAATTATTCTACGTTAAAGAGCAATCCCGGATCGTCGACAACCCCGACTAAAAAAAAAAAAAAAAAAGAAGACAACACTTTCGTCGTACGTCGTTGCATCACGATGCGCGCACTGCGCTTTAAAAATCGAAAATACATATTTTTGTAATTATATAATTCGCTAAAAGGAAAAGAAACGCATCTAACGGTGAAAACATTAAACGACGATTCAGCGGTAATTTGTATATTTGTAGATACTCGAGTAAAAAGAAGAACAAAGGAAAGCTTCTATAAACGCTTCGTTCCACCTCTTTTTCGCATTGATCATCCACCCGTCGCTCGTCGCTTCGAGACACATTCGATAACGATAACGACAAACGACTTTCTCTTTTTGGACTGTCCCTGAAATTTCTACTTACTACAGCAATAGGGAAAAGAAAGAGAGAGAGAGAGAGAGAGAGAGAGGAAACTTCGAATAAGAAAGAAAAGCGTGGCCTAAGCATCTACAAAAGCGAATACAAATCGTGTATCTTATAATTTATAAATAGTCCTCGAAAAACGAGTTAGTAGCGTATTCTAATTTAATTTCCCATATTTCATATTGTACGTGGTTCCTAATTTATTATTACTATTATTATTCATTAATATTATATATTATTATGACTATCGGTTATTGTATTAGAAATTATTATTATTACTTTGTATCGGTAAAATTATTTATAAGGACTTGTTTGAGAAGAGCGAGAGAGAAATGTATGAGACACACAGTATCGAAACAAATGCTGAGAATGGAATGCGTGATTGTGTGCATTGTGTCGCATTTAAATCCGGAATGCGTGTGACAGGCAGAGAGCTATCGGATGACACGAAAGGAAAGAAATTGGCGCTTGTTCTCAGTTTGAAGACTAACTCAGGATTAGTACGACCATTGTAAGCTGTAGGTAGCTATATGTAGCTATAAGTAATGAAATTACAAACGTCCTGGACTCGCGAGTCATGAAAACCGATGTCTCCTTGCGCGCCACTGATGTAAAATCAAAAATGTGCAGTAGATCAAGCGTAGTAGAGACAAATTTTGCAAAACAACGCGCATCTGTCTCGGTAAAGTTAAGGGTCTTTCCTTATACTCGCAAAAAGGGGAACCTACCAAAAGAAGAATCAGCGCGTCAAAAGGATCGAGGAGATTCGAGTGGATACTCGAAAACACCTAGTTTCTTTCGTATCGTCCGATGTTTAAGTGGTATTTTTCTTAAGATAATGCTTTTTCCTAATTCTCGGCCAAATTAGCCAGTCAGACGAGAACCTTATAATGATTTACATCGTGTAAATTATAGTGGTCATAGGGAGCACAGCGATAAACCAGCTTCGGAAGAGTATATTTAGCGTGACGACCGACTTTAATGTACTACTACTGATGACATTTCAGTACATCAAACAGCGTCGCGTTTCGTATCCCGCGCGAAGAAGATCGCGAAAAGAAACGGCAACCGAGGTGTCGTCGTGTGCGATGACACACGCGGGCGCAGTTTCTCTTTCCGTGCCGCATCACATCACAGAAAGCATCACACAGAAAGCTGCTCTTGCGATACAGTTTCGCCGAATAAAATTGTTTCTAGCGAGTCATGTTGAGTTAAATACAAGACAACAAGCATCACGAAACGACATCACGGCTTGTCACAATACGAAAAAAAAAGAAAAGACACGCAATATTCATTATTGTCGAATATTGTAAAAATTCAGATGCAGAATTTCTTGTTCCTAGAGCCACGACGTAACTCACAATCTAACGAGCGATACGTTCTAAAATAATAAAAAAAAAAAAAAAAGAAAAAATAGGAAACATTACGCATAATCTCTTCTTCATTATCGCTTACCGAAACTTACGTTTTCGTTGAGAATCCTTAGCGTGGCGGGCGAGGATTCTAGCGTGTGACAAACGGCACAAGACCGCCGAGAGAAAGAGATGATACAACACCGAGCAAAGCGTAGTCTCTATTCGCCGAAATGTTATTACAATTCACAATCTGCAAAGTAATGTGTAATATTTCTTATGTTAATTAACACCGATTAGTTATGTCTTTCTGGTTTATATTAAAACGATAAGATTATTCATCAATAACGTTTGTACACTTGTTAATTATTCCGTCGTTGCACACACACACACACACACACACACACATACATATACAAACACGCGCGCGCGAATATTGTCGACCTTTTGCTGAATTTTCTTCGAGACTCCGTATTGCGAATTTTTCAAGATATCTGAATTCTTTTGTGTTTTTATTCAGCGTCACACTTTCTCACGATTGAATATCCCGAAATGGAGAATCTTCTTCGTGCAATGTCCAGTTCACGCGAGCGTCTTCATACGCGCACTTTACGACGGCGGATGGTGGGTACCCCGTCCGAGATACCAAACCGTTATTCCATAGTATGCTGTCCGTTGTTAATGTACCAAAGACATCAATTAACTAAAACGATTAATTGTTTAGAAGTGAGAGCGAACGCACGCGCAAATCGCGCGCGCGCGAGCGAGAGAAGGAAGAAAAATAGGAATTGATCCAAAGGAAAGTGCTAAATGACATATTAGCTAAACAAAAAGAAAAAAAAAGATGTCACCGATCGGCAATGTTACATCGAAACATTGTTATTATTTTTGTAAAGAAACCATGTACATGTATTAACTTAGCGTGCTCTGCGGATGGAAGCTTACGAGATATGTTGAATATTATCTATTATTATTATTATATTATCTATTATCATTATTAATATTATTACTATATTATGATTACTTTTATTATTATTATATTAAAAAATAAAAACCTGTAATCTTGTTTCGAAATCTTTAAGTATCATGTGTACCGACGCATTAATGCGCTTCACTGTCACACTCTATATGCCTTATTATACTAACATTTATTCCACCGTATCCGGAGCAACGTTGTGTACGCTCGCAGTATATCCAAATGATGCTTGAAGAATAGATATAATTTGTACTTACGATTTAACACGTTCATCACAATCCCAGAAAGTGTACTGCTCCAAGACCAAGATACAGCTTAATGTTAGCTAATGTTTCACTTTGTCTCTCACTGCAGTTTTATCTGGTTGATTACAGGAATCGGTTAGCGTTATGAGTAGACCAAATTCAACGTGAATCAAACTCAAGTCAATCTATCAAATATTATTTATTAAGATCGCGAAATTTTCATGTCTATATATCGGTTATTTATGAAGAACTTGAATTGAAAAGAGTGAGATCAATCTAGAATATCTTGTTTCTGGTTTTGAATTAAAATTATCTTGTTTCTGGTTTTGAATTATATTTCAGGTACACAGTTAGAATATCATTTTATTATGAATTTTTTTTAACAAATTTTTTCCTGTTTACATATGTCTTCCAAAATGCTGGAGTATGCGACCATATAAGTGCCTCTATTTGTGCGATAGTACTCGGTCTTAAAGAACTTTTCGGTTCCCATTTTATCACAGCCGTTGTAACCTCGTCAAATTCCTGTCTGGAGAGATTAAGCAACGCAGACGCCATTCCTTCTTGTTCATTATCTGAAACTATTTAAAAACAAACGAGGTTACATACGTGCGCTTTGAGTGATCAGTTTTTTCATACAAAATATATTACATTCGCCGGATGCAAGAAGATCCGAGAGTTGTTTGCTGATATTCTTTACGTTGACATCCAAAGGTGTCACTGGAAATGAACGCATAAGTTTCCCTGCAAATATTCAATACACTTAGTGTTATTAATTTTGAATTCCGATTTAGACATTTTTAAATTTGACACATATCGTATCTAGATATTTGTATATCATAATTTCCACTTTATCCACATCATAATAAGGAGAAGCCAAGTAACTCTTCGTCTTTTAATTAACAGATACGATACGCAAATCTTCAACCGATTTGTCGGAAATATATTCCTAGACGAAAGATGAACATACCTAATAAAGAAAATGCACTATACATGCAAGGATATTTCCGGAAAATGATCATTGGCAATAAAGGAGTTTTAATAATATTCTTGTACGCCCAATCTGGACCGTTTCTTTTCGCAACAAGTATAATGGCCATCTCTAAACCGTCTTGTGGTGTTTCTGTAATGTATTTAATGTAATTCGCGATTGTTATATCATACAGATAGAGACAGCGCGAAAGATAAACATACCTGCGAGAGCGGTCATAAGCTCATCGATAATATCGTCGAGTTTCATTTCCTGAGAATATAGGTAATGTTTCGTTATAAGCATCTTCAATGATGATAACTTCATGTAAGCAGTGTCGTTTTGTTGCAAGATGAGAAAGGCCATGCACTTTGGTAACAGTCCTGCGATAATAATACAATAACAATAAAAATTCTTTAGTCGAAACTCTTCGGTTCCATTTTCTGATTTTATCGATAACAAACCGGCTACTTTCTATGATAGAACTACGTAAAAGATATATTAATATTGCCAGGAACATAAATAACTACAGTAATTACTCGGTAAGGGCGAGCGATTTGTTTCCATTGAACAAAATCAAATTCGGCTCGAAAATCGAACAAAATTTTTTTACTAATTTGTCACATGTGTCAGACATGTGAGATTGAAATATATCGATCCCCGGCGATATTTCAGTCATCGAAGTGAAACGGATAAATTTTCTCAATATGCGCCGCAGCGCATACCTTTGTAATCGTTGACATGTGGAAAAATTTCGGGCCAGCTCGTTAAAGCCATATACAAAACGTTTATGGCACGGAAACCCATGCAGTAGAGAGCGTCGCAGCACATGATGCGCACGGCTTCCCTGTCATTCTGCAGACGTGCCAGTGCAACGTATATCCTAGTGAATATTTCAACTTCTGAAGCCTACGAAAAATGCAAAAATGTTAACGTTAATATCGATTTTACCGTGTCGCGTAAATAAATGACAATCATCTTGCTTTACTTCTTCCCCTTTTTATCACACGAGTGCAATTAATAAAAATAATATCCACAAAGTACACACCTTTAATTTATTACTTAGTTTAAATAAGTTATACTGGATACCAGCTCGTATGAAAGCAATGACCGTTGGTTTCAACCGCTCTAAATCAATCAAAAGCATTATAATTTTTTGTTCGCATCTTGACATTACTGGCGCCGGTGGAGTGAATGAATTGTCCATATCGATACGGTTATTATTACAATACTGCGTTAAGAACTCAATTATATATCTGAAAGAATCGGGAAATGCGTGTTAATTTAGTTAGAACGATCTAAGCAAAATTATGTAGAAATATCTTTCTCGTACATGTACATTTGTGTCTGAAGTAATTAAATATATAAGTATTTACGATAGATTGTGAAAAAAGCATTGCACTAACTTGGCTATAATACGAGGTCCACAAATACTATGTAATTTCTCTACAACGTCGTCATGTACACAATCTTGCCAGTTACTTTTCATAAGTCTCGTCAATTGTTTTGTTACAAATGTACCTGAAACACAACATAACGTGGCACTAACGCGAATGTAACGTGATATTTATAATGAAATCATATTTCGCAATTGTTCGTTACTTACCTGCACATTCAGTAGTGCTACGCGCCTTCTTCCTTTTTTTATATATAAATCTTTTCACGCCTCTTTTAATATTATTCTCAATGTATTTAAATAATTGATCCTTTGGCGTTAGAATTTTGTCGACATCTTCATCTGTATTATTTACATTACCGTTATCATCCTTGACATCAGCATTTTTTATATCACTACTCGTTTCACTATTGTTATCTTTAACATCATTTTTTATGTCAATTTTTATATCATTATTTGTATCAATATCATCATCCCTATCATCATCACTTTTTATATCATTATTCATAACACCATCATCGACGTCATTATTTTTTATATCATTATTCATATTGCCATCATTATCTTTTACATCGTTATTTATTATATCATTATTCGTATCATTATCGTTATCCTTGACATTATTTTTTATATCATTATTCATATCGCCATCATTGTCTTTTACATCGTCATTTTTTATATCATTATTCGTATCACTATCGTTATCCTTGACATCATCATTTTTTATATCAATATTCATATCATTATCCCTGATATCACTAACCCGTTCATTTTTTAAGTTATCATCATTATCGTCATCGTCATTATCAACATGAGTGATTTCTATGCTTTTCTCTGTACACTCAGACATCTCGAGATGTAATATTCTAGTTTCTTTATTATTAACACAGATTTCTTTCTTTTCCGTTTCAATATTTATTTTGTCATGAGATTTCCTTGTCTTATCATCATTAATATAATTTTCGATATTTTTCTTTTTCAATGATGATGAATGTAAATCTTCCTTCACAGACCTTCTATCAGCATCTATTCCGATGTAATCGACAGTGTTCTGTTTATCTTTACTTATTGCACAATTTTCCTCGCTGTTAACCGATAAATGATCTCCTTGAATTTGAGTGTCTAACGTTTGATCTTCAGTAACTCGCTTCTTTGACATTTCAGTATGTGTATCTTTCCCCACGTCTTTCTCATAGTCATAACTCTTATTCGTAAGAAACTTTAATGTAGGTACAACTAAATGATGGGATGTAACGCGCGGCGATGTATCGCACGTAGCCTCGACTGTATCAGTAACTTTATAATTTTCCGAATCTTCACAGGAAACATTAGGTAATGCGTATCTATTAGACTCCTCATTGTTTGTCGTGTTGGGTAGGATATTATCACGTGATATTTCAGACTCGTTGCAGTTGTTGAATGTCCTTATTGTTGTCTTCGTTGATGTAGTGCCGTTATTAATAGTGTTCGAGTCAATCAAGACGTTAGCTGCGCTTACTGATGACGATTGTGCAGTGCTGTTAACGAGTGAAGAAATATTGTTTTTATCAAAAGAATCTTCAGTCTTCGTAAAAAATACATTGCTCTTTATCGAAGGTTTCTCATTGAATAATCTATGTGTTGAGGTAGATTTGACAAAGTTGTTTGTGATGCGTTTGTCACTCATCGTACAATCGGTTTTTAGTTTAATCGATGTACAATCTTTTGATGTCTGTGTATTTAGTGAGGGATTTACGAGTACTTCAGATTCAACTATACGTCCCATTCTATGGTGAATAGAATTCTTTTCATTATCCGATTGAGAAAACGGCGTTTTTGAGGTATGCGCGATTCGTCGTTTTCTCACCGGCTCATAAAATTCGCAACTGTTACTAGAGCAGGTTTCAATCTTCAACTGTTTATTTGAACGTACGGTTAAATTCATTTTCCTCTTCAAGTTCCTAAGATTTTTCATCAGTAGATTGTCGGATTTTTTCTTATTGTTAGAGACTTGTGTGTGTGTGCTTCTTCTTGTAATTGTATCATCAATATTATCATTAGGACAATTAATGGAGCTTTCATTGTAAGATGACGAAAGTGTCATTTCAGTTGCAGTATAACTAGTATCAACAGATTCTATAGTATTTACTATATTATTTGCATTTGGTGAAACATTCATATGTGTCTCGTCAGTGCTTATATGCAATATCGTAGAATTATCTATAACAGATTGCACTTTTGCAACCGACTCCATTTCTGTAAGGACTCCATTTCCAGGCTTCACTTTTGCAATAGATTCCACGTCTGCAAATCTGTCTTCTGTCGAATGAACTGAAAAAGTTTTATCAGATAAATCAGACTGATTAGTAGTTGTCTCTGCAATAGATAACTGATTAATAACTGGTAAAGTGTCTTCATGGTTCGTGGAAACTACATCTTGCACATCCTGTAGTGAAATCGTTTTATGAAGGTGTTCAACTTTCCACGAGGATTCGCTTTTAAGATTATTTAATCGTTTTAGTTTCACCTTTTTCATGTTACATTTACGTGGTTTTTTTGGCTTAGTACTCCGTCCGCTTTCATGATCTTCCTTTTTAGGAAGCACTTCCTTTCTATTATCGAGTATGAACTCTATCGCACTCTTGCAGATATTGGCAAGTAAATCCGAATTTACTTGCGAAGCAACAACATTACAATTTGTAGCGATACGATGGCAACAGTGTTTCTTATTTATTCTTTTCGTCATTTTTTGTAAATGTTTCTTCGTTTTTTGTACTTGATTCTTCATTTTACGTTTCAACAACTGAATAGTTTTTTCCAGGTTTCTAATTGATGAAGAATGCTTAGTCATTAAGTTTGGATTACAGGATAGATCCGTTACAGTTGTCTTATACTTAATGTGATTTTCGTCCTTAAGTTTTACATTCACTAGGTCTTGTGCTGTAATAGACGAATTTCTCGATTCAAATTGCAGATCATGTGTGTCATCTACTGAATTGTAATCAATTGGTATCGGTAGGTGTGATGAAGATAATACTTTAGAAATAGGAACTGTTTTGTTTTTATCTGAACATCCTGATTCTTCATTTGGAACATTTCTATTTGAACATTCTTGTTCCTTATCTTGAGTATTTTTATGAGAATGCTGTGATTGTTTATTTGGAATATTTTTTCCTGCATATTTTAATTTTTTATTTTGGATATTTTCATCTAAATGTCCTGATTCTTCTATTGAAACATAAAAATTAAGAATATAAGAGGAAAAGAAAGGCATAATAAGAATATATACAAGACAAAAAAAAATATATAAGTTAATATGATTGTATCGAGTTAACTTCTATAAAGATAATGCAATTTATTTTTTTTTTATAAATACTATGCAAATCGTGATTGCAGACAATCAGTAGACTGCAACTGTCGAAATATTTACTTACCAGATAATGGAGACAATGGCTCAATTAAATCTGGGCACACACTCATTGTTTGGCAAATTTGTTCAATTGGTAGTGGGTACAAATGGGTAGTGCACTTTGCACAAAATAATGGATATGGATCATCTTCCAAATGATAAAATTCATCGGTCATTATATTTTTTTCTTGCACTTCAGGTTTAGTATTTAATTTGATGTCATCCAATGATACATTGATACCAATATCTGAACTTGATTTAGTTTCTAAAAATGTAAATGTACACAGTAATTATGTGATAACAAAGAATTATTTGTTTGCGTTTTTGTACTTACTCGTACTTGGTTTAATAGTATTGCTATCAATTGATGCAGTAACATTACTTTTGTTTTTCTTGACTTCTGATTTCTTTAAAATTTTTAACTCATGCTCCAACTTTTTTATTTCATCTATAAAGGAAAAATGAATCCTCTGATTAAAAATGCAAGGAACAATTTTAGTTTTGCTTTTTATATCAATTAGATGATATGCAATGAAAGAAACTAAGTTTTATTTGTTGTTACCTTCAAAGGAAGTTTTTTGCAAGTCAAACTCCATCATTTTAGCAGAATATTCATCTTCCATTTCTTTTATTTTACAAGTTAATTGTTGTATATTTTGTTTATCAGCAGCTCCCAATACTTCACATTCTTTTATATTGTTCTTAAGTTCATTATTTTCTTGTTTAATCTTTGTAATATTCTACAATCAAATGTTATATTATTGATATAATTCTGCTGAATAAATTTATATTAATAAATTAATATATAGCAATAATAATAAATAATAAAAATAATTTAAGAGTACATTAATTAGTAATTTAAATTAGTATAACAATATATCTTCTTACTTACAAGTTCTAATTCCTTTGACTTATCCATAACAGATTTAAAATTACACATTACATGTTTGTTCTCTTTCTTTATAGTTTCCAAATTCAATTTCAAACGTTCAACATCTTTTGTTTTGTCAGTATATTGTTTTATTAAATCACTGAAATATATATAAATTTTATTCTCATGAAAACATCAATCAATATCTTTTTAGCAAAATAATTGACTTTGATAATTTAAATATATATTTGTATATATACGAAAAATGCATAAAACAATCTTAAAAATATATAAAATTACACAGAATATACTTACTTTGTTTTCCATATTTTCTGTTTCATCAATATAAGTGTATCCTTTGTTTTTTCTGGTTGAAACACATTCTCCTGAAATTTTTAATTAATTACTTCTTATTTTTTTATATTGCATATATATTATCATTTACTATTTTTATATTTCTCGAAAATATTATAGAAGTATCACAAATACACTAAACGAGGTTATATCTTACGATATATTTTAATATACTTGAGTAAAATAAAAGTAAAAAGTATGAGATTAAATAAAAATGAGAATAAATGATTATGAAATAAACGAATACCCATTATTAAAAAAAACTTTAGGAAAACATTCGTCGTCTAGAATACAAGGTCGGTTTAATAAACATAACCTCTCCTTACTCTACCTATACACACTAATGCGCAAATTGATTACACCTATATCTAATTGCACAATGCTTACAATAGTATCAGAGAAGATTTGCATGTAATTGTTATGATCCATTCTGTATTGACCTGCAGAAATATGAAGCTAAATGCGGTAGATATGAGGAAATTTCGGCACGACGCACGTTTCCACGTTCCCTCCCTCTTCTTCTTCAAACTATAGACTGGCACTCTGTTGTGATACCTTTATCCACTGTCAGACATAAAGCACGTGGAACGAGTAAATTTTGGCATTTTCACGCTATTTTAATTATTTAGAACAGCGTCTGTTTATCGCTTATTGATACTTTTCGCCGGTAATCGATCAACTTTCACTCATGTAATCGATTACTCGAACTCAATTTATTTCGACTACGACTACAATTGAACCGCGAATTTCCACTATAAACGCGATCCATTAGGCACTACAAACGTTTTGTATGGTCTAGTGGATCGCGCTTTAAAGCATTTGTAGCGTCTAGTGGATTGAACCCGTTATTTCTGTAAATTAGTTCCAATCTCTGCTACAAGCTTAGAGTACTTTTTTTAACGAGGAATCGAGATAGTGATAGCTATAAACAACATCTAGCTAATATTTTTTTCTGTATTGTACTGAGACAATTCAGCAATAGATAATACATTTTTAACCTATCCTGAAAAATATTTAGACCACGTATAACAAAGATAGAATAAAGCCAGCAATACATGATGCTTGTTTTCGTGCCAGATTGCTTGCTGGATATAAATATTCTGTTTTGATGGTGCATTTTCATCCATTTTCAGGAACTGTTAGATAAATATTAATCTTCCTTGTTGTTTATTTTGATTGAAATAGTCCCATTCGATAAGCAACGCATTTTTCAAAATAAAAAACACTGAAGTCAGGTTTATAGCATCTAGTTTATTATAAAATAGATGTTCACCGCCGTTATCATTTATATATATATATATAAAATATAGTTTAATACGAATTTGGATTCAAAGATTGATGATATTGCAACTAAAAGATTAATGGAATTTTATTATTATAATTTTAGGACTTTCTGTTATATCCTCTCTTTTGTGTTTTCTAAAAAATGTCGAAGTTGGTCTTTAATTAACAAAAAACTCTCCTCCGTAAAATCATTAAGAATACCAATCACATCATCCTCTTTCAGATTGTCATATATATCTTCATCTAAAAATAATACATAATTATAGAGACATCGTAATTATATTCTAATAAAAAAATGTTATATTTGGGAGATAACAGATTTCACTCTTACCTCCAAATGACAAATGTCCGAAAAATTCGCATGCTGCTGGTATAAATGCAATTGTATCTTTCACACCGACACATGACTTTCTAGCCCAAACATAAATTCGTACATCACCGTACATTTCGTCGTTCGATTTTAATTTCGCTCGTGTAATATACACGTTATGAGCTATTCGACGCAGTTGCAAGTAATTCACTACGAGAAATGCTCGAGATACAAAATCTCCGATATTTCTAAAGCTAGAAAATTTGATACATAATCCTTTCGCTGGATAATTCATCAACAAATGTACACCAAGCACATAACTGCAAACATCCTGAGATGGAAATGAGCATTGAGTAATGCATTGTAAACAGTTAAAAACAGACCACTGTTAATTGCAATATTACCTACAATGTATTCAAGAAGCATCTCATGTCTCAAATAATACAAATGCCAGTGTAAGTGATTGACAGATGCATGACCACATAAGCTATTGAAAGCAATTCTGAGAGAACTAAAATACATAATAAAATAGAAAATAATAGTTTGTTTCTAATGTCTCATATCCAATGTTTCTGACACAGCTGTGGTTACCATGAATTGCTTAAAAGACACAATTCTATTGCTTTGTGGAGACTACACTCTGTCATGATTTGAGGCAAACATTTTGAACGTTCCATAATGAGCAAGGAGTGACACCACTCCAAAGGACTGTCATTAATTGCCAATATATTGTTACTGTCACCGTTTCCTATATCAAGTAACATCTCAGGTTGTTTCAATTTAGTGAAATTGAAGCCTGTGAGGCTGAAAGGTTGCGACATTGAAGTGATCGACTGTGGTGCACGTCTGCATTGTGCTCGCTCCGGATTAAACTAAAATTATCATTATTTTATGCATTATTAATAAAAAGACACTGTTCTCTTTTTTATACATATATAAGTATATATACGAATATAAGCATACTTGTATTAAAAACTTGTATCTCCCTCTCAATGTTTTATTGTTCCTTATATTTAAAGCGTATCGAAAGATTTTGGCTTCTTCAGCCTGCTTCCATTTCCGTTGCAAAATATCGTCGAACGGAGCCTCAGTTTCTTCATGCGATTTGACAGAGAGATTAAAATCTTTTGTATCATAGACAAATGTGGAAATTTGATTGCACGACTGCATTATAAGAGTTTAAAAAATGGTGGTTTTACCACGAATCTTAATAAAAATACACTTATCCGACGCTTTTTGGTATGCGAAATAATACCTGAAAAATTGAAATTATGTATATGTGTGCAGCTCACCACTGTGAGAAAAATAGGAAATTATTATGAACAGCGTTTATTAGGTTATGAAACGCGTTATGTACGAAATGTAGATTCAGCTGTTCTAGAGGCTCCTCAGCTTTGCTTATAGATCTGTTTTCTATTGCTGACTAGTGTACACTTTTGGAATTTAAAAAGAAACAGATATACAGATAAAAAAAACAAAATAAAAAGGCAAAAGCCAATTAGGTTAGATTAAAACTCGCACTGGTGGTGAGTTGGTAGTGTCTGCTTTTTTACTAAAACTTCTTTCTTCCTTCCTTCCTTCAATATTTCGCTAGAGGCAGCTAGAAGCGCTGCCACGGCTCAAACTCCCACGCAATTACTCTTAAAACTTTCTAATAGCATGTTCGACTGGCTCTGGGTTAACTCACGCCTACGTTTATTGGTCGAACAAGTACTTATAAGCTTTATGATTGGCTAGTAGAGACTTATGCCGTCATTAATCGCTCTCGGAGCGATTAATCCAGGATCAGTCGAACACGCTATAAGTTCTCTCTCTCTCAATATTAGTTCCAGGTAATCCTACAATTTTCTCAGCCTATCGATTACTCGAACTCGATTCATTTCGATTACAATCACAATCGACACCATTTGACGAGACATACGAGCAGCACAATTGTACATTTGACAAAATATGAAAAATACAATAAAAAAAAATATATTGAATATGGTTTGACGAATTTTGATTCAAAGATGGATGACGTCGCAAGTAAAAAATTGATAGAATTTATTATTACTATTATTTAGGATTTTCTGATATAACTTTCTCTGAGAAACATCGAAGTTGGTCTTTGGAATCTTACGTTGTTCATTCAATAAGCAAATGTATATTCATAGCTGATTTATTATTCGATAAAATTGGCTAATAAATATCGAATAATCCCTCGAAACGATGATTCGCATAACAATTATTTCGATTACAATTTGAAAGTAACGTATATTTTTTCTTCGCACTGTCATTTTATTATCTTAGATTATGTAAGTTAATGTCATACTCTCGAATAATGGATACGATCCACCCGTTTGCATCCTTATTTCAGAGTTTTTACGTCAGAATGAATCGACGGTGTAAGTGACGGATGTGGAAGATATCGAAACGCAAGGATTAGACCTAGCTGACGTCGATTAGAAACTGATCGCTGTAATGGAAGAACAAATATTTCACACAGAATCGTGTACGGCGATCCGTATCCAGGGAACGGTATCGTTCTCCCATTAAACAATGTTTCGCGGAATAGTATTAGTTCACACTCCTAATCACATTCTAAGACACACAAACTAAAGTAACATACTGACGGCCTCGCGTCTGTCGCAGTTCTCGTCAGGAAGGAAAGAGGCAATAACGCGCAGTTAGTACTGTCAAATTACGCCCTGTACAAACATCTGTCGCATAAAACGAGACATATTATGCAATTTTTTGGAACTGGTGGTTCTAAAAAACGATTACTCATTGGAGGCGCACGCGAACGATCAAACATGCACGGCTTACAGTGAGAATTCCATTTACTGTCTAACAGCAATTGACCTCGTTTATTCGTCCGCTATATTTCCTAAAAACTCTAACCGGACTCATTGCATATTCACGCACACTTCCACGTCGTATCGTGGAACTCTCACATCCCGCTACTTCACAAATTCTCGAATTTACATCCTGAGATTCTTAGCAAACACTGTTATTATTTCCAGGTCACGTACTGCTGGCAGAAATGTTAACATAGGCACCGTACAGAGTCTCTTTCGCGTCACGAGACAAATGCAATAACAATTCGACAGTCGCGTTAAAATCGCGATGTTTAAGAGTATGGTATTGGTGATAAGTTAATATGCGCACCGCAATAGACTACGACATCGACTTTGAAATATGTTCAACACCATTTATCTTTCTCTTAGGAACTTGAACAAGATACGCGCTATCATCAAAGACCATGAGGACATTATCGATCGGTATAGGATAATGACGAGGATCGCAACACGCGGCAAGTATCGCGTTGCAAAACAATCCTTTTACAAAAATGTCGCGAGCATTTGCAGCGCTGTGAGATTCGAGTTCCGACTTTCGTAAGTCGCTTGATTGATGCAAATCTTACCGAAATATGAGAGACTATTTATAAATTTCGCGATTATATTTGCACTTTCGCGGGTTTTTTTCCAGGTTACACAATCTCATACAATGGCTACTTAACGTTTATTTAAATCTTTTACGACTAGTCGGTTATGACGTTACAAAAATGTTGCAAATGCTCTAGCAATATTATTTAGTTAGAAGATATATACACGTCGCTACATTATGTTATATATAATATCAATTGTGTGCTATGAGATAGTAAAATATGTCAATATTGCACTGCAAAAATGTTATTTGTATCAAAGCGAACCTTATCCAACTGTTCAATCAGATCTTCTGATTTCGAAAGTATACAAAGATATACATACGATAACTTACGAAATCTATCGTTAAGTAGTCGAACGGATTACAAAATGGAAGGTCTTGTCATCTTAGGAAACAATTTTGCTAATTCACTATTTCATTTCGCACACATATGGTCTGACTTGAAGTTTTTGTGTATGCAAGAAAATTTAACAAATTACTGCTTAGCCCTATTGTTAATAACGATCAGGTACTCTTCAACATTTTATATCTAAACCGTATTCGTCAATAAACGAGCTTGATGCAGAAATTGTATATTTTGGATAAGTTTATTATTTATTATTTAATTGAGAGATTACTTGAGAACGAGAATTCTGGATTTTTCGGGACATTAAGATCCAAGTTACTACAAATTCAAAGACCCTACAGATTGAAACATCAAATAACAGAAACTTCTTTAAAATTCATTCAATGATAAGATGTAATGTGAAGACATCGATGTTAAGATCATAAATAAATTAAGAATTAAATCACTAACAAATTCTTTATGCTATAATTTACAACAGAATCTGTTTCAAATTCATTTCAATTTTAATTTAATACTATCTAATATTTTCTAATATCATCTAGGTTCTCATACTTCAATCAATTTGAGAGAGATACAATTACTTATATAACTTATTTACTTCTCATAGCGTTTAACACTCCTCTGCAGCTTTTACTTTTTTTATCCACTTCATACTCCTGATTGGTAAGAGTTTAAACTTCTCCTTTCTATAAGTCTGAACAATTTTAAATAAAGTACAACAGGCATCTTGCAAAAATTATTGAGAAGATCCTGAGAAGCAGAAGACTGTTTAGGCAGTTTTCGCACGCATAGCAGCACGTTTCCCTGTGACGGCCTAAAAAAACATGAGAATGTTATATTTAGAATATTGTTATGCTTCGATGTAATTAACACATATAACAAATAACATATATAACAAATAAATATACATTTTCGTTTAATATCATACATTAAATACATGTGTTTCACGCACTATTTATTAATTAATCAATAATAAGTACGATAATGTGTATAAATTTGTATCGGGATAAAAGAATGGTAACTTACTTGGAAGCCCGACTTTATGCTGGTGACTGAGCACCTCGACCCACAGGTCTCGCACTGCAAAAAGAAGAGCCGAGTATCCTTTTGGAGAATCGTATCCGGCGAGCGGCATGTGTGACACGTGACGTATTCCTTGATGTATCTTCTAAGAACGTTTTCTATTTGCTTCTGTTGGAATCGACCCTTGATAATCAACTGATTGTTTCCGTCCACGGAACCGCTTGTTCCCAACTCGGCGAGCAGGAAGTCCAATAAATGTTTCGGTTGCCTGTGCAACGTTTTACAAATCTGCAAAGTAAAAAATTGTGCAGGTTGGTATCCGCTATTTTCGACTAGTTTTATATCTTATGTACTTTGTAGAAGTTCTGTATTTGCTAATTTAATTGTAACAATCTCGTTCCAATTCTTATCATGTACCTCGGTGAAATTGGCGAAGGATGTTTTCTTCGTTCCGATTCGTACTACTTGTGGCGGACGCATGATGAACTTTTGTTTCTTACCAGCTACCATGTCGGGATTCTTTTCTCGCAAGATGGTAAATACTCTAATTAGTAACTCCTCGTACGTGTAATCCCTGTCCGAGGCTGCCCACGAATTAGCCTCCTCCACTGAAGAGAGAAATGTTGAAAAGATGTTTATCTCGTATTATATTAAAGTGGAAAAAAACAATCCACAAGAGAAAAGTAATCGTTAGCACTAGTGAAATTTGGAAAGTTTTATTATTGATTCTACCTTGAAATATATGAGCGCAAGGATAACTTGAAGGAAATTATATACAGGATTCTTGAGAGATATATAATTACTACACAATAGTGTTCCTGATATAATTTGTGAACATCAAGCAAATATCTTACCATATTCTGCACTTCGCTCAGATTCAGTGCAGCATGTTGACAAGTATTGAATAATATAAACAACTGGATACAAAAGACATCATAGCAAACAATCTCTTATGGTACATACCATTATCCTTTTCTTCAGTATCTTTACGCTCGTCTTCAGCCACTAATTCATCGAAATCCTTTTTCGTTTTCTTCTTTTTCTTCTTAGTCTTAGAGAAGTCCATGTCTAAATCCAAGTCGTCATTTACTACCACTTCCTCTGTCTGTTGCTCTACAGGCTCCTGTTTAACAATTAAAAAAATAAATATAAAATGAATAAGCAACATAAGTATAGTAAAAAAATATAGCAAGTACAAATATTATTCATGAAAATACACAGTTACCAAGGTTGTTTCTCACCTCTTTCTTTGTATCAGGCAATGTTGCTTCTAACTCATCAAAATTGAACAACTTCTTCTTCTTTTTTTTCTTTTTGCCAAAGTTTTCTAAGTCCATTGTCCCATCATCCTCAATAGCAGCTGGCTCAGGTTCTTGATTTTCTTTATCTAGAGTATCCTCTGTTGTATCATCATTACTTCCTCCTTCATTGAGTTCTGCATCGAGATCAAAGGTGATCTTCTTCTTTTTCTTCTTTTTCTTTAAGTTAGGATCGAATACCTAAAAATTGTTCATAAAAATTGGAATGTGTAAATTTTAATTTATCGTGAATTCATTAATTATTATTAATTAATTAATTTCCAGAAAGTTTACGAAATTAATTACGAAATTATTTACGAAAATTATGAAAAAAATTGAACAAAAGATTATGGAAGAAAATTCTTCGGGAAGAAGTTCCGGAGAAATGGTAAGACAAGGTGTTTCAATTCAACCGTGCACACGTGTTACAAAATATCCGTATACTTTACGTACCGAGTCTTCCTCCGTCATCTTGTTAGTTCTTGTAATCTCCTTCTCTAAAAGAAAATAACTGCTTTATTGTAGCGACGCAAAACGCACGTAAGAGATTTGATAATTTTCACAATTTTCCACGATGAACACAGCCAGCAACGGATTGCATCAGAAAACTCGACCCTCACCGACCTATAAACGAAAGAGAACTGGATGGCGGTAGTGTGTTAAATTCCACCAAGAATACGCATGCTTGGGTTTCGTCACAGTCACGTGACTGATCGGCAGGCTCGTACTAAGATGCGCTTTTTGTACCACACAAATTCTCTCTTTCTCTCTTTAGTTTATAAATTTAAATCTTCTTTTAATTATTTACATTAATGATTCATAAAACACATTAAATATTATATTAAATATCATTGTTATTATATATATGTTTATATGTATATGTTTATATATATATATGTTTATATGTATAGAGACAAAGAATTTATCAATGATGCGGGAACTATGAATGATAAAATTTATATTTTAATGTGATTATTTGTAGTAAATATTTCGCAAGTAATTTATTTATTTATGCATTCCCTTACCGTTTCAATTATTAGACTTCCCAAATAACGCAGGGTTTTTTCGAGAATATACCTCCATGAATTATAATGCTAAAGACTTTTCTGTCATTTTTTGAACACTATTTATTTTCTTTTTCATAAGGGGCGATATCTCTCTGTTACGCGTCTGGCACCGCGGCTGTCAACAGAAAGAGACAGAAAGAGAAAGAGAAGGAGGGCGAAATAGTCACCAGCGTTTACTGATAGTTACTAGGAAGTTCCATAATATGTGTATAGTCTACGGTCGACGAAGAGCGCCTTTCTCGATTCCTCGACCTGTCTGCCTTCTAACACCGACGATCGATACGCAGATCTAGCTAGCGGCTACGCTCCAAGTATGCTCAGCTCGTTCCGGCCGATATTTATGGTCGTCGTTTACGTCGGCTGACAGCTGTCAATCCTTCATTCGGGTCGTCGGAGTGAGTCACCGGATCGGCAGCCGAGAGCCTCCTCTTCAGGTGATTCCTCGATCAAGTTCGCTCTCGACTTTACATTCGCTCTCTTTACCTGCGCACATTTCGTTTTCGTTTCTTTTTGTGCGTGTGTACGTGTGGTTCTTTTTTTTATTTTCTTCCGCACGCGTGTCTCTTCTTCAGGCTCTCTTCTCGACTTCTCTTCCTTCTCCCTTTTTCTCAGACGAGTCCTGAACGGTAGCCTAAAATCTGAGCGCTAGGCTCCGCTAAAAAGGACTACGGGACGATCATCTCCACAGGTATCGCACGTCACACAACCTACCCCTTTGTTCAGATGTCCAGGTATTTTTTGTAAGGACCCATTTTTTTCTCTTTGCACACACTCGGCACACTCTTGACAGTGCTGTATGTACCGCGAGTGCGGACTCACGAACGAGATTTTCGCGTTGCAGCGACGTCACCGGCATGGCGTCCAGCTCTGTCAGCCAGGAGGACTTCGATAATGACTTCGAGTTAACGTCCAGGAGATCTAGGATCAGGACCGCCAGGGCTAGAGTGGGTCCACCAAGGACAGGGGATGCGTCTTCCATAAGCTTTCAAAGTACGTGAGAGTATTTAAAAAGAAGTATGCTTAGAAACTTGAAGTTCACGAATTTGTTATTTTGGTTCATCTCTCTGAAATTTTGGTATTACGAATTTATAGAAATTTAAAGCTACGTAACTTCAGATTTCTAAACCGTTGGCTCTATAGATACATTAAGTTTCATATATTACATTTGACATGTAAATAATATCTTATCTATTAGATAAGTAAATAAGTTGGTTTGAAATTATAGAACTCTGTTAAAGTCAAGACAACTCTAAGCTATAATGCTTTCAGTATCAGAGATTTTTTACTATAAATTATAGCAAAAAAGTTTTCACAGCTACAAGTTATAATCTTCAAACTACAAGTTATAATTTTCAAGAATTCAGAAAAAAAATGACAATTTGTCATGATAGCCTAATTACAATTATAATTAGTATTAATAATTTTTAGGAATTTCTTAGCATATATGTGTGTGTTGATGGCACAATTAAGCTAATATTCAAATAATTAGATTCATGATACAGAGAGCTAAACTAGAATATTAAGATAATGTTCAGATAATGACTCAGTCGTGTATTTCAGACACTCAAGTCTTATTGATTTCCGACAATCTTCTCGAGCTAATCGCTCTTAATGCTTTATCTTTCAGAGAGTACACCGGACGTGGAGGAGTCACAAGGCGCTTATGACGCAAGTTCGAATCCCGTGCTTCCACCCGAGCACGAAAACCCGCAGAGCAAACCGATCATCAGGAAGCAAGACAAACGCGTGACCGGCCGGTATGTATGCCGCGATCGCATGCGCTTGTGCAACCGATAAGAGAACCATAAACGATCTTGTTTATTATCGTGCTTGGAGTGTTCATTAGCCCACATCCTTGATACACGGAACTTTACGTAATTGCCTAATATTTTCTGGATCTGGTTCTAGTGTCTTTAGTGTCGTATCCTGTTTGCACAGGCCAACGCATATAAACAAGGGGAAGCAGCAACGTGATCGACGGAAACTACGAGAAAAACGGCGTAGCACAGGAGTCGTGCATTTACCGTCGACAGAGGTTCGCCATTGTTACCGTCAGTCACCCCATAAGTAACAGCCGCGCGATGTTAGATTGTGGATGTGTAGCGTAACGATGCGACTCTTGAGTACTTGGAATTTTCAGTTTTAGGCTCTTAAAATTGCCGAGCGAAATTCCCTTCGCAATGATGCGTGATCCGTTGAGAGAGGAACGACGATAAGTTATTAGTTAGTCACTCTTTAAATCTCATAAGAAAATCTTCCCGATCGGCTTTCCCGATTCCCGAATTGCACTCTTTATTCGTTATTATTCGTCCCTGATACACCACGAGATTGACGGGATATATCAGTAAAAAATCAGATAGTATTTCAGAAAAATATCTTAAGTCATAATGCCAAGACAGGCGATATGCCGATATTACTTATGGGATAGCTCACCCTTTTCTTTCATGTGTAAATGTTGTACAAGTGTCTCCGACATTTGGTAAAACGCATAATTCCTCAGAGCACTGGTGGTAGTACGGGCGAGGATGAGGAGGAACTTAGCGGCACTTGCCTCGAAACTAAGCACAACACGCATCACAATGAATTTCTTGATCAGGAATTGATCGAAGTAAGTGCAGTCAATGCCAGCTTCTCTTCTTCTTACGTGTGCGGAGTGCCCTGACGCGGATATTTATCCGTGACGGAAAAGAAATTCGCGGGAAAGGTCTGAAATCAATTCGTAGAATTTGTGGTGAAATATTGCGATTGGAAATTAGAATTTATTGTTAGAGAATAATAACTGACTAGGCGATTGTTGCGCGAGTAATAATATTAATGATGAAAAGGAAACTATAAAAGAGCAACCAAGTGCTTCTCAATTTTGCATGCATCGATAGACGTTCGAGTTTCATTCCTGTTTCTACTGGTTACTTAAAAAGCACGCATGTTTCAGGAACGGACCGCCAGAATGTACACGCAAAGGCGAAACAAAAGGTATCTTATACTTTTCACACGTAATTACACGATAATTGGAAAGCGTCTCTGTGTAATTAGCGCAGTAGCTATCTTTGACTGTCTTTTTAATGAATCACGACTGCTTTCTAGGCACTACCGTACTTCATACAGGTCATGTATAGTTAGGCACAGTTGGTAAGTGCATCATATCGTAACAAGTGAACTACGATTAGGCACGACCTGTACGAAGTACGATAGAGCTAGTAGGATCTCGATTAACGTCTTACCGGGTGCTTTGTCGTTTCAGAATCTCAATGTATGTACATTCTCATACAATCGATTAAAATTCTCAAATGTTGGCCATGACGCAAAGTATACGATTGCGATGACAGTTGAGAAATTCACTTATAAAAACGGAGATAATCCGAACACCAAAGACTTGTTGCAATACAAAGGATATATAATATGCAGAGAATAATCGAGCTTACATTTCAATTCGAAGCGATTGTTATGATTTTTCAGTTGAAAATTTTTATTAAATATTTTCAACTGATCATAGCTTTTTCAGCCGGGAGACTGTCCTCCCGAACATAAATGGAAGCGTCCTTTAATTTTAACGCTCTGGAATTAAAGTATACGATATATTCTTTGTATCCGCATCGACGGTCGTGCCTAATGCGATCTGTGTAGACGGCAGAAAAGTAACATACTAAACGTAGGCGACTACGAAACAGTATGTGTGATAAAGACAAGATGTAATTACACAAATTTGTTGACGTGTGCGTTTTAGTCACTCAGACTTGGAGGCCGACGACGAGGAATTCGATTCTCTCAATCAGTCCGACAGCATCAATCAATCGGATCACGGTAATCACGAACCGCAGACGTCTATCAACGCGACCGGCAGGCCGAGATTGCCGACACCAACAGGCGACAATCCGCATGAGGTGATGCCTCATTAATTAACGAACAAAACTACATTAATCAATAAATTTATTAATAAATCAATTTTTATGTGTAATTTGCAGTTAACTTGCAATTTGCAGTTAAAGAGAATTTATTTACATTACAATGAATTTATTAAGTTTTTAAAGTAATAGTAATTTAATAAATTTATTAATAAGAATGCAGCATGTGTAAGCGTGATTAGCAAAAGTAAACGTTTTCGGCGGCGTGAATACGGAGTATTGTTAATCAAATGTAATTAATTAATTAATTTCGTGATTTTCAGCTGATTGAACGGGCGCAAGAGGAGAATAGGAGGCTGCTGTCTCTTTTAGAGGATCGGGACCACAAAATAATGGCGCTCGAGGCGCGTCTCCTAAAGCAGCAGCACGAGATGGCCGTGGAGCGCGAGCGGCTTCGTGAAGAGAACGCCACGCTGATTCGCGCGATGGCCGCCTTAGCCAGCAATTGAATTCCTTCTCCCGTTGCAAAAATCATACACGCTCTATTGATTCTACGCTCCTTACGATAATCGCCGAGCAGCTAACAGGATGAGCCATAAGTCGCGCATCGCGTGTGTCTTTTCAAGCAATGCGGTATCTTCTTTTCGGCGATTTTTTGCGCGCTCAATTCTGATTCTTCTGCTTTTGCGTTGTATCTCGATTGTTTCTCACTCGTTGAGTTGATTTGCGGAGCGAACGACTGAAAATCATGCATGTCGATTATCTTTAATTATAATTACGTTGCTATTATTAAGCGGTGCGAAACGAATCACGGACCGTCGCGTTTCTTTTTTTTTTCTCTTTCATTTGAGAGCTCGCGAAATTGAGATTCCGAGGCAAAAGTTACGCTTCGCCCATTGAACATTTCAACATCTTGTTATTACTATGTTTTTCTCTCAATTTTGCACGAAGTAAAAATCGTCAAGCGATCCAAGAATTGTCTGTCGAAAGTACAACCCCTTTTTGACAAATTGTTTGTGTTTCTGTAATATAAACCGTATGGTTTATTTTAATATTTCTTTTCTATCTTTTTCACAAGATATAAACATTGTGGGGTAGTATGAAGATTTCTTTCCGTGTTGTATCTCGTTACTTTCGGTGCATACGTATAGAATAAAAGTTGTGCATAGCGCTGCCACTTCGATTTTTGTTTTTTCTAAATAACGAAAGGCTAAAGACTTAATAGAGTACGGACAAGCTAGTTTGTAATTCGTGAGTCGAAAAAATTTAAGTTAAAAATAGCGCTAAGAATCTAGATATTTAATTCAAGAGAATAAACCAAGAGAAGATATATTCGTATAGTGATCTTCGTAATTTTGAGTTTCTTATATCGTCTCTTTGATGCATGATTTGTGGACCATCCTAGGCAATAAAAAAAAGGAGACATACCTAAGTAGAGTAAACCTAACTTTAGCGCGTATCGCAGATTGAGTCATTAAGAGTAAAAAAATAGATATTTCTCTTGCAAATAAATCACAGTCAGTGCAGGTTACGGAGAAAGTGAACGTAAGCACGTTTTTGCAGGCTGCAATCGCAACGTCACGAGACGAAATACACTTTGTAAAAAGCAATAAAGACCACTTTGTAAAGAGAGCATTGTTAAGTCGATAGAATTTGATCACTTGCTGAGCTTCGGTCGCAGACACACGCGCATGTTATCGATACGTTTGTGCGTTACTATCGCTGATTAATCGCCATTTTTTCGTTATTCAGCAATATCTTCTCTCAGTGCGGCAATACGATATACACACGGGCAAACGCAATGCAGAGATATATATGCATGTATATATTGAAACCTTGCAAGTGCCGATAACGATTTGAACGACTTAATACATTTTCTATTGTAATATTGTAAGAATGGATGTTCTACGTAAGTTTTATATACTTGCAACACACGGTGATGTAAGATTATGTGAGTTATTTTATTATTATTATATTACTATTATTGTTTTATGATTATTATTATTATTATACGCGAGCCGTACGAAACTCTATGTACATATGGACACGCAGACGATTCTGTAATGATTAATTAAATGCATTTCACTAGGAGACCTCCGCAGCAACTTACGTAACGCAACGCGCGGAACGATGTAACGAGAGTATGTAAAATTGTTTAAAGAAAGAACTTTTATCTCGCCAGCTATTCGGCAAGTGTTTATTGTACAATCTCCCTCGCACGTTCCTGTCTCCTTTGGCGCTCATTCGTGGGCGTGGGGCACGAATACGATAAACTAGCGACTCCTCGTTCTTCTATTCCCGCGGATTTTTTATAAGTGCCTTAATCATCTCACCGAACGACTTCGTTCGTAGTTCACTTTAACTTCGAGTGATAAAATTCCCGATCGACTGAATGTGCACCTCGAGCTTTTGCGCGATATTAGAAACTATAACGAAATTGCTCTCTAGTCTTGGCCAGCTAATGCATAATTCTCCAACAATTTAGCTATTTTCTATGTACCTACGAGCGTGTATTTATGAAATAAAATGAAGCGGCATAGGACAGATAAAGCGGTCAGTTGATGACACGCGCAGAAACACGATACGCAGAAGGCAGCTGTTCCAGTGTGAACCGGCAAAGTTTGTATTTTTATTCATAAAATAACTAAATAAATTTTTAATATAATACAATACTTGCACGCAATATACATTTTTACGCTAATATTTCCTAATCGCTACGTAGCTGTACATTACAAATCGTTGGGATCCGATCATACAGGGATCTGAACTCCGAAAATCCACTCCTGTTCTCTTTCTCGCGCTTTTAAATGTCTGCCCTTTTTGTCTCTCATCCTTTCGAAATGTACTACGCTTTGCGTGATCCTTCCTGGATTACTTCGTACGTATGTGTGTATGTGAAATCGTTGCGACTCGCGCTTTGCTAAAAAAAAATCCCGGCAATGTTTTGGTTCCACTTTTTCGAGCACTTCTCGTAAAGTTATATGACATGTAATCTCCTCAAAACGTTGTATAAAACTTCGCTAAAATATATACTCGGTGTCGCATCTTAAGTGAAACCTCTCAAGTTTTGACTGGCTTGCAAGAGATACTAATCTAAAAAGCGCTCTTCTCCTTGGGGACATCCCGAAAAGGCAAGCCTTCGCGTATGCATATTGTTAACAATCAAACGAGATACGACGACGCGCGATAAATTACGCTGGATTTCGCTTTGATTTCCGCTATCAGGTATGCAAGCTCGTATTATCTAATCGTAAAACTTTATTTTCGGGACCGTGATATCTCATTTTCGAGATGTACAAAATAAAATCTTTTTTCTTCCCTCAATAAGACGATAAGAGAGGAAACGGCACAACTCTCGCGCGAAGATAAGAATAAATCTTAATCAACCACTTTGCGATCGCGCGTGTTATCGCTTTTGATTAACGGATTCAGCGCAATAGTTTATCGCAAGCCGTCGTATATCCATCGTTATTATCGCCACTGTCCGCTACGAAATACGTACACATATTTTACGATGCAACAGGTACTACACACGCTTCTCTTTATCTCACATCCTTCTTCTCCTTTCACTCTACCATTTCATCCACTCTCAATCGCCGCCAAGGTAACTAATTGGTTTAAGTCGTTTTATAATTGTCTATTAATATAACGTGCGCCTCACTACGGTTTACCTTCTTCAGTATTCGGTCCTTTTATCGCAAGGCAACGCGCTTTCGCTGATATGTACCGTTCTTTGAAATTGATCAATAATTAACCGAACTCGCGATCGCAAACACGATCCCCGAGGAACTCGCTCCCCTTTTTCCTTTTGTGTCGCGCGTTGCGACTCCTCTCACGATTCGCGGCCATCCGCCGCCAAGTTATTGTCTGTCGGTGATTAGTAAGTCGTTAACGAAGGCATTCGCGTGTGATCTTTCGTTGGTCGTTTTAACGTAAGTGAGATCGTAGTCATACGCCGGCATCTCACATATCGTTCACACACGCTGCAAACGGTGCCGCAACATTCACGCGAAAGCGTTGTTCTTTTGAACACTCCTCGCGTCGTGCTTGGTCGTATGTATAAAGGCGATTCGTTTGGATGAACGTGCATGGGGCGTTTACATGTGTTGATTAAGAAAATCAAATTGTGACGGAAACCGACAGAGAGAGAGAGATAAATTTGTTGTGTCACACAGATTTTCGAAATTGAGATGTTGAGCGTGATCTCAGTTAATTCCTCTCATCGGTCATTGTCGAGAAATCGCAGGACTGAAAGTAGGAAATTAGAATATAACTAAAATACGGAATTGAACTCTTAAGTCAATCTTTGGAATTTGGGCGATTAGATTTCATCAAATATGTGAACTCTCTAATATGAATTTGTACTTTTTCCAAAATTCGCCGTGCATTTCTTTTTCTCACAGGGACAAAAGCAAGAAATTTCAGCGCCCCAAGCGCGTCAATGTCCATCACGGTTTACATCTTATCGTCTAATAATTACAATCTTATAATTACTCCACCTCTCCAAGTTCTGTGTAAGTTACAGAGCGGCTTTGCTCGCGTTTCTCGTCTCGTATTCGCATCGCGTACGTATCATCATCCCAACAAACGACTAGATCATGATGGTTGGACCTCAACCAGATCCTTAAATGCTAGGGAGCTTAACGAACTAAACTGTATCTTCAGTGAACGATATATTATTTTTTTTATCAAATATCAATCGCATTGCAATCGAAATATAGGCGTAAACAGGTGAACTCCCGTTCGTATTAACGATCTCGATCGATTTGCTTCCATCATACCAATATGTCAGTTCTCTCCCCTACTCTAACTTTTGTCACTTTCTCTTTCCATCTTTCGCTCTCGCTGCCTCTCACTCTTTAATTTACCTGAACGACACTAATTAATGATCGTTTCTATCTTATTTAATAAACAAAATTTTTTTCTTTACCCAGAGAGAATCATCATTAAAATAACATTCCGATTTACATGATTCTGATGTGTAAGGTGTCCCGAGAAAGGAAGTACATTAAGAGCTCGGAGATATGTTCTAAGAATTCTCCCATTCTCCTCTTTTTAGAATCTTCCCATTTCTCCTATTTAGAATTGGTTATCCTTTTATCAAATATAATTTAATTTTGTATAAAAAAGCACGTATATATAAAATCAATAATAGATGATTTCTTATTTTTGTCTGCAAAAATAAAATCTTATTAAAAATTCTTTCGCATTTTTTTTTACTTACTATTGAAGGTCGATCATTACGAAAGTAACTCCGTCTACAGTTCATAGAATCTCGTTATTTCTTCTCCGAGACACCCCGTACACATTTATTCGACGGCTATCTTCTCCGTGCGGACGATTATTCTTCTAGCAAAACTTCGTGCCTGGTTCGTAGGAAGTCAATAGAGAGACAATTTGTCTGTTTCAAGCTAGTGTTGCGTTATCTCATCTGGTAGGAAGGAAGGAAGAATACAAGTTTCACGTACGCGTGTAAATTTTTTGATTCATTTACTTCCGATGGATGGCTACATTATCTCCAATTGTTCTTTCGTATCGCGAGTTATAATCTTAAATCTTGATATTTCAACGATTAGTAAAAACGGACTTAATAATTAATATCGTTCTTTCGTCTAACTAGGATAAATTTTCATTTGGTAACATCTTTTTCTTCAAATTTCTCTCCAGATTACAAAAGCTGCCTGTAATCGCTCAATCTATTCGAGTGAACACTTGTCGCCAATATCGCATCTTTCTTCTTCGCTTCCTCTTATGTAAACAATGCTCGATCGCATGCTTTAACAAGTTTTAAGAAGCTCGACAACAAACGGTTCACACGTTTGACTTGCCTCTCCGTTGACTCGACCAGACGTGTTTAGGGAACACTGTGTTGTAAGTACAAGTACGTTCATTGTTCGTGCGAACGTTTTCCGACGCGCTGCTGTTCATTATCGAAGAGAGAGCACGCGCTCAAAGTTACTCCCGCAAAATACACTCCCTGTCACTTTGCTTGCGCCTCTCCGCGATAGAAAAACTCCCTGCGTGAATCGACATGTGGCACAAAATAACTTTCAGCAGCGATAATAAATCGAGTCTCGTAAGAATATGGACATGCTTCTCTCGTACGTCGTCCATCCCTTCGATTTGACTAATAAGTCGCGTTGTCGGAACGGCAATCTGATCGGATTTTCAATTGGACAGTCGTATCGTTTGGCGCAGGAAATCTCAAGATTTATATTGACTTTGTAAAGATCTCTCGAATCAACAATGTTTAGACAATGCGAAACATAGATAAATTAAAATGTTGGAAAATATGAAGCTCGACAGAGACACGAAACTCCGCTTTCCGTTTAGCGGATCCGCTTTCAGGTATTTCGGTGAGCGATATCGAGAGAACTTTTGTGGCTCGCGGAATCTTCCCTGCATTTCAGTTCCGTGTTTTGTAAAGACGGCTGACTATCCAATGTCGCGATCTACCGGCTCCGTCGTCGTCGTCGTCGTCGTCGTCGCGAAGAGGCGCAGGAAGAACGTTCGTCGACACTCGCGCTCGGCCTCGAGATATGTTTGTGGAACGCGCGTTGACGCTAGCGCTGATTCGATTGATAACTCTCTCTTTCTCAAGAGGCACCAAGAAAAAGGAGATACAAGAGGACCTGGTCTCAGACGCTGCAGCCGGAGGTGACCTCTTCGCTGTTGGACTGGTGACTCCACCTACACTGATGACAACCCGTCGTGGGCTCTTCCGACGCTCCAGAGCTCCCGACGCCGCCGGACGCTCTCAGACCTTGCTCGAGTTCCAGCAGCTGGCCCATGAAATTTAGGTTCGGACTGATGATCGGACGCGCGTTCTTCACCAGCTTGTACGCCTCCACCATTGACAGACCTTTGTGCCGCATTATGTAGGCAATGGCGATCGTCGCACTACGCGATACGCCGGCTTGACAATGTACCAGCACGCTGCTGCCGGCTTTTCGCGCTTCCTCTGAAACATCAAGGTAAGTTACAAGTTGACGGATGTGTCAAACGTTGAAATAGAAATATAAAATAAAATTTCCCGACACTTTGTAATATTTAAATTAATAATAAATAATTAAGTTCCTTAGAAGCTTCATTGTATAAAAATACAGATACATTGGACAGTCAACAATGGAATGAAACATAGAAGAATATTACGAAAATTTTATTTCACGTTGAATGGGAATTCGAGCTAATATATTGGAATTTCTATTTGTTCGAAAGACAGGAAAATTTTCTGAGTCGTGGAAGCAACTGCGACGTATGTCTACAAAAAATACAGGCAAAGCCGAACTCGTAAACGCTAAAATGTTAAAGTAGCCGTGAAACCCGAACAGTCGACTTGGTTATGCAATGCATGGGGGACGCTATCGTATCGCCAGTGAGTCACTGCATCGCCCGGATCCTATGCAGACTTTGCAGACGTTCTGTCGCACTACGCGAGCTCGACTGCGCTTGACAAGCGGCTGAAATTTTTTCTTTAGCATTACAATCATGCATTTGAAAACATTATTCTTTAAAAAAAGAAAAACACCTTTAACCGCTTAATTATTCGTGACTCACTAACAATTACATCGTGACAAAAAATGTAAAAATGTATGATAAAAATTAAATTCGTCACAAAAACAAAAAATTGAGACCTCCATTATCCTTTCACGAAATTCTTCTCAAATATGTGGTTTACAGAACAAAATATGATTGTGATATAACGACAGAAAAATTATTTAAAATAAAAAAACAACTATTATTGAATTACAAAAAGAGAAAGAAGGAGAGAACCATGTACAAGCCTGAGCGATAGAAGAGAAATGATTACGTGTCCGACAAGACACGCCTTATGGAGTTGGTGTGGTCGAGTAAATTACGCGTGAGCGAATTAATTTGTCAAAAATGAACCCTGGCTAAAATCGGGCACGGGAACTAGGGTGCCCGGAGTCGGTTTGTTCAACGACATTCCACCAGTTGCACGCACGGGGGGCAGCAGGCACATACCTCCCTTTCTTCCTCGCTCTCGTCGTCCTTTTTTCAGCCCTTACATTCGCTATGCACGACTGCCCCCCGCCTCTGTACCCCGCGAGCTTTCCCTGCACGCACAATAATCCCCCTTCGTGCAGATGCGCGCACGCATAAACAGCGTGTAAATGCGAGAGGAGAAACGACGCAAAAGAAGAGGGGGAGAAGGGGGGCCAGAGTAGAGCACAGACACAGGGGGTGAAGGGGGAGGCCTCTTACGTTTCACGGATGCACGCGCGCGCGAGAGCGCGCATGACTCATGCTTTCATGAATGGAAGGTTCTCTTCTGGTCTTCTGGCTCGCGCACCGCCAACGAGAGCGGGCGCGCTCTGGTTCAATGGTCCACCGGAAACGCCTGGTTACACCCTGTTTCCGTTCCAACCGAACTTGTCGCGTAACGGAACAAACGGGACGGCCGGAAGGAGAGAAGCAGAAGAAGAACGGGTCGGCAGGAAATCTGTCACCGCCGGTATGGGCAATCGTGGAAATCACCGCCGCTTAACCGATAATCGCACATGCACGCGCCAACAATCCGCGACACCGAGGATTACCGGATGTATCAAGGATCAGCGACGCTCGCAATCGGTGTAGCGATGTACGTCGAATGTGTGACAGTACGCTGCTCGCAGTCGTATCAAGAGATTAAGAAGATCAAGAGATATTCGTACGTAATGCATCAAGTTTTAAAAGAAGAAATATATGTCAGTTGGAAGTCTTTTTTGTCATCGAAGAGGATCCACAGTAGGTCGAAAAACGCGATGATTTCTTCTCCACGACGCTTAGGGTTGTTACGAATATTTACAAGCGCTTATCGAGTCGCGTGCCTTGACTGTAAATAGTCCTCTTTCTCCGCGACAAAACTCCTTGGCGTCACTCACCGATGAAATCGAACGCTTCCTCGAAGTACTGCTTTAGATTCTGATGACTGGAATCTGAGGCCGGTATCTGCCTGTACGTGATACCCCGTTCCTCGTGGTAGCCGGGCAGCTGCGAGGTGACGTTTAGCACTCGGGTGGCGCCGAGCGCGCGCAGTAGTTGCAGGTCAGCGGCATCCCTGCCGTTACCGAGGTAGAGGAAAGGCAGCACACGGGACGCCGGGTGACTGTCGATATCGGCAGGTTGTGGTGTGGGTAAAACGGAGACGCTCAGCACGGGACAACCAAGTCCAGGACTCGTGCAGCCGCTCACCGTCGTCGCTGAGGGATCGGCGCCGCCGCCGTTGCCACCGCCGCTCGGTAAAAGCGTGTCCTCGCATAGTTCCCGGTGTCGCCTGTGAAACTCGCGGTGTCCACCTGAAATAAGCGACTTGTTAGTAAATTGTAACGTGGGCAATATTTTTTTAGTGTTATTATCTATATTTATTTATGAATTAATTTAGTATTATATGTTTATGTAGCAATTAATATCAATATATTAATAATTCATGAATTAATTAATAGTATATTAATAGCAATTGATATAATTCAATTTTGAGTTTACTTTCGTATTTCATCTCTTTTAAACGATTACCAATCAGTTTTCCTATAACCAATATATAGAGATGAAATAAAAAAAATTATAAGGGAAAAAATTATGAGGAAAAAAGATGAGCCATCTAATTGTTTTGCTTTAAGTAATGATAATAGTATAACGTATTCATGGGAAAAATATTAACTATCGTCATAAACTTGGGAAATTTGCGTTTCTCTTCGAAAACAGTTTTCCCCATTCCTAGATTATTTGCGTACAACAGTTAACGCAAACAAGCCACATGTATTTCTATTCAAACATATGGCGTATGCATAACGTTCAGTGTATCGTTGAACAATGACTACGTAGTCGGTCACGGTTCTATATCTGTTAGAGTCGCGCTCGAAGGTACATTTTTCCACTGAGACAACTTATTGATTAACTCAGGTGTATATACGTCTCCCATATTCCAAAATAATTACAACTGACACGACAACCTCATTCTGTATTTGCGGATTCTTTGTGGATTGTAGATTAAAGGTACACATTATATTTATATATAACTTACGAGTATACGCAATTGAAAATTCTAAAAATGTAAAAGGCCACGAGAAGTTGAAAGATAGCAATCAGTGATATCTAATTTATCCGAGGATCTAAAGATTATTTATTTCGAAGCCCCAACATATGGAACTTTAAAAATACGGATTGTACGGTAAGAAATAGTTGGAAGCTCTCGAGGACTCAAAAGCCTTCTGAACATCTCACAGTTTAAAACACACGAAGATAATATCCGAGAGGTACGAGATTCCCGAATTCTTGCGATCTCGAAGAACTTCTAAACGCCGCAGGAGTGAAACTCGATAAAGATTAAGGCGAGGGTTGATGCCGTCATCGTCTGGAGCAGACGCGGATGCGGACTAGGACGGGGTAACGCGGTGGCGGCGGCGCACGGAAAACGGGTGGAAAGGAAGAAACGAGACGGGAATAAACGGCGGGGGATAAAAATAAAGGAGCGTCGAGAGAGAAGAAGAGAGAAGGCAAGGAAGAAATGTGGGCTAAAATTGTCTTCCTCTCCTGACCTGTGCGGCTGCTAAGGCCTGGCCTGGCTGAACGATGACTCACTCGTTATCCCCCCTCGCCTACCCGCTCTCCCCAACGGTTGGCTCGCGCAGAGCGGCCACCAACCCCAAACAGTCGTCGCCAATCATTATTCCAACGTTGGCGAGGCTCCTTTCCGATTTCACGACTTTAGATCGAGACGGCGGCGACGGTAACGCGTTACGCACAATGCGTCGCTCAAATAAAATGCCCCGTACGCTTTCGCAAGTTGTTCTTTTTTTCCCCAAAGTTACACCAAAGTTCGGTGGAGCTTCGCTGTACGTTGCATCTGCGAAAAATTGGTGAACGTCCCTTCGTGATCCTGTGACGTCAACGCGAGATCGCGATGGCGTTTGTGCAATATTGATAGCGAAGCGCGCTTTGCTGTTGTGAAATAATGATCTGAAAAACTACACTTAGATATAGTTTCGTTCTAGACTTTAGCCCCGACGCTATGCATGATTAACGTCGTGTATTCTTGGTACTTGCAATATTCTTAGTATTTCGCAATTTCCGTCCCTTATTAGAACTATGTATTGCTGATTTTTACAGATACTAAAGTCCGAGGGTACTTGGATATTATACAAAGTAGATCATATTGTTCTATTCTTCATATATTATACTTTAGATTCTCTATTCTATCTCTATCCTGACTAACTCTCTCTCTATCTCTCTTTCTCTCTGTCTATCCTGAACAGTTGCTCCACACAACTGTGGGAATTGGAAACTTGCGACAAGTACCTGGAGAGAAAGCATCTTGTATAAATTAATTAATTCTACTTTCCTCAAGAATGTATTTTGTAGTTAATAATGCAAGTTAAATTTATCAAATAGTTGCAACGTAATATTCAAAAGGTGATATAGATTACAAAATTTAATTCTTGTGTTATGAATGTAACAAAAATTAAATTTTTTAGTTTCTTCGTCAGATACGCGGTTATTAATACGGAAAATTCGCGATTCGAGGGAAAAATCGGATAGTTTCAGAAACAAGGATGTTCGGAACGATGTCGCGAGAGTCGCATGTTCGTTACGGAAAAGTCTAAATGTGGGTCACACTATTTAGGTCGGTATAGCGATCGAGACGATGTACGTGGCAATCGCGTTAAGGTCGTCGTACCCGATGAAAATCCTGTTACTCAAGTACCACGTCCCTAAGCAAGGATTCCAAGTAAAGAATACGCGGAATTCAGCGTATTTACAATCGTGAAATACAAGTTCTTGCTGAGAGGGTATCTCATATATATACGTAAGCATTATATTTAGAACCATATCGAACAAGAGCAACAGACGACGATGGCACAAAGGATTTCTATGGAAAAAAAGGATTTCTATGAGGATAATTGTTAACGTTTGATGTCGCAAGACTTGTCATCCAATTTCCTTTGAGGAAAACCGACTTTTAATTTGTCAAAGATAACGAGTCATCACAAGGAAATACAATAGTTCCGCATAGTCTACCACGTCAAATAATTGCTTGTATTTTTTAAAATTTCCGAAAACAGAAATTCCAGGACCGTAGAGTCTATTCGACCATACAGCGCGGAAACTTCAAGATATCCGGGCATACGATTTATTTATACTATTTAAATGAAAAATATAAATAAAAAATATAAACATTCAGTGAAAGCCGTGATATAAATCTTACCGAAAGAAAATTGCGTCATGGGATAGACTGCTTTTTACTGATATACCTTAGACTATAAACATTTTATCCCTTGTCCACAATTTTGCTTTAATCTTTAAGTCGTAATAAATTGGCCAACCACAGTCGATTATTTTAAAAATAATCAACTGTGGTTGGTCAATTTCTTACGGCTTAAGAATTAAAGCAAGATTGTGTGCAAAGGATTACACATCAGTCCCTATAAGTTCCACCTTTTATCTCAACCAAATTCAAAATACTACCCACATTCTTCCAGAGGTCAGACCTGACGTCACCGAAACGATGATTCAGAAATACGATGCCGAAATAGTAATCAGTTAACATTCAAAGAGCAACAAGTGGACAAAACAATGAATAATGTGATATGCCAATTTACGGAATGTTGCCGAATCAATAACGATGAGTCAATCGCATAAATCGCCCGCCAATGACTCACTTTGTCTCTTTATTTTCGTTTACACCGATTTCTGCGAAGGACTTCTCCATCGAGAGACACTATCGTGCGCGTCCAAGCGCCGTAAGAGATAAACCAATCAAAAGAAATCATTGAAAAACGATTGAAAGTGAAAGAGCTGTTGGAACAAAAAGAATCGATCGATCTTACCCCAGGAATCGAGATTCTCGAACGGTACCAGTCGCAGCACGAGGCAAGGCGCGTCTTTCCTGATCCTCATGTTTAATCAACACTGTCAGCGCGTACCGTGTTTCACCTCACACATTTGACACACAAAATCCAAAACAAATGGTCCTGGCGCCAGGAGCGCGCAAGTGAGTTCAATTCTCGCTTACTAGTCTTTTACCCGCGACAAAGATCACGATCCTGCAACGATTGGCGGGATACTGCGGGCTAAACGGCACGAGAGAGTTTACATGAGGCCCGGCAAGGATGAGTCATCGCGTGGCGCACCGATTGGCCGGCCGCCGCCGTCGCCGTCCCCGACGCTGACGTCGTGAATCGTTGGCCGAGCGTTTCCGAGAGTACGCGACCAGACGCGAGCGCGTACAATTCTTTACGCAGGCCACGGCCGGCGATGCAGCTAGTTAGTTCTTTCATATACCGGGTGCCCTGTCAAAGGGTATATACTAAAGACGTTCTGACGATTGTTGGTCCGAAACTCCAACGAGCTTATCGAACTTTTGGTCCAACTTCGTCAGATTGTCTCTCTTCCATCGCTGAAAATTATCAACATCATTATTAACTTGAGCGGCGAATTTCATACGAAGAAGATTAATAAGAGCAACATCTTGCTATGAAAAAAAATTGTTTAATTACCCTTCTTTGTATAAAATTTTTGTTGTACAGTATCTGGATTCAATGTAATGTTTTCTTGCTATATAAATTAGTCAAATGGTAAACTTTCGACTCATCATACAATCTCCACATCCAGGTATGGAATCGTTTACCCGATTGAATCAGATCGGATTAAGCTTGTGGACTCAGACTCCAGGAATGAATGATCTAAAGACCTAAACATCAAAGGATTCACGCATGGAAATTCCTTCGATGCCAATGAGTAATCTGTTAGAGCGAAACGTTTATTATGCTTACGACGAAACGTCATAAGCTTTGTTCCTTTTTTTTTCCGTTCAATTTCAAGGTCTCCTGCGGTGCTAGATCGCGATCACCGCGATCAAGGATCCTTAGGAAGATCGCGTCATTGTGTACGCGAGCGACGTCGCGCGGCTCCAGCATGGAATTTGTAAACTGTTCCGCATGTACATTTCGAACAAATGACACACGGAGTATATTTAGATTCTCGGATCTCAAAGTCTATGTATCTTGACATTCTTTCCTAGTTACACACTCACTCGACGATCCTTTTCTATGGCGAGGAGGTAATGCACTTCTAATCAGTCACGTTAAGAGATTCTTGACTTGCATTAAAATTTCCTAAGCCTTTGAATGTTTGCAATCTTCATTCTCCAGTATTGTTGCATTTTTTTCATTTCAAAATTCTTCAGATGCTCCTGGATCTTTAAATTGGCTTAACGGGAACTAAAAAAAGCGCAATCAACGGTGACTTCGTTGCTGCGTAAAGATAAATTTGGAATATAGTTATTATTAGTAAAGTAACGCAGGTCTTTCTGACTGATTTAACGTTCACAGTTCTCAGTTTTTTCTTTTGATTCGAGAAGTATCATAGTTGAATCGATAATTCTCGTTCTTTCATTCAATAGGACCCTCGAATATTTGTATCTTCACATTTGGAGATCGAGAGACACGCTCTTATTTCTATATCCATCAATGCGCCTATTAATCAATCCTGGAATAGTCCAAACTTTTTAGATGGAGATTTAAATAAGTCGGAGGATTTATTCCGCTGAGTCGATAAAAACGCAATATAATAATAATAATTAATAAATTAAAACACAATAATAAAAATTGATAAAAACATAATAATAATAATTAATGTTTAGGCGATACCCTCGCGAGTCATCGAAATCGCGTATAATGGGCCCAAGTTTTAGAATTGATTTTAACGACAAAATTAACAAATTCAGTACTCGCAACTTGCGATTGTTCTCACAAGCAAGGTCTGCTTCAGTCAATCTATAATTTGCGACAGAATTAAATATGCGTGCATACACATCTATAAGCGTCATTTCAATTCTTCGAGTGCTCTCTTAAAGATAGAATTCTGTCGTGAATTATAAATCTGAAACATGCTTAATGCGCTGAAATATAGCGAGCGCGAAACGATCGCCAACTTCTTACAGTACATACATTAGGAATTACGTATCATTCTTCAAAGATAAGATCTGCGTAGTATCTACGCAGATACAAAAGTAGAGCACAATATAATGCGAATCACTACTCTCTAACTGATAGAAATCTTATTTACAATACTCTCGACAAACACGCCGGATGTATTAGATCGCGGAATCGTCAGTCATTTTCCTAGCTGTCGGACTTTATCGAACGATATATATTTTTAATTGCAAATTATGATGCAATCGCGTATCTCGAAAGTTTAATTAACCGGCTGCCGACCAAGAAGGTCGTGCATTTCCATAGCAGCCACGGAATGACTAAGGAAACCGGAATTTTTCTCGTTCTTCATTCTTGATTGAATTTACATCAACGATGATATAGATTTTTTTTTTATTTCCATTTAAGAACGTAGCTGTACTGTAAGTAAATATATGGTCAATGAAAGGCAATGTGCCAATAGCATGCAATGGATTAAAACGTACGTGAGAACCGCGCGCGCAAAACAACGTAAGAATTGCGCGTATACGTCACGCGAATATGACAATGCAGTAATAATTATTAAATGCGACACGTCACGTCACGCGGGCAAGGATACTGAAAGACGCGCACACGCCAATATGATAATGAACGGCGGTGTCTTTTCCGCGCGGAAGGTGAGACACGTGGTCTACAAATTACGGCGTGCAGAGGAGAGTGATAGAGGAACTTGGTTCGCAGGAATTGGTAGAGACGGTTTCGAGTTGGTATTTTTTCCTTACCGCGCCCCCTTACTGCGCGTTCCCCGTCGTTTTCAATCGCACGTCATTCGATGACCAATAGAAGGACGCGTGTCGAACATACGCTCGTAAATGTCGTTGATATCGACGCCTGATGCGGTTAAGTATGACTCACTGTCGGAGCAGTACGCACGACCCTGAGGTGCCGATCGCCATATCGTCTGCGTTCAATCAAGAGTCGCTAACTGTCTGTCGAATGAAATCGATCTTCGCCCTTTCCCGACCTTCTCGTTGACGATCCTGGGTCTTAAACAAAGAGCATCGTTGTTCCAACGCGTTGTTAAGCCCGTATCGGACTACATGTTGAAAATTGAGCATCGCAAACTGCAGATTGAAACCTGATCGAAACAGATGAAGCGTACTAACATTTTCAGATTATCTGGTTACTCGAATTGTAGTCTTCTTTTTTTTGTGAGATTTTTTATCTCACACAGAGGAAAACTCCGTTAGTGTAACTGAATTTCAATTGTCTGAGAATTAGATGAAAACTCGGTCATAAGGACAGAAAGATCCCTGTAGGAGATTTCTACTCAATCAACCGTTCTTGATTATCTTAACCGAGTTTTTTAACGCAGTTGAATGTTCAAACGAATTTTTTTGGTCGTGGTAACAAAGAAATATTATTTCTCGTCACTCGTCACTCGTCACGAGTTCTCGTTTGGTTCTCTTGTCCCATTCAACCACATGGACTGAGATTTTTTTCCGTGTAAATATGGGAGAATGGTATTTCCGGGGTTTTTCCACATTTCCTTCTAGATCGATACCAAGTGGTCAAAGGATGTGTAGATAAAATGAAATGCGGGTAACCTAAAACTTCCTGTACGTCCTGTTGAATAAAAATCTACATGTACTCACGAAAGATTAGTTTAATGTGAAGATTAGTTTAATATGAAATTTCAATCCATATTCATTAGTAAACTTACATGGTGTATTAGAACCACATGTGAGATATTTTGGAATTGTTTGTATTTTACGACGTTTTGATTCTATCTTTTGAAATCATTATATTCCAGTTTTTTAATATACTTGTGGAGAATCCCTGAATATGATTTTTAACTAGAGAGTTTATTTGGCCTTTCATTTTTAAAAGTTCTTTAACTTCAATTCTCGTATATATCCAAAGGTTGATGATAATTTAAAGTTTCGTATCTATATTGTATCTCAAACTCTCAGAATTCTAGTCTGCTTCGTCATTTGAGCGTAATCGATTCTTACATACTCTTATATTTCTCCAGAATTACTGGAGTTCGAAGATTATTAGTCTCATCAGTAGGTTTTTTTTTTTAAAGTAGTACGACATTTGTTTTCTTTCCGTTGTCGGCAATCTCCGAATCAGTGCGATACACTTTTCCGTGAATCTTTACGTTGACGTAAAGTCAATATATATGACGTCACTGATGTCGGACGAAGATCTGTTGACGTTCGTTGTGACTAAGGATGAGTGCATAGACGTATTTGTGATTAGTCGTTCGAATTCGGGAAGTATCTTATTATCGGTAACCACACAGTTATCAGTCTGTCGTCATGTTACCTAAATATAAATCGTGAATGAAAGTAAGACAATTGCATTGTGCAATACTACAGGCAACAATGCTGTCGTCAGTCTTCTGAAAAATTGTTTCGCGCATTTCGTGCGTAAAATGAGCTTTTTCATAGTTGCTACGATAGTATGAGAGTTAATCGCAATTTAACACGCGTGCTGCGACGATGATCGATGTCGGTGCACCACGCGTGGACGCTAAATCGTCGATAGTTCCGGGAAGGGCGGGGGCTCCAAGGGTTGATTCGACGCGGAGATGATGTCCGATTGTGAGGACTTGGCCGGGCCTTATTTTAGGCTGGGAGCGTACACGCTGTCTCCGCTCCCGCCACGAATAACCCGCGGAATCATGCCGACCGACTGACTCATCCGTGAAGCGTAGTAGGAAACCATGGCTGGCTCGCTCGCTTGCTCGCTAGCTTGCTTGCTCACTCGCTCGCTCGCTCGCTCTCGTCCAGTCTCAAGGAAATTCCGACGAGTTCGAAGGACGTACAGTCGCTCGTTTTGTCTTGTCCGCGTGCCCGCGCTGATTCATCTCGCGCTAATAACCCCGCGCGACCCTCATTTCTTTCTTTTCTCTCTCCTCTCCCTCCCTCCTTCTTGTCGTGACAAGACTCCGCGTCTGTCTTCCTCACCCTCTCTCGCATCCGATATTTTCAGAGGGAATTCAAGTCAACGACCGTCTGAATGTGCTGCCTGCGATGGCCGATTAACGCTTCCAACCTGGTACCGTATTACAATGTAGAAACGTCTGCAAGATGCTGCGACGCTGAGTCGCCTCGACTTCGTCAAGATTCAACGAAGGATAACACTGTTCAACCTGACGCGAGTCTTGTGTTTCATATTGCGTCTTTTAGTCACCTATTATTATTCAAATGAGTGTTCTCCTCTTTAAAGATAACGCCAAACCTTAAATTTTAAGATTTTTGAAAGAAGGTCAAGAGGGTAAAGAAGGAAGAAGCAGAAGCTCTCGGATATACAATCACAAAAAATTCAGGTTTCCATACCTTAAATCCTGTTATTGTACTTTATTTTTATATTGATATATCCACAAATATTTTGACTTTTAACTTGGAGTGTCCATATTTCGGGTTCTCTGCGCGTCTTTTTTATTATAGTGCGCTCTGTACAGAGCATTGTTGTCACTTGAGGATTTTTTTTCCCTCGACTCGAAAATGTCACATAAGTGCAGATTTTACGTGCACGGTGTGCGAGGTAGCAGGTAGCGCGTCAGTGGAACGTGAACCTGCAAACAGTATTCTGTGCTGTGACACGTGTCTTATGATTAATCGTCAATACACCGTTTATACACTCTCGAACGAAAAATACGCGTAAATGCATAGGTTTTGCAATGATAAAACTCCGGCGCCGCCGTTCGCTCATATACATATACGTGGCACCGTGTAAACAGGAATCGAAATCGCGTTTACGAGCGTGCTCACGGTGACATTTTCAATTCGAAATCGACGTCGTGACGAGATCGCGAGCAGACCGATGGCACGTGCAAGAAATGTTAACGATAAGACCTGTGAGCAGAAATAAGCGAATCAACCGATTGCATTCAAGTATCTCCAAGCGACAGTCTTATGTTGTCGATAATACTCGATTGCGATCGATTGATTGGCTCACTGCTGAAGTTTCAGAGCTCAATTTTTTCTTTCTATTTTTTCAGTGTCTTGAGTTTTACAATATGACGCATGAAGTCACCGGACACCCCCGATCTAGATCTTTTATCGTGATCTAGTGCATACTTGAATCATGTCGGTACCGCACAAAGGGAGCCGAAGGGCGAGGGGGCGAGGAGACGGGCCGATTGTGAGTTGGACGCGCGTTAGTCATTGATACATTTTAAAGCGAGCCTGTATCGGATGACTCATACGTAATAATCGTCATCGACAGCTGATCCAGATGCGTCGTACGTTCTGAAGCGTGCTCCCCCTCGATTAGACATCCTCCTCGTCGCACCCTTAAACGGCGCAGGGGATGAAAAAGCGCACAATGGAAAAAATACAGCGACCCCCCGGCTACTGAAAGCGATGACTAATTCATTAAGCCATGGCCACGGCTTCATTTATTGACTCTAAATACTCAAAAACAATTTTCTGCATATAATAACAATATATTATTATTTGAAATTAAATTTATATAATTAAATATTTTATTATATCTTGTAAAAGGCATATTGTATAATTGTCTAATAAATTCCTCTTCCTATGTTCTAAAGAGAAAAATAGACTTGGATAACGTTAAACACGTCAGAGATAGACCTGAGTTACGCTACAAAAGTTTTACTCTTAAAATATAAGTTTGAAGTCGACAGTATAGCTTATGCAGAGTTTTATCTTTGGAGTGCGACTAGAAAGATATGGGCGCAAAATAGTTGCAACATCGGCCAGACAGACACTATAATAAATTTCACCTCGCATTCGGTCGATATTATATTTTCCCGAGCGAGTAGAGTTTTTACCAAGTAATAATGTCAAAATTTTGAGTTCACGAGTACAAGAAGTTCAAAAAAAGAGAGACAGGATAACACATTTGAACGTCCGATTTCAAAGACAAAGATTGTTCCCTAGCCAAAGACGATTATCTTTCCGATCTTTATGAACTTTTCTGAAGCTGATTAACGTGGAAGAATCGGTGCACGAAGGGTTAAGGTCGAATTAATAGGAAAATCTTGTAATCCACCCGCCTGACTCACGTCTAAATATCCGAAAGAGAGATAGAGAGACGTGACGGCGGCGGCGGCGCAGGGGATACGTTATGCAATCGTGATTTTGACATATGGCTGTTCGTGCGCTTAGCCAGCGTAAACATGCCGTAGGGTCGATATACACGGTGACTCATGCTTTCAACAACGTCGTAGTTGTCATTGTCGTCGTCGTCGTCGTCGTCGTTGTCGTCGTCGTTGTCGTCGTCCGAGAAAAATGCGATCGGACCGACCGGGAGCAGACGCGCATTAGCCTCGCCAAAACGAGCCACGCGATCCGTCTCGTTGTTTATAGGCGGCCGCGAATCGTTACTAATTATGTAATAACTAGTAGAGACTAGTAGAGACCTCCGACGTCAAAAGTGACGCCGGCATGTACGCTAGATTCTGAAAGAATGATAAAGACGTTACAATAATATCATTATTGTTACATTCTTTTTTAAAATTTGTCGTACATTCTTAAATCAGATCACAACTCGATCGTTAATAATCAGATTCGTTATAGATTTTTCATGCTTTAGGGACAGTGATTATAAATAGATATGATAAATAAATTTCATAGATACATTGAAATAAAAAATAGAAGAGACAAATTGATTTAATATTGAGTAAGTATTGTACTCATAGTTTGATTTGTGTCATAGTTGTGTGAGTAAAAGTGAGAATTCATAAATTTCAGGACATAAATTAAGAGTAGCAATCATTTGTAACTTTTTTTGCAAACGTGAAAACGTCGTCATGTAAACTTGACGACTTTTGCGATCATGTGACTTCTTCAACAATAAAAATGTGGACATTTTCACTTGAAATATTTTACTTTTCACGAATTCATGAAGAAAAAGGATACATGAACGACACCCAGATATTTAAATCTCTTTAGGTAGAAAATCTGAGGATGATACGAGGATCGAGAACCCAAACATTTCCACAAACGATCCCCGTTCACGTTTTAAGTCCACGTGACTGATTTTTTTACTTCTTTTTTTCGGATCGATCTCAAGAGTTTCGTCGTCGTACAGCACTGCGATATCGCTATCGCAATCGTCGTTACGTCACGTCGCCCGTCCGAATCATGTAATAACCACATTTAGCGAATCGCCGAATGCGCAAATATCGGCCCGCGCTTCCTTCGACGTGATTAACGTGCAAATTCGAAACAAATCCGCCGTAATGTCGCCGCCAATTCATCTACCCTAGCTTCGCGAAAACACGGTAGCTTCGCGAAAACACGGCGAAAGCGCAGATCGCGGCGCGCAAAATCTGTCCGACTATTCGCGGCGTCATCTCCGACGTGAGTCACTCCTATGAATAGATCCCCACCTTTCGCCTCGTACACGCCGACGATGCGAGTACGACGTCGCCGTCGTCGTCGTCGCCGTCGCTGCGCGATCTGCTCGAACGGATCTCCATCCAAACGGTCTCTCTTTTCCTCGATCCCTACCTAATCAACGGTTCTTAAACCCCCTCACTTTTCAAAAAGACGATCTCCCGCTAGTAATTTCTTTCTGTTTTCAAATGGAGACAGTAATAGTTCCTCGACGGAGCAAGCCTAACCGATATCGGGAAAAAAAAACATTAACGGTGAGCGCCGAAACTGCCCTGCAACTGGCAGTCGCTGCGTGATGCACCTTCAAAACAATAAAGCACAATTTGAAAATAGTGCACCGTAAAGGAGAAAAGTGGGAAGAGCGTGAATTAATAACGTATGATGAGCGGCAAAAATAGAGGCACAAAATGATCGGCGTAAAAGTTTCGACGCGCGATTGGCGGCCGGCAGAAATATCGCGCTCGCATCATCGTTATTTCCGAAAACCAGAGTCTCACTCCCACGTAGAGGACCGGATAGACGACGATGACGACGACGACGACGACGACGACGACGACGACAACGACGACGACGACGACAACGACGACGACGACGACAAACAGTGAGCCACGTTTCGCAGCCTTTTCGCTTTTGTAAACAAATTCCGGGCTATAAGAAAAGAAAGATCAGGGCCAGACCAGCGGGGATTAATCACCGCTAGTTTGTACGCCAGACTCGTCGCCACAATTTATTTTCAATTTAGTCCGGCCGAAACTACGTCGTTATACTTATAAATTTCACGAATACTGCTATATATTCGAGACTGAGAGAATAAGAAGACAAGAATTCGAGAACCTAACGACTTGAGAGGACGAGCTCTCTTGCGAAATTAAGAATACCAGGCTTTAAACATTCAAACGAGGAAGAAGAAGAACAAGACTTAATGAATCTTGAAAAAGCAGCTTTCAGCAAGCTAGCAAGTTTTATCTATATTTCCAAATAAAACAATTCACAACCGCACTATCTAAAAAAAAATTTATCTAAGATACTGCTAGTGCGGGTCATCCTATATCTTCGGATACCGCTATCTTGCCACTATCAGTTGTTGCCACTAATCGTGTGTTACCATATTTGATAACACAAGAAGGCACCTGGTGACTCAAACACCAGAGTCTAACAACTCGAGTATAAGAGAAGAATTACAATTAAATTATAACGAGAGCAGTAATATATTTGAACACTGGTGAGTATCATCGTGACATCGATTCCAGTGTAAAAATTATATTCAATTTGTGATTTTTATATTGTAACATTATGTTATATATATTGAATATTAAAGACTACATGGAAAAAAAGATTTGCTAATATGTGGACAACTAAAAATATTAACTGCAGGAGCAAATTTTCTTGCTTTTATAGCAAAGTTATTTAGTTGTGATAGCTAAAAGATTTGTTAATATATATATTAGCAAATCTTTTAGCTGTCACAACTAAATAACTTTGCTATAAAAGCAAAAAAATTTGCTCCTGCAATTAATATTTTTAGTTGTCCATATATTAGCAAATCTTTTAGCTGTCACAACTAAATAACTTTGCTATAAAAGCAAAAAAATTTGCTCCTGCAATTAATATTTTTAGTTGTCCATATATTAGCAAATCTTTTTTTTCCGTGTACACATTCAAATAATTTGGTAAGCATCAACGTGGAATATCTCGTCTGTTTCGCTTCCACAACAAATTTTGACTTTTAACGCAGTCTTTATATTTTAAATTTTAAGGAAATTGTATCTTTCTCAATATTCTAATATATAAAAAATTAATCACTCACGGCGATATATGCGAAATAGAATAACTTACCGATCAGCAAAGCCGGTTCTTGATCGTCGTCCACGAGCGCGGCCAATACCAGGAACAGCGGGTGCTGAGCGGGCAGATGTTCCAGGTCATCGGTGCAATCGTCGTACACTACAACCTCTCTGAACTGCCTTTTCCTGAGTAGCTCCTTGCCTTCGCGAGCGGTTGCAAGATCGGCGAGCGTGGCTTTACCCAGCTGCAGCCTGCGTCGGTTGAACCGATCCGAGCAGTTGACATTGATGGCGCCGCGCACGTGATTGACGTTATATAGTATAAATGGTCGGCAGTCGAGGATCACCGGAGCGGCGGCGGGTCGCTCGACCGCGAGACGCTGGGCCAATTCGCCGGAAGTGATAACACGAGTCTTACTTAGTACCAGCTGACGATGGAGGGTACCGTTCTCCGCGCACGGGCTATTGGGCAGACTGACGGTCTCCAGTTTGCAGCGCTTCGTGTTGGCCGAAAGGAGATGATGGTGATGATGATGATGGTGGTGATGATGATGGTGATAGTGGAGATGATGGTAACGACGGTGAGGATCGTCGGTGTCGCTACCGACACCGTCGCCGTTCGTCTCCTCGTCGATGATGTCCGGTGTGTCGATAGGGTTACCGTTGTTAACGAGGGGGCTGATCGGCGAGACAGTGGGCGAAGCAGGGAAGCTGCAGGGATTCGGTCCTGGCTCGCTCAGGCTGCGATTCAGCACGAGCTTGAGATTGGCCCGTGGCCGGCCAGCTGACACTGGCTCGCAACATAGTAAAGTAGACATCGAGGAGGACGACGAATTTCGGTCCTGAGGCCGATGTTCGTTCTGATTGTGTGGTGGAAGGTGATGGTGATGATTGGAATTCACGTCGGTGATGCTCACGTCGTGGCACGGTCCTGGGGTCGGCGCTGAAATCATTACGATTGGACACATTTGAGCAATCTCGAGATCTCTTCTCTCCTTCCGGTCAATTCATAATTCAATAATGACGTCTTTTTTGTACCGTATTACTTCGGATTCTCTCGGGTATCCTTGTGTTACTCTGTTTTTTCGGTCGATTACAATTCTAATTTGGCAGTTGGACGACGACCAATGTCTCGCACGTTACGAAAGATCTGTTGTAAGCGACGATGTACTAACTTAGAAATTACGTGATACACCCGGGATTTGCTACCCGTGCGCGGTTCATTTGTTTTTATAAATAACACCGCGTACTCTATTCTGTGTCAGTCCACCTATCCCCGGCTCCTTGGAGTCTGTGATTTTCAGATTTCTACTTTTCTGTTTCTCTACACACTTCGATGGCGCCTTCTTAAAATATCGAAAATACTTTGAACACATAAACCTTTTGAATTTAAAATATATAGGCTGTTGCGTCATTGAAATTTAAAAGAGTTTGGACCTTTGAACCATCAACTCTCAGGAGAACATTATATCTGTGAATTCCTAGAATCCAGGTTCCTTGAGGCGCAGTTTATGACCCTTGGAGTGATTTGAAGAGCCTCACGACAAGTTTGCAAGCGTTAAATGCAAATATTTAATTCTCTCGTCTCTCCATGTTCATCATGTATTTAATTTTCATGTTAAGCAAATCAAACTGAGAACCCAACAAGCGTGTTTAACACTAAATAAGTGATTTGGTGCGTTTGCGTATTCCATCATTTGGGTCTCGATCGATCTTGAAAAGCCGTTTGAAATGGATCGAACTGAGTGATACTCTCTGGAATCGACAGCCGATTAAACGGGAAACCATTGGTTACTCTCTCCCTCTCTCTCTCTTGCCCGACCGCTCTCCCACTTCTCTTCCGCCATCGAAGTTTCTCTCCGGCCCCGAGAAGTCTTCGAGTTCGTTCTTTCGAATGAGTAAACGCTGTGGAATTCGACGCTTCGAGCGGCAAGTGGGACCCCGCGACTAGCGATGGGCCTGATACCCTCGCAACACTATCGATATTTCTCGCAAACATGTTCGCTCGATCGTTATCAAACAGCGCGAGAAAGTTGCCGAGGAGCATGTTTGATTTGCGAGTATCGTAAATAGAGGAAATATTAATTTGAATAAGAGCAACATGTGGCCATCGTCCAAAAGTTCTAAATATCACGGCGTTTACTTTTAGACACAGTGTATACATGATTATTCGATAATAATAGAAAGTAGTGGAAAAGCGCTGCTTTCTGTTTCAAATGTTTCACCGTCGATATTTTCTCCTCGGCGAAAACTAACAAATTTTATGTTTCACACTAAGCTCCATTAGTCGAGCTAATATTATAACTGCAAAAGTGCAAACGCTTCTAATATTGATATTTTGTTTCGCAGTGGAAACTCGGCGCAAAGGATGCTTATTCGAAACCTTCACTTTCGCGACGTTAAATGGCGATTGACAAATCACAAAGAATAATGGTACGCTTTCGTCGCGGAAGAGTCAGTTCCGTTGATGTTGGTTACGAAATTTGTCATCGGAAACTAACTAAACGATAATCCGGCTGTGACGAAAATGAAGTAATTCATCGTTGCGTCGGCGAAAATATCGATAAGGATATTTGTTTGGGACTATCGCTACTCGCAACCTGACCGGGGGCATTCAGCCTGCGGACAGGTGTAGCGCCTGCCATGCCATGTACACCTGCCATCGTACGGGATACGTCGCCCTGCGTTCTCCCATTCACTCGAAAAGAACGATAATTTCTCCGAATTAATCTGTCGAGGTCCACCACGTTCAAGCATGCCTCAAATTATTCCTGATGATATGGCAACGGCGGCAAATTACATAATGGACCATCACGAAAGGCATAAATTTAAGAAGGTGCAAAAATTTGAAGATCTGAAGATATTTCAGAATCTTCTGAGTTTTGTGTAATACAAAGGAAAACGTTATATTTTCGTCCAACTTGCTTATTTTGTTCGTTTTATCATGTAAACAATCACTGGCCATCTAAGAATTTGGTATTTACGATTTTACTGCTTTTTTTGGTCATCTACTACAGAAAAATAGTAGTCCCGGCTTAGCCAACGCAAAGGATTATAGTTTCTTTGCAACTCATATTTTTACTTACAATATATGAATAATATGAATGTCATAAATTATGGTCAGTCTCAATTTCCAATAATAAAGGATAAAGTATCAACTTAAACAGTTCGTTTATTCCTTTTATTGGCGTATTCAAGAAGCTCAAGATCCAGATGTGTGAAAGCTTCAAGATCTAAAAAGCCAATAAGCTCAGTCACAATTTTTCACTTATGAGTACCTAGGTTAGGCACGTCACGGATCTAAAATTGGAGGATACGAGTATTTACACTATAAGATTCTGAGCCACATCTGCAGAGAGATCTATAGCAGTTCAAAGATGCATGTGCTTCATCGAGCATCTATGTAAAATCGAGCAAACCAATGGTGTCATAACACCATTTTTTTATTTGTACATCCAAAAAGTTCTACATATTTGAAAATACAAACGGGATTTTCTGCCGAATTACGAAATCCCGATGTTATGAATTCAGACGACTGAACATTCGAAGGTACGCGCGCTATGTCCCGCTAGGACACCTGGCACCTACACGTCCATCAGTCGAGGAGGACTGTGGAAACCTGAGGAGCCGAGAGGTCCCGATTACACACCTTGCATCTACATGTCCGGGAAGCGAAAAGTTCGGGATGTTTGGAAATCCAACGGCAATCCGAGCGTCCTAATTCTCGGCTTACACATCCGCGAGAGAACAGACCGAGATCCGAGATATCCAAACTGTATACACTTCCGTCGTACCGAAACCACAAAATCGACCTGGCGGGATTCGATCTCGACGGGAGATCGAGGAACCGAGGGAGGTAGAGGGTAAGAGAAGGAGAGGGAGCGGGTCAGGCCGCTGGGATGACGTCACGGGTCTCAGGAGAGCGCGGTTGCGCGAGTCCTGGGGACCCCGTGATGCTCGCGTTGGGTCAACATGTTGCCCACGGGAACGGTGACGGAGTGCGCGAGGTGTACGGACACGGGTGGCGCGATCTGCGAATCGAGCACGATCTGCGAATCGGGCGCGATTGACAGATCCACTACCAACGGCCGGCGAGCGAAGACTGAGGAAGCCCGCTGCTGAGCGGCGCGATACGCGACGACGACGACGACGATGACGACGAATTCACCGGCAACGAGGAGAGTGGAGAATATTGGAGGAGAGTGGAGAACGCTGCCGCCGCCGCCGCCGCTGCCGCTGCTGCTGGCGCGGCGGCGGAGGACGGCCGTTGCGGGGGTGAAGGGGGTCGCGCAGGAGCGTAATTTAACCCCTCATACCAAAGCTTAGCGCACGCTGGAATGCACGTTGTTCCTTCCACTCGCTTTTTAAATAAATCCTCGACCGCTTCCTCGTTTCTTCAAGAGAGAATCCTACAATTTCCAATAACATTTCTTATTTCATTTCTCGCTTTCGGATGACAATAGAAACTATGTCCACTTTGCAATTGATTCTTAACATCGCGATATCTTGTCTACAACGTTCTCGCGTCTTTAAAGTTTGCGGATAATTTGGATGGACAAGTCAGACCGAGTGATGCTTCACAAAAGACATTCGGATTCTTGTCGGGTGCGTTTTTTAGCACAGTGCGATAGTCTAGCTACACGATAGACATTCTCGAATTTTAGAATTATTGGGTTCTCCCTCGACTGCTAAATACCCTCGAGTCGCACGCAACATCGGTTATCTATCGGTGATCCCGAAAAAAAAAGAGAAAAAAGTAGAAGTTCTGCGCCATCGTGCGTGCGACGCGCGCGCGATGACTCATCGCGACGGCCGCGAGCACACTTTTGCGCTCTATGTGCACACGCGCTTGTATTGTGTACACTTGTACATTCGTACCCGGTGTCTCGAGATATGTTGCGCCGCGACACTGCCGTACCGCGAAGAGTTCCTTACCGCGCGATCGATGTCTCGCGGTCTCGCTACTTTGAATATTAATAGCACCGCCAAGATCGCGTGAGAACTATAGCAATGAGACGTAAAGGGACTTTCGTATGATCGATATTATCGTCAGTATCGCGGCATATTCATATCGATATCGCCGGCTGTTCTTTTTCACGCATAATGTTCCGTCGACCTTTGGCGGCCATCTGACCACTTGATTTTCTTTTTTTTTTTCTTCTAGCTCGAACGCGCTTCTAGAGACACGTTGTCCCGTTCATCTCGATTGCCCGAGCACTCCTGTCGCCGGTGACGCTCGGGAAAACTGCAAATTAATTATTCGCTAATTATTTCAAATAATCAACGCCGTGTATAGCACCTCTGACGTTAATCAACCGCTTTATTTCGGTACGCGCGATAATTTCGTCACACGAGACGTTTTTCACATGCTGTGTGCTCAAGCTGATAAAAGAACTCGGGAGCACGATTAACACATGTATGTTGTTTCCTCAGGTGAGCACGCGGTGAATTTTATTTTTTCTAACAGTCATTTAAAAATTATTTTTGATCTAACGGTGAACTAGTAGGCGCGCGACAGGATGCAGCTCGACGATGCCCTTTTCTCCGCGGAGGCACGAAATCAATTTGATCTACTGAAAGGTCCGATCCGTTTCTTTATAGTAAATTATCGATGCACTTCTAGATTCCTCCATTAACGGGAGATAAGATTGTCAGCCTTATGATGGCATCGACGCACTCACGCACGATAAATATTTTTGAAAATTTAATCTTTAACGCTTACGCGATGCTCACTTGTAAAGCAGAGAAACTTAATGGCCAAATAAATGACGAAGGAGTTTTTATCAATTCGCAATGCAACTTTTGTATCTTATTATTTAAATATTCTGTAGAACGAACAAAAAATTGAGTGTGTTGCAAATGCAATTATATGCAAAAATAATTAGATAGAAAGATATGCACATCCAATTATCTACTATTGTGAAACTCCAAGATGCGAATTTCTAAAGACAATGCAAATTTTTTTATCTCCAATCGGTATCTGAGAATTTCAGAAAATTCAATAATCAAAAGCGCTGCAAGTCATATTATCTGAGATGACATCTTCGAGAACACGAGATTCCACAAGATCGGACATAAAAAATTGTTAACGAGCTAAAACATTTGACAATTTCAGATTTGAAAGTTTCAAAAAGCCAGAGAGATCAGAAGACGGCAGAACAACTCGGACAATCAAAGGGACACGATGAATCGAACGACTATTCGCATTCGACAACCCCCGGGGAAGCCTCGCATAAGTACGCGAGCACCGCGGCACCGTCGCGTGTGTTCACGCGTGGTCATCTACTCCGTGCACCAAAGATAGAGTCTGACATCATACACACGGGCATCAGTCGGGTCGAACGAGCGATAAACATATTCGCGCGCACGGTGTCCTCGTACGCGGAAGGTTCCAGTTTGCCGCTTACAACTGTCCCGATCGATCGATGCACCCGCCGATGCCGCAGGCGTGCGAATTCTTCGTCTACTTTCTCCTATTTCTCGCGTGTGTACACGCGTATTCCTCGTAATTCGCCGCTCCCTTACTCGCTCGCGCACGCAGTTTTGAGAACAGAGTTTTCGGTCACGAGCTACTCGCGCAGAGGTAGCGTCAACGTTGTCGGGATATTTTCCTCTTTATTTATATATATTTGTATATTTCTTTTTTTAACAAACACTCTGTATGACATCGCAGTGCCATCGATACTACGCACATTCGTGTCGAGCATCTTATAGATAATGCACTCGAGGCGATCCAAAGATCTACAGACAAGAAAAACCCGCAGAACCGAAGATATAAAAACACTGATACGAAAATTACACGCCCCAAGGCCTCCGACAACGAGATTCAAGGACCCAAAATACAAAATCGAAGACCAGAAAGCGCGAAATTGATGTTAATTAATGTTGACGCCCGGCGTGTGTGCGACGATGTGTAACAACGATTAAGAATCACCGATAATTATATCAGCTGCTTCAAATTATGACGTCAGTAGCGAGAAAATACCAGTCTCATGTTGCTCTCGTTCAGTTGGTTTTCCTTCAAGTCATATTGCGTATTTCATGACAATACAGTGAAAAAAGAAAAACGATAATTTTTTATTCCATTTAGATTATTCGACAAGAGTAATTAGCTCTCCTGTAGCTTCTGCTACAATTTTATATATTTTCCTTGGGCCGATCGATTTTTTGGCTGATTGACAAATTGTTCAGTTAAGAGATATGGTTTGTTCAAATAAGACTGGACGAGGAAAAAGTTAACCGCATCGATTTCCTTTGACTTTTCCGAGGCGTTGAGTTTCAGCATGAGGGTTTACTGTTTGCTTAAAATAATGGCGATTTACACGAGCACAGATACGGCAGCTTATAGTAACACGTAACACTCGCTGCTGTTGTTGATAACGCGTCTTTGTATATACTATCGGTAGACGTCACGAAACCTGATAAAATATGCTTCGTTCAAGTACGATGTTTAAGATACACGCGCTATATAGAGTAACTCGCAATTAGCGATAAGATGATAGCTTCGAAATGATGTTCGCTTGCGAATACGTGCTTCAACCTTCCATGATATTTTCGGTGTAGGTATTTTCGATACAAAAATAGAGAGTCTTCAGAATGCAATCTTATAATTTTGAAGATAAAAAATACGAGATTGCTAATATTTTAAAATATATCAGAAATCAATGACAAAAGTGAATAGCAGATAAGCAGAACGAAGTGAAAAGCAGAAAGTCCACAAATATCAGCGCCTCAAAAAATCGTAGTGAGAGATCCAATGATAATTATAAATTAATAACTTATCCATCGAGTTTTATTATCCTGTGTACGATGGATTTAATGAAAGCACGCTCAACTCACCATCGATCGGTCGGAAACGGAATCTCTTGAGCCTCGGCAATGTCGCAGGGGAACAAACTCTCGTCAGGGCTGGCATCTCGCTGGCACGTTCACTGCTTGACAGTCGGCCGGAAATTCCGTTCGAGGACGATTTCAGCTCCGGAACGGCCGTGCGTTTCGGCGATCTTTCGGTGATGGCAGTGGCCTCTGCAAAAAAACCAAGGTGAAATATCCTTTGTTTAAGTTGACTGCGTGCAATCACCTGACGTGGACGACGAATGGTGCGTCATCGCCGGGTGTCATCACATGAATGTGTGTGTGTCATTGCTCCAGTATGCGGATTGCAAAACTTTGCGCGAAATCACGCCACGGCGGCATTTTTTTATTTCAATAGCCACCGATATCATTACGCAGCGATATTTACATTTTCTTCAGGCCGACAAATATGTCACATTCGCAAGTTTCCTGCATCAACTCACGCTACTAAATACTTTCTAACCGTCAGATATTATAAATATCTTAACGTAAAGAAAAACATCACCTTGGTGTTATTGATATTTTAACGTAAAGAAAGAGCATTACCTTGACCAAGTTTAATGGTGAGAATATTATTAAATGTTACACAACACTTTGCCGCGACAATGTTTTCTACGTGTGTTTTAATGTATTATTAATATATCTTTCAAGAGAGAGAAACAATTCGCGTGTTGATACCGTAATACATGTAAATTCGAGATATCTCCCAGACAGCACGATCCACTAAAAGATGTCTGGACTGTTAGCTCATAGGAAATGTAAATATTTATTTTGGCACTTTGTCGTTTTTAAACGCAACACATGACCTTACACTCAATTCATTTTTTATTGAACATTTTATTTTGATGTACTCTGAATCACCTATTTATTTCAAGATATACTTAACCGTTAAATGTCAAGCTATCGATACAAAACTCGTCACAGACTCGATTACACGCTCTGAGTCACACGATTGACAATCAATCGCGGAAGAGAAGACGTGAACACGTATTTTTGAAATATCACTACTTCATCTCTTAAAGTAGCATTATTTCTTAGATAAAAAATTAAAAAAAATTATTAAATACTTTAAATATAGCCATGGTATTAAAAAAATATGTAAAAAATATGAATTTGCATTTATAATAATTCTATTTTTTTTAAGTACATCGACGACAATTAAAGTGAACTTCCTCTTACAAACAATACAGAAGATGGATCGATCTTTAATTGGAAATAAAAATTTAATTTTGCAACTATTGCCTTTAAAAATTAATTTCTCGATTTCAACTAACTTTCTTAAGAATTAAGTCTTTTTTGAAAATATTCATTATTCAGCCTTTCTTGTCTTTTCCTAGTATCAATAACGGATTGTATACTGCATACTGATTGCACTATATACATATTTGTAAAGCTGTTTCACACAACAGATCAAGAACTCAATGTTTGATAAATGTCAATGTGTCACTTACCTGGCGACAGCGGTCTCTTGACAGGCGACGCTCTCGCGGCACGATGGCTCACTGTTGACTGTGTCGCGGCGTCGTGGACAGCCGCCGATATCTTGGCGCTCATCCTCGCCACGAGGCCAACCAGTTCGTTCCGGCGATCCTGACTCACGTACCAGGAAGATCAATCCGGAGGACGTAGGAGCATACTGACGCACGCAGTCACGAGGACGTTTCCAGGTGACAACCGCGATTGCTCACGCTGACCTGAAAGCATGTCCAACGTTGTAGAAGCGTGACATGGACGTGTGATTTGTCAGTGACATGAGACAGGTCAAAAAGCGGAGCCGAGGCCGAAAAGGAATCATTGTTCTCGAGGATCTTTCACACATCGAAAGAAAGAAAAGAAAGACAAACTCAAAGAATAGTTTCTGTCTTGTCAGGAGAAATCTTATTTTATAATTATCCCTTGCAATTAATAACTCCAAAAAGATTTCTTTTTCCTACACTTTCCTGGTTAATGTCACTACTTTTTCCTGGTTGTCTCATTAATTAAAAAAGCTTTGTTAGAAGCCGCTGTGTTAACCATTTGAATGTTTCCCAGGTAGCACAGAGAATTCAAAAAGAATTCACATGTCACCAATTCTGAGTTCATTTTTGGGTGCGAAAGAAATTCTTTTCACTGAACTGAACTCTGAAGAATTCCTTTTGCATCTGAAAATAAATTCAGAATTCGTGAATACGACTAAATTTTTTTTAAATTCTCTGTGCTCTATCTAGATACCTATAATTTTTTTATTTAGATGGTATTATTCATATGAAATTGGAAAAGAGAAATTTAGGACCAAAAATAGGTAGAGGATTAACGTAAAAGTAGAAACAATGAGTTATAAAGTTATTTTATTCCGAGGGAAGACTGAAGACACTACGACAAAGTTGTTAAATCGTAAAAAAATCTATAGAAAAATTACCAAAAGAATCAAATGAACAGAGGAGACGGATAAAGAGCGTTGACTTCGACGAGGAGCCTTGAAGAAGAAGGAACAGGAACTTGGGAAGCCAAGGCGATCCACAATTTCTCGCTTGTTCGTCTCGACAATTCGATCCGATTTAAGGTTGGAGCACGAAGAGAAGGAATAAAATCGATCTTATCAGTTCGCAACGTGCACTCCCTCTCAATAGAATGTCAGCAGAAAATACTTGTTGGTCTCCTGTGAAATTCATATTTATATTATTCGCATGTATGACGCAGTAAATATATGGTAAGTGTGAAAATTTCACTCGCGAATTATTCGCTATCTCTCTCATTACTTGAACTTCCCCTCGCATTCTTCATCTTCTCCACAGAGCGTGAGGTTATCTTTTATTAAGCGATTATTTCACACGTAAAATGTGACATCTCGCACAAACATGCACATCTCGTTGTGTCGTTCTCTACGAGGAAATAACGAGAAAAAACCACAATGCGTCGATTCGACGCTAAAAACACGCACCTTGGACGCGATGTCCCGTCAATAGCTGACGCTCGATATCCGGCAGGAAGGGGTTATCGGTGCACGTTGCGAAGGAGTCGCAAGCGTTCCCCGCGTTGTACTGCGTGCTCGTATTTACATAGCGCTCAGTCTCGAGGTAAAAACGCAAGGCTGCGGCAAGGACTTGCGCCATTATCGATGCACAACCGCGCACGGCCGGAAGAAAGACACTCGAAGCTCTCGCGGGCGGAGTGACAAGACCGACATGGCACGCCGAAGAGCGCGAAATTAAAGTAGTCAATCGGCCAATCACAGTCGAGAATTTTAAACTGATACTTCTTGATCGTAATTGGTCGATCGATTCCTGTTGAATCTTTGCCGCTCGTTTTCCCGTTTTATTGCATAAACCTAATTTTATCTTGAATTCTAGGCACGTATCATGAAATAGATATTGATCGGAATCGTTCAGTTATTTCTTAGATTTCTATTTTGGGTCTTCTAGGAAAAATGGAATTATCCCGTTCCGAGTAGTTTCTTAGTACGTGCCCTTCTTACTTCTTCGTACAAGTCGATTCGACGAACGCAGGCAATTAAGTTTAATCATTAACTTCGCCGCGCACGATACTCTCAACACTGAAACGGCATAGGATTTTCGAAAATCGAGCGCAACTAAAGAAAACGATATATTCGCGAGATAAAAGTGACGTACATTTTACGGTGTTTCGCACTCCTCGTGGAATTCTTCTCCTCCTCCTCCTCTCGTGTCGATGCCTACATCTTCGACTCGCCGTTTCCCCGTGTGTCAACGCACGCACGCATCCGAAAGTCTCGTTCCGATATGCACTTCCTCGACACTCGAACTTGTGACGTCGCGACGCGGACGTCGACGTGCATGGCCCCGTCGACACTGCCACCGAGGACACGACTGTGCCGAAAGTGTTGCCCGCAACGCGGCACTCCTCGCGTGCACACGGTGTCCTAGGTAACAACCCGTCACCGCCGCCGCCGCCGCCGCCGCCGCCGTCGGTTGTGCAGCCGCAGGTCCGGGGTACATGCGCGCACGGGCGCGCGCCGATCACATATATAAACGCGAGTATTGAATCGATTTCTTCACCTGCCTCGCAGCAGAGTTTCTCAATATCCCGCATTTCTCAATATTCCGCGATAATCGCGGACGAAGCTCGACGCCAGATGAGGTCGGGAACGTTGCGTACGTAACGTGCACTTCGATCTACGCGCAGAAGAGTAGATCGGACGCGGGTACTTCGTCACCACGAAGGGTAGCTAATAATAAAATGTACAGGTGCCTCGCGATGTATGTACGCATCATCCCCGATGTGGGTATCACTGGTCAGTATGACGCTCCAATCTGCTTCCGCATTTAGCGGAGCGCGTTTATGCCACGGCATTACTTCACCCTTCGCACGAATACATCGTATTTAGATTATATCGATTTACCCGTCGCGCGTCACAGCCTGACCTACTTCTGTAACGTCGGACGTTTTCTTTATATACGCTCTGGTGGAGGCACTTACCCCCTTATGTGACGAAAGAAGGCGCGCGCGTTTCCTCCACGCTACTCACCTACGTCACGGTGATTTCGGTAAAATGAGAAAAAAAATCCATAACGTCACGCATTCTCATAACTTGGCACGACCTACATTTATCGTGAACGACCGATTAAATATCGTGGAATAAGAGGTGTTACTGTATCACAGTAATTGCGAACTACAAGAGATACAAAGAATATTAAATAATTGTGGACTCGATAACGGTAAATGAGTGTAGCCAATGGCGGAAAGATCGCAGCGCTGTTTTTCAATAAGTTCTGCAACGCAGCCGTCCAATGGGAAAACTGGTTTTTTAGTAACTTGATTCATAATATCGACTCGTAAAAATCGATTTTCTATTGGATAACGGATGCGTCCTAAAATATGTCACGATCCTTCTTCCACTGACTGTACATAAAGTCTTTTATAAAACAGTATCTTAAATGATAGAATACGCAATCAGTAATGATGCAAACAAAATATACTTAAAGAAACATAAAATGCATCAGGAGACCAAATAAAATTAACAAATAATATGTAAGGATATCAAAAGAATGTAATTGCACTATTATAGCTGGGAATATGTAAATCGTATCCGATGGATTATCACTTTTAGTAAGAATTTATATATGCGAGTTTCCATACATTACTCGCGTAAAACGAAAAAAAAGAACCTTTCTTTGATCACCAGCTGAATTTGAGAAATTCGCTCGATTATTCAATGTAAACTATTAATGTCATATTATTATAAACTTTGAAACATATGTCGCGCATAAAACAATATGCACTGAAACTAGCAAACAAAATAAAACACTAATCATCGATAAAAGTGAACAGATATAACGCAGTAAAAAATGAAGTACGCAATAAAAATGTGCAAATATAATAAACGTATTAGAAACAAACAGGCACAAGTAACATATCTCGATAAAATCGAACGACTTATAATTGTGCCACGCTCAACACCTTGCACGATTCCGCGCCTTCCTTACAGATTTTGTTATGGCGCGATAGCGTAATGTATATTCTTATGCGCAGGTACAATTTAAGCAGCAGGCTGACCGGGAATTCCGGACAGGGAGGTTTATAATTGACTTCCTGTACGAGTTGTAGTATACGCGTACCGAGATTCTCCTCAGTGGCGAGGTCCGCGAAGTTGCTCATGAACACGTTCTCGAGAGCGTAAACGTAAGCGCTGAAGGAGTTCGGCGCGCCTTCAGGAAATTCTTTCGCCTCCCTGACATAGGCAATGCACACATCGCAATTGTGTGCGCGCGAGCACTCGTCGAGCAGGTACTCGCACACGTGCTTGAGCGCGACTTTCTCAGGCGGTCGTGGATCGATGTTGCGATAATTGGTCGAGGTGACGTATAAAGCTATCTGGATGGCAGGTGCTAGGGTCTGCTGGCTGGTCCGTGATGAAGACGACAGCGTAGACGGCGACGAAGTTGCTATCCGCTTGAGCATTCGGCGTGCTTTCCCGGCGAGGTCCTCGTTGCACGAGTGCTCGAGCAGGTGCTTGCTGACGAGGTTCTTGAACGCGCGAGTAAACAGAATGGGCGTAGGCAAGACGCGATTTCCACTCTGTCGTCTAATGGAGCGGAAAATGCGTTCGACGCACTCCTGATTCAGTTGTCTCGTGCGGAGAAAGGGAAGCTGATGGTCCCGCAGAACGCTCCACAGTTGCATAACAGCGTTGATCGTGATCTGCCAACGATTGAAGCAACCGGTCGATTTCACACACCCGCTGTTCTTGTCGATCACCCGGATCGACTTGAGGAAATCGAGCATTCGTTGCAGAAAACACATCTCGTGTGTGCTGCCCGTGAATGCCTGGCTGAAATCCTTGCTGTTAGACTTAGTGGGTGTGGAGGAGTTTAAGATGTCAAACAGCTGATCGAAATTGCGCAACAATTCCACAGTGCCGATCGCTTTCAGCGGAAACCCGCCGGAAACAGTGTACGCGCTTAATCCTGCGGCTAATGTGCTGCTGAACACTTGAACGGCATATTTGGTCTCTGTCTTCTGGTATTTGTTGGGCTCGAGGTGAGCCACGGATAGTTTAGGGACCAGTGGCAATCGCATCTGGTTGTCGCTTCTAAAGAATAGCTCAATGTCCACCCACGAGGCTCTCTTTTCCCGAAAATGTAACTCATGCTTCATAAGAATGTTCCTTGTCGCTCTTATCAGACGACCGACGTCAAACACATAGAACACCCTCTCGCCATCCACTAAGAACGACGGATGCTCCGCGAAGATTCCTAGTCGTCGCGAAAGATGTAGGAAGATCGGCGCCATACCGGTGACCAAGGCATGTACGGTCACACCGATAGACTTTAGCTTTGTTATCGCGAGAAATATCAGATTCTTCACGATGTTGACATTACACGTGTCCTCCTGAAAGTAGTAAGCAATCGGTTGTTCCCAATCGCCGGCTAAGCTACGCACTATCATCACTAGAGCCTTCTTCGCGAGTGTACGTCGCTTTTTCGAGCCAGTGTCGTCGAAACCGATGATCCTGTCGCGCGATAGATTGTAGAAAAGATGCGAGCGCAGCAGCATCTGATTCACACACAGACAGCAGCGTCTCTCCACCGGTGGCAACGACTTCATCTTCAAGTGTAACGCATTCAACACGTTGTCGCTAATACCAGTCGGTATGTCCCAATCCCGGACATGCCGCCACAATTGGCGCACAGTAGGCAACAGACATAACGGCCGATAAAATCGATATGCTGCTGGTGCCATGAGAAATAACTCAAGCGCGAATTGCTTACCCTCGAAGTTGTGCCGCATAGCCTTGCCTCTCTCGCGAGCATCAATACATGCGGAGACCAACAGGGCAGAATTGCGCGGCAATAAATCGGTGCACGTCGCTTTGAATCTACTCATGTTCGCGCGATAGTCTTCGTTTTCCGTAGACAATACTTCTTTCTTTCGCTTTGTGACTGGAGTGTCGATATGAATTTCAGGTTCTTCCATTCGTCTTTTCCCGACTAAGAAATCGATTGACGGCGTCTGGGTCGAAACATGCCAATGTGTTTTCGTTGGTGTTCTATAATATATAGTGCTAACTAAATTGACTCATCTATTTACTCCAAAAAATATTTACTGTAACGGTTTCTCTTACTTGATATCATTTTCTGTTATAGCAAGAACCGACGTTGCATTCTGTAGTGTAGTTGACGATGAAGGACCCGCAGACGTACATCTGTTAAGAGAAGATTGCATTTCTTGACGACCAAAAACTATATAAATCGATTTTTGTGAAATAAGACTTACATATTGTTACAGTCTTCCTTCGAAACTATCCATGATGATGATATTGCTGAATCTTTACATACATCTGTGATAGCACGTGTTTCTACCATTGAATTGCCAGAGATATTTCTACTAACAGAAAGCATCCTCAGTATCTGTTTTATATAAATCTCATAGATATTTACAACAATTTCATTAATTTTATTATTATAAAATTATGAAAACATTATTAAAACAGACGGTACTTCAAACGACATAAACATATTTCGATAGGTACAAATAATGCAAAAGAAAATAACGAAAAAGAAAACGATTTTTGATAACAATTATATGCTAATTAAAAACAGTATTGTGTTTCAAACTTACTCATCGTTGCTCTCTGACTTTATTTCAATCACTGTGGCCTGGGTAGTTGACATATTTCTGACAGAGTTTGAATATGTCATTTATTACTTATAATCGGTAGAGAAAGAACATATTAAATTCAAAACACAAATCTAAAAATAGAAAATTACCTTTTCTCATGGACTTGCTTTATAGATGCTTTCGGAAAAAGTGCTTGTAGCGATGAAATTATAGGTGTATCTCTGTTAAGAAATTACGATTTAGTTTATGTCCAAATAATTAATAAAATAATATATGCAAAAGTTTACTTTTCATCAGATGTTGGCGTCTGAGAAATCTCCAATTCCTTTGTTACTTCTGATACATCTTTGGACAAGCTTTTGAGAAAATTATATTATTTAATAACTGTTATTAAATTTTTCTATTTTATTGTTCAAATAAAAGAAACGCAAAAATATTTATATAAGTCTTGCAAACTTACCTATTTCTACTTTCTGGTCTTAAAAATATAGTTACAAACGAGATTGGTTGTACTAAATGTGTAGATGCGTCATTGCTAGAAAAATATATTTCAGTTTTTATAAATTGATTAACTTTTAAGTCTGATAGAATTTGTTTGAATATTATTCAATTATGCAACAACTGAATAAATCTATAAAGATTTACTTACTTGCTTACTGGTAATGGTTTTAAAAATATTGATGGGACAGCTTCCTTATTTAAATAAATTCTTCCTTCTATATTTCTAAACATTTCTACTCGAAAATGTAAATGACACAAGCGGTAGTATCGATTAGCATATTCTGGACCTATCATGACTAAGTCCATTCTGTTGCAAGCTTTTATCCATTCCATCCATCTAAGCACAATAGAATATATATTGAATAGAAGTTATATAGATTTAAGGACAAATATAGGTAGTCTATTTTAACTATATTAATTGCAATAATATAGTTGTAGAAGTAGAAATATAAAACACATTTTTCAAATAAAAATTTGTAAATTGTTCATCAATGTATCAATCTGAAATAAAAAAGCAGTCAGACAAATAAATATGCATACCTTTTCCTTTCTTTGGGAAATCTAAAGTAATGTCGTTTTGCTATTTTTATATTCATCATACAACCTGGTGCAGAACACCATCGAGTAGCTGTTTCACTAACAAGATGCTCATTCATTTTTTTAAAAAAATGTCATCAACTATAATAAAGCAATATATCGTTTTAAAGACTTATGATACAATGCAACATTATATTTTAGAGGCTTGCAAAAGAAACATAGCTAAGAACCTATGGCCCATATTCTGAATCATCTTTTATCTATAAAAGTGCCTCTAAAAGAAGCTTAGGAGCTACCTGATTAACTGAGAAACTATATTTAAGACACTTTTATCGATAAAATTTCAGAATATGGGTCTAAGTCTTTTATAAATCTCTCATAAATAACATATAATGCAGTATAAAGCCAGTACAATATTTATGGATTGTTCACAAATTATATGCTTGATGTTAACATAAAATTTCTGTTTTAATTTTATATTATTATCTATAGGGATACTGCAAAACATACGCAGTTTTTTATAGTCAATAAATATTCAATCAGAGCACAAATATTTACTCAATTTCATTTTGAGTAACATAAATAGTATTTTATGTACATGAAATAAACTTTTTGAAATGTTATACTTACGATAATTAATATTTATGTATCCTGGGATAAGTTACAGTTTCTCATGTATAGATTTTTTTGTAAATTTTTATTCCTGCAGAAGATACAAATTTGTACGAAACTTTCAGCACGTCGATCGTTAAAAATTTGTCAAAGGGCACAAAGTACTTTCTTCAATATACGGAAAGACTTTTATATTCTCACACACATACAATTACTTCTTGGGTGCGACTCCTTAAAAAAAAGCTAAACGAGAAACGGTATGTCAATTTAAACTGCCACAAACTCAAAAAGAATTGTGTCATAATACGCATGTCCAAAATCAGATTAGCCAATAGTGGATGAAACATATGACTAATGACTTGTCTTATGTCAAATAAGCGGTAATTTGAAAATTAATTAAACTGGTTATTGCATTGAAAACTTTCCAAATTTGTTTAGATATCGAGGAAAGAAAATTTTTACATAAAAAAATTATAAATCACAAAAAATCCGTTAAAAGTAAGGTTATTATATTATAAAAAATATGTAACTTTATATATATATATATATTAATATATATGTAGCTCTATATTTACAGAGATAGATATAGCAAAAAATTTTATTTTTTTTTTAATTAAAAGAGTATTTTAATTGTTTTTTCTATTAAATAAATTAAGTACAATTTTCTATAAAAACAAATAATTATAAATACGATTACGCAAACACACATATATACACAATATATAATTAATATGTTACACAATAAGTTATTTATATATATAACAATTATTATGTGCATGTAATATTTTATTTGTATAGTAAATATTATATTTAAAGTCAGAAGTATGAAATTTAAATATAGAAGACTATGTATACTAAATATATGCATATATATACATAAAATAATTTATTTATATAAAATCCGTGCTGTACATTGTTCTATTTAAAAATATACCGAACTTCAATACCGTGTCTATAGTAGGCTCAAGTACTATATCATCTTCAGCAGCCCAATAAAAAACATCCGCGGCTGAAAAAAATAAATATTAAAATATAAGAAATATACATATTTATATGGTAAATTTTAGATATAGGTAAAATAAAATAAATTATATCGTTTAAATAATTAAATAATTATTTATATATAATTAAATAATTAAATAATTATTTAATTAAATAATTAAATAATAAAACATTAATATCTGAAACAGCTGCATACTTATATCACTCATTTTAAGCATTGACGGTTTGGAGAATAGAGTAACGCGAGTTTTCTTCAAGAGTTTACTTTTTAAACAACCCAGCTTTATTAGTATCTGCAAAAAAATATAATTTTTCAATTTCTGGCATTAGACGGTAATGTTAGAAAGAATATAAGACAGATTGTATACTATTTTTTTTATAATATACACACAATGAATAATTAATGTACAATTTAAAAGTTGCAATCAAATTGTATACAGGATATCAAACCTCAACTAATTCACGCGTATGGAAAGGTTGTAAAGCAGGTATGAATCGATTTTGTAATTTCGTCATAGTAAGTCCGGGATAAAGCAAGGAATAACCCAGAACCGCTCCCAGCATTTTATCTAATACTTTTCGGTTCAAAACGCCGTCAATGCGAATCCACGGTCTTATAACAACTTTTATTTCCTCGGCCGGTCTGGAAGACAAGTTTATTTTTATTACATTTTACAGAATCATAAAATTATTTTACCATTCTTTTTCGATACATACAAGTTCGGTAACTGTGCAATGGATTTGTCTTTTTGTGAAGATGAGTATGTTCTCTGTCGTTGCGTCCTTCTTCTTGTAAGTGTATCGCATTCCTCATTAGTCTCATTGTCTTTCTTCTTCTTATTTTCCTCGTTATCCAAATCATCATCCACTTTTTCTTCATCTGGTTCGATTTTCTCCTTATCTTCTTGATTGTCCACTAACGGTGTTAATAGCGTCGTACAAATAATTTTGATTGCAATATTTATATAAATAAATAATAATTCTTCAAAAAAGCACAAAAGTTAAACAATATACTATAGTTATAGATGTAACTTTACATTAACTTCATAATTAAATAAATTCAAAGTGATTATATTACGTTTCTTATCTGTGTCTTTCTCATCAGTCTCAAAATCTGTGTTGACTATTTTCCCGTGCGGCATCGTAGCATATATGCTATCTTTGAAAGGCCCCAAAGCTTCTTGTTCCAGTCGATATATCTTGCACGAATGAGTCAGCCAAGGATCCACATGATAATGATGAATGTAGCGTGGACCAGTGACACCAGAGCGTAAAATTATGCGATTTTCTATTAAAAGTGTAACAACAGTATACAAGTCTGTGCCTTGCTCGTGAGAAAACTCGTTCTGCGTAGAAAAAAAGACATTAATTTGTAACAAGAAAAATGATTAGGTCAGTCGAAAAGATCCCTCGAAAAGATTACTCTACTTATATACGACATGATACAATTCTTTTAGATATATTCGTACCAAAAAAAGAGGAAAAAAGAGAGAAAGAAATAATCAACCTCATATAGAAAGAGAATTACCATTAAATCTTGCATAGATGCACCGACTTCTTTCTTTTCTCGGACAAACTTGCACACTGCATCAACTTGCTTCCAGGCAACCGCTATTTCCTTCTTGTTCGCTATCATATCGTCCTTGTAATCCTTATACGAAATGACAGTCTTTGGGAAAATCGCAAAATGATTTACCTCATTGAGCACTTTGTTTATGACCTCTTTCTTCAACGGCACTAGTTGATCAGGTATCAAGTTACTTTCCTCATTCTCGTTTTGATCACTCAACACTGATATTGCTTTTAATGATGATAGATCTAACCAATAGAACATTTTGAAAGCATTAACTACAAAGTATTCGTGTGCGTGATGGCTATCGGTTGTGAAGTCATCCAAGTCCTTTTTCATTCTTAACATGGCTATTCTAGTGTACTTTTTCTGTAGGTCGTTTGTGTCATCGATCTTACAGTAAGAATTCAAATAGTTTGTCTCAAGGGGTACGTTTTTTATGATCTCATTCACGCGTCGAGGAATCGCAGTCAGGTCGATTGAGCAGTTCGGTTGGTTTACTGAAGCTAAAAATTAAAACGTACGATATATTTACCTTTATCTTTGGTTATAGTTAATATATTTGAAAATTGATTTGGAAAATAACACATACGTTGTTTCTTCGATTGCTCCTCTGCTAATACTTTCATCTGCAAAGATTTATTAGCGATCTTCATCTTCTCGATGTTTTTAAGATCCTCGTACAAATTCGTTTCCTCGAGTTCTTCTGCGTCCGGCAAATCCATTGAATCATCGGAATATAACCTTGGTCTTTTTAAAAATGGTTTCTCGCAATCGATAGAATCCTCCTCTATATCAATGGTTCTCTTTTTTGATGAACGTTCAGCACAATCCTTTTCTGTAGACACATGAACATTGGAATGACTCTTCAATGTGAGCTCCTCGAGATCAACGTTCTTGTCGATAGATTTATTTTCAGTTACAACTTTGTTTTGCTGATTCTTCGAAGATTTTTCCATTTTTCCTTCATTGCAATCTTCGTCTTTACGGGGAATCTTTGAACTCGGCTCCCCGAGATCGTCGTTTTTAAAGCTCATAGGCCTCTTCTTTGTTGCAAGATCTTTCAGTTTCTCATTCGTTTCCATGTCATCGAGTTCCCGAGTTCTAGCATTTTGAGCTGCGGCATTTCCGAACTTAAAGCGATAGAGTCTCGTCATAATGTCCTGGTATCGTTGTGCGACCCTGAAGTAAGTTTCGTCCTTATCTTGATACCGGGAATCCAACATGATTATCTGTTCCGGCATCTCAATGTCGAAGTCAATCTGGTTGCATCCTAGAAGATCGTGTATGGTCATGACTATGCTGCTAGAAACCGGCTGGATTTCGATGCCGCCGTTGCTGACACTTTCTTGCTCCGCAATAGTAACGGCCTTTTTCTTCTCCACATAGTGCTGTAGTAACTTCGAAAAAATATCGGAGGTGCCCTTGAATACATCCTGTGACCACTTCGTATGGAACTTGTATTCGTACTGGGCACTGAACTTGTATTGCGCGCTGCTCATCGGTACGTAGTTGCCGTCCTTCTTGAGGGCGGATACATGATTTTTCTTTACGGTCACCATTTTGTCCGCCTTCAATTTGACTATCACTGGCACCATAAGTGCTTCTGAATAATGCTGGTATATCTTTAACAAAGATAAAGTTTATTAAGTAATGATTAAACATTTCTATCGTATACAACTGAAAAAGATATAATTAAAAGTAGTTAAATTAGAAGAGAGATTAGCTTACGTCGTTACGATATTTCCTTTACATAAGAATTTAATCAAACGACCTATATGCAATTTAATATTAAAAATAAACAAATTTTAAATTATCGTACTTCATAAATGGGATATATTTGTAATATCAATGGCTAATGCATACCTTAAAAATCTCATAAGCCCAGGAACGTTTGCTTCTTGCGCAGTACATAGCGCTATGTATAACCGAATTAATAGTCGCCGAATGGATGTCGTATATGTTACGAACATCCTTCCTGTAGCCCTCATTTTGACATGGTTTCGCTGTCGGATAGATCGTCTTGAACAAGAGATTGAACTCGTGCACGGTCTTTGGCATCGCTATGTGCTTGTTAGGCTTGATATTCGCAATGTCGTAGTACTTCTTCATGATAAAGTCGACGAGTTCTTTGAACACCTCCGTCACTCGTTTTTCGTATTCCGTTGTGTTTGAACATTCGCTTTTCAATCTGTCCAAAATACCATTGTAACGTTCGTCGATGAACGGATCCTGTTTTATCTCCTCAACACCGAGCGCGAGGCTGTTGATTGTACATTGTTGTCGCAACATATACATCAGTCGACGCTGGCAGGCACGTGAAGTCTTGTTGTACGACGTGCAAGAATACGTGCGGAGCACATCCCTCACTGCCATGAAATTAACCAAGTGTTTGCGTGGATTAGGCGAGAGGTATGTTATTGCTATTTTACACACCAGTAGAATATTGACCTCGTGCTGCTCCCAGTCCGCTCGTAACTTGGGCATCATTTGCATCGCCTGGTAGTCATCCTCGTCGTATTTAAGACGCGGTCGACTGCTTCTCTTGCGCGGCATCACTCGCCGCACAACTGACTTCTCCCTGCTGCTCTGATGCGACAACAAAACCTCGTTTATGCGACCTATGTCGGTCGGCTTGTTGATGTAATCGTACATCTGTTTCCGCAATTCGGCGCTAATAGCGGGCGCTGGTGGTCCAGAGACCTTCTTCAGGCCTATATATTCCGTATATCTGACTGGTTTCATTTGAATTTTTGACAGATGCAGATCTCGTTGACCGGATTTTCCACGTTTCTTGGCCTCAGAGTTTCGCGAAGTCTTCGTCTGATACATGGAATAGTTGGTCGCCCAGTTCCAATTACGCTTCAGATGTGCAAAGAAAGCAGAGTCAATACCAGCTGCGCCTTTACGATCTCCGGGAACAACGCCGGTATCCATATTCGCAGCTTCCTTTGGATTGCGTGCCACAATCGCCTCTACTAAGAGGTTTTTCTTATCCAGATCCTCGACTACGATATCTTTACCGTGTACAACTAGTCTACCTCCTAACGGAGTGTTAACGCAGATATTCCACATGTCATACCAGTATTTCTCAACGGTCTGTACATTATCGAAGAAGTACTTTGTCACTGGATACTCTTTGTCCTCGACATTGTGGTAGCTTGGCGCTGAGGAGACCGTGTCCATGAGTTCCGTGCGTCGATTCACGTAGATGAATACCTGATCTTTGTCCTTGAGTCTTTGTGGGCCAAACTGGACCAAACCGATATAACCTAACTTGGACACTATATTGTGAATGTTAAATATGTATTTCCGTGCATGTAGAAGAGCGTCTCGTATATCAGCCTAAAAAAGTAAGGAATTTATAGATTTATTTTAACTGGACATCTCTCGAAAGATACAAGTATAATCATTCAAGAATTATATTATCTTAGACTTACTGGTAGATTTTTTACGAGGTAATGCTTCCTGATAGGATGGCTCAAGTAATAATCAAAGTCTGGTATGATATACTTGATGTTATACACCTTGACGAAGACTGACAGTGGCAGGCTCATGAGAACGTCGCACATCAGCGCCCAACCTTCGGGCCAGCCGCCATGCTTGGGCAAGGGTGGAACAAACATCTTCCAACTCACTTCGGTGCTGTAAATAGTACTGAATTCTCGGACAAGATCGTCGTCGATGTCGTAGCCGCTGGACCGCAGGATCTTTATCTGCTCTTGTTGAGATACTTTCGGCACGCCGACGTGATCGTAGACTAGATAGAAGAGTACGACGTGCATCGTTTTCATCTTGACAAACTTCGGGCTAAGACCGTAGCGTTTGCCAGCTGTTGGATCGTATTCGAAATTCACAGTAGTTTTACTGAAATCAAGCGATCGCTCCTTGGAGTCTGATTTGTCCGCTTTGTCCTGCTTATCTGAGGATCCTTGATTTATTTTTTTCGCGGGCACTTTTAGTTTTTGGGATCCCATCAAGCAAAATTTCAGCTTCGCTTGCTCGACGGCTGATTTGATTACGGTGTGATCCGTGTCGATGTTCGGATCGCAGATAAAAGTTAGGTTCTTCTCGCGACCGTTCGCACTCAAAGTTAGCTTGATATTCTTCACTAGATTGTCCTTAGCGAGCTTCTGCAGTAACCTTATGAGAGACTTCTTATCGATTTTCACTTCGTAACCCTCTTTGTCCTCTTCCTCGCAGATCATCTTCATGAGTTTGGTCATGTCGTCTATCACCTGGTGTTCTTTCACCGCTTCGATAATCATGTTGGCTCGACGCAGTAATCTGCATAAGAAATATTTATGAATATGACAAAGGAATTTATGAGAGAAGAGAGATCTGTTTTTCTAAATTATATAATATAGAAACGAGAGAATCAAGAAATATTTAAATATTCTATATATGGTTGAATTTTGAGAGGAAAAGAAAAAGACAAAAATTTCGCTATATAATTATAATTTCAACTTATACATATAAATTTAGAAATGGCTATTTGCTGTTTTCTCTTCAACGATATTACAGCGATAATAACAATCTAAAATTCTCAATTTAATCGATTGATGAAAACTCGTACGGTATAATTGTACAAACCTATATGTAATATTGTACATATTTTTTTTCTCGCAATTCTGTACGACTTCCATGAAACCGAAGACTTCGTTGACTCCACTGCCAGTACGAATGGGCTTCTGCATTGTCAGATTCGTCTTGATACTATTGTATAACGATGTGGCCTTGGCATTATTCGCGATTTGTTGCATCGATACAGACGAAACACCGAATTTCTCTTCCTTTGTGGCGGTTTTGAGAGTCATATTTAAGGATTCCGACGTCGTGCACTTATATCGAAATTTCAAGCGATACTTGCGAAGAATACTGTTGACCGCGTAGAACTTATTTTTCAGCTCTGCACTGACTCTTACACAATTTTCACGTGTACTTTTATCGACGAGCGAAGTATCAACGTTGATCGAATTCTTGTCGTTATCCAAATGAGATGTCTGATTATCTTCTTGCTCCATGTGAGTTTTTTTGTCCTCCTCTTGAGAGTTTTCTTTGGTTTTTTCCTTTTCGCTGATCATCTTTTTAGTAAGTTCCTTGATTTTGTACATTTCCTTATTAAATTGTTTACTCATCTTGCTACGCTCTTCAAATTTCTTCGACACGTATTTCGTGATTCTTTGTCGACCCATGTCGTTCATATACGTCGCGATAATACCTACTTTGACCAAGTTCCTTAGAAATGCTCTAGCCTGTAACTTGGTAAGGCCCATCTGCTTGCCTAGTTGAGCTAGATGAATCACAAAAATTATTTATTATTTAGACTATAGTATTTGTAATTCTTAAGAAACGTGAGCATTTAAAATAATTTATTTACATTATAAAAATCTAAGATACAATTCACTAACCTTGAGCTATGCCATCCAATTCGCTCGCCTCGACGATAGCGTTTGCTTGTTTCAGATATGGAACTTTGAATTTGTGATTGGAGACATCCAGCTCGATAACATCTTCGTCGTCATCCTTTTCCTCCTTATTCCACAAGTCAGCGATATCCACGTCTGGAAATATCACTTGCACCACTCTGATTTTCTTCTCTTTCGAAGGATCCTGTTTTTGACGCCATTCACTGGGCTCTGCGTTGGGATACAAGGTTCTATATGGTACACAAAGATCTGTCTTGACAATTTTTTGAAAGAAAGATGTTTTAAATAGCTTCTTGATCGAATTCTCGATTCCGAGCTTCTTTTTAATCTCATCGTACTCCACTACGCCATTCTCATTAGATCGTAGAAGTTTCAGCACCTGTTCCGCTAAGTAAGTCATTTTTGGCTTTCGTTCCACGTAAAAACGCGGTAGGTGCAGTAGACTGCCATTGCCGCAGTGGCCGGCGCTTTTCTGATGATGTACTTGCTTTGTGATTAGCTTATGGTGAAGTAGGAATTTTCGGTGATAGAACAAGCTCTTTGGATCCTCGTTAAGTGCAGCTAAACTAAGCTTCCCCTGAGTAACCTCACCATGATAGCGGGATCTGCCTACTCTTTCCAGAAAACAATAATGCATGATTGTTAGCCCCAACGTTGGACTTACACTGGAATCCATTAAGGCTCGTGTCCTGACTGACTGAGATGCTACAATTACTAAACTCAATCCATATTTTTCTGTTACTTCGTCTAGGCTTGCATTCTTCACACTGTCTTTGATGTTTTTTCTTGTATAATATGATGAACAAGAACCTTTCACACTTGCCTTAGGATCTTTAATTGGGCAATGAGGATAAATATCTGGTGGAACATTTGGCTGAAATTGAAAATGTATGTGTAACAAAAAATTTCTTAAAAAAAGATTGGATAAAAATAATTTGAGTTTAACTCTTATACTTATCAAAAAGTTTATTTTATTAGACAGTTGCAAGTACTGAGCAAAATGATTTAAATATGCCAAAAATAAAACATAACTCTCACTTAGTAAACTCAAAACTCTTATTTAGTAAAAAATAACATTAATAATATATCAAGAATATTAAGAGCTATCACATGTATAAACTAACATAGATATATTCCAGAAACAATGGAGTATTTTATATTCAAGTTTTATTATGTATAGTATATGTAATATAATTTAAAGAAAATTATTTTTTATTAATAAATCATACATATACAAACATTGATAATATATTCAAATTCATATTCATATTCACACTTACTGGTTCAAGTATAATACCAAAATCAGGATCCACATATTCATAACGGTCAAATATAACAAGTGATTCTCTTGGTGTCACTAATTCATAAAATGTAAATTCTTTTAGTTTTTTACATATTGACCATACTTGGTCCATAAAAGGTTTTGGAAATGGTAATCGATCATGAAATCGGTTTGCTAGTCGTATCCATAATGCTGAAAAAGAAACATACAGTACATGAAGCAAAATTCATTTAATGAGATAATTTAAAATTTAATAAAATTTTGTCACAGAATTTTATATATTTATGTATCTAAACCAACAGGCTAACTTTATTCAAATTTCAAACGCTAATATCTTATTTTATATGAAATGATAACTCCGTCATATAAGCCTCATAATAAAATGAGTAATTATTACAATACAAAAATAACGAATTAAAATAATTACATTACCTTGTAAAGTAATACCATCTAATCCTTCCAACGCAACCTCGTCCACAATCGACTCGACTAAATTATACGGATAAAAGGCCATGATTATGTGTCATAAAATTTTATTAAAATGTGCAATATCTTCGATACACACGAGATACAACACGTAAATATACCGTGCATCATGGCTACTGCGGATAGGATGCGGCAAGAAGCGATGTAACAGCCAATCGATTTGCCGCTTTTTCATAAAATTAATTGTAGATGGCGTCAATGTTCTTTCCTGTTTCAAAATTTGAGGTTTCGTGAAATTGCCATTTGGCGGAGCCACATATGTGAGCGCATTTCAAAAATGCAGTTGCGCCTTCAATCATCGCGTTTTCAGTGCATGATATAATGCGAACATAACCAAAAAAGGTTTTGCGAAAAATATTTACTGTTTACGAAGCGCGATGTAACGACACGCAGTATAAGTGCATCTAATGATTTGGCGGATCGTAAACATCTGAGATGGGATGACACGTCGTAACGCAGGTGATCAGCATAGACCGGCGCGTTTATAGAAGCCCGTGATTCCGTTACTAAATATAGGATTTATTTTTAGGTTGAAGCTAGCCGCGCTTTGAATCGGGAATCTGTTCCAAAACCAGATTTCTAGAAGGTTCGTAATACGAATAAAGTACCGGTTATTTCTAGATGACACGCTATTTTTAATTGCTACGTACAATCCGATTGTCGCATTTTACTGTATAGATAGTTCAGGCATTTCTTCCATGATAAATTTACATTTGTCGATAAGCAATTTTTGTAGCCTACAAGTTATTTATTTTTCGGAGTATCGTAATTTTGGCCGATTATTGTTCTTTTTTACTGATTACATTCACATGTAGAAGCTAAAGTAACAACCAAAATGTCTATATGTGGTTGCATACCATTGTGGATTTTACCTGTTAGTTTTCTTCAATTACAGGGACAAAAATGGCGACTGATGTAATAATTAGAGGTAAGGACAGGCTGCAAGAGATCAGCACAAAATTGGAACATAGTCACTTGGCATACCTGCAAACAGATGACAGTCCTTTAAAATTACAACAACGTCATAAATTGGAAGGTACCATATAGCATAACTTATCATACAATTGGTCTGTTCTTTTCAGCTGCACTGCTGAACTGGTGCAATAAGTTAAAGTGAGACAAATATATGTTTTCTCACTCTAACTTATTGCATCGGTTCAGCAGTACAGCTGAAAAGAACAGACCAAATATTAAACTGTATATAGAATGCCACGATACAACTGATACATGTCAAATTTCAGGTTTTATAAAAGAATATCTCTGTCTAGTGCCCAACGAAAATAAATATGTGTTTCAAGAAACAGCAGATATTTTACATAGGTCAGCGGCTACAGTGACTGATTTCAGTGGGTATAGAGCAGCGACTGCTTGGAGTGCAATTTCATTGTATGCAGCTAATCTCTTGGCTCAGCCTTGGAGAAAAGAATACAGAACAGTGAGGGTGATTATTATTATATTATTATAATTATTAGAGAGGGAAATAGGTTTAAAAAGACTCGTAGTCACTTCTAAAGAGGTTTTTTTGTAATACTATGTACAGTGGGAATGATTATCTGAAACATTCTAACGTTATTTTGTTATAAATTTTGCAAATTCAAATACATCTATTTCATTTCAGACATATAGTGGCTATTACAAGCATGAGGTAGAAGCGAACTTAATAGGCGCGGAGTTAATGTTTGAGCAGATGGGCTATAAACATACTGGCCTGGGTGTGCTGACTTTGGAAGGGCCGATTGATCCGGATAAAGTTTCCAGCGTCAGCAGAGATGCTATCGTGGCGTTTGTAGAGTGTCAGGTAATGCTAACATAACATGAAACCAATCAATATAATTACTCTGCGTTACACTAAATTGCATACTCTACATTATGCTTATATTGTCATACCTTATCAACATAATGAATTGCAATGTAATTTCAGATCCTGAAGCAGATATGGGAAACTGTGTCGCAGAATTATACTATCTCCTGGTTGGAGGTGTTGGAGTTCCGCGAGAACAACGTTGGTACGCCGGAGCAGGCGATCCGTGCGCTTAACTACCGTTTTCTCGAGAAGTTGCATCAGAACCGCGCAACCAAAACTAACAGCTACAAGGATTACTATACTCAGCAGCAGCAGCAAACTGTAGATGCTGTGCCACTTACTGTACCGTATCAAATCATACAACCAAATTACAACGTGGTGACAATGCCGCCGGCCTGCCAGACGGACTACAGACGCATCGAGGACGTGAGTAACATGATGTCGGCAAACTATCGATATTACCAGCCGCTCGATCATACCTTCGTCAACTGTTGTAACACCTACGGCTGTTTGCCACACGGGAACAAGTTCTATAGTGGCGGCGGTATGCAAACGGACCCTTACTGCGCTACATTACCGGCTTACCCGCCGATCCGAGTGCCGACCGGCAGACTGATAGAGCTTGACGCCGTACCGGCGTCCACGGTGAGCCATTACAGCGATAAGACTCCTCGTAAGTCCACAATGCTCCACAAGATATCGGATTTGGACGAGGTAGATTTTTATAGACGGCAGGAGCCTTTGAGCGACGTAGATCATTACAACGAGTACGGCGATAAGGCCGTAGATAGGAAGGCCGCTAGCAGATCCAACTCCAGCGTCAGCAGGACGCGCGGTGATGGTTACGACACGTGGGATTTCGTGTACAAGAATCTCGAGAGCCAAGGTTACTCGAAGGACCTCGGCGAACGGGAGGATGTGCTGCAACACAGAAAAGAGTTGGACTCACGCACACAGTCCAAGCACAGAACGCTTAGGACGCAGACGGAGAATGAAAACAAATACAGCTCGCACCGGTTCGAGAAGAGAAGAAGTGGCAGGAGCGAGGCGCACGACGTCGACATCAGCGAGACCAACGATAGAAATCACCAGGATATCTTGCCGTTCAAGAAAAAATCCTCGTCCTTCGATCTGTCAGATTCGAGCAAGTACAACAATAGCGCTGGCGCCGGCGTTACAGTAGATACGTATAACCGGGACAAGAAGCACAACAGTCAGACCTTACCGATGCCACGCACGCACAGATCCTCGGATCAAATAGCAAAGATTGAAGACTCGTTGAGAAACGTTGATATCGCGCGAATCAGCAAGGACGGGATAGGGAAGCAAGAGGAGGACCGGAAGGACCGAAACGAGAGAAGGTGGAACTGCGGCACATGCACGTATTTGAATACACCCGACAAGGACATCTGCGAAATGTGTGGCAAGTCCAGATACAAGGGCAACGAGGACAAGCCGCTCGCTAGCGGCGGTAAGGAATGCCCCAAATGCACGCTGGTGAACGAGAAGGACGTTTCTATCTGTGATGCCTGCCATACCAGTCTAAAGGATTCCCCGACCTACATATAGAAGAGCCGAGTTTTCCGAGGCCTAGGGAAGAAAAGAAATTATTCGAATTTTGAAGGATATACGATCGGACAAAACGAAAGAGGGCAGTCGCAATCGCATGATAATGATCGTGCGATATAATAACTGCCGTCTGACGAAACCTCAGCGAAGTTTCGTCGATTACGATCGCCGTTCAAGCACTTACTTTGGTCCATCTTCACTTTAAAAACGAAAAAGAAGTTCTCGCACGTTCGATCGAATCACGGCTTTTGTCGCGGTATTGCGCAACGGTCTCACATCGCGTGTAAGAGATAGAGATATGTCATGTGGACATAGAGATACGTACAACGCGATTCTTTTTCAACGACCTAATGAAAACGGAAGGTGGATAGAGAGAAGAAAAAAAGAGAATTTAGAGACATAATATATTGATAGCATGCGAATACTGATTTCTATAGAGAAGAGAGGGTACAAAACTATTTATTTAAAATTTATCTTGCGCAGTAGGCTTATAACAATTCCTCTTTTAGTATCACGTTAGCATTAAAACATTGGGGCCTATTGGTTAGATATCAAGTAGACATCGGGATCATGTATATCATTATTAAAGCTTTCGTAGTATTTGGCGGCTTGCTAGTAAAGAATTCTACTCAAGTATTGAACACACATGCAAAACTTCTTATTGACTGATCAATCATTGAACATAAATCATTGAACCAATTCCACGGAGATTGATAGAAAAATAGCAAAAACTAGTATGTTGCTTGTCAAACAGATATTTAATCGCATATTTGACTTTCTATCAAATACACATAGTGTACAATTTGTTTTTTAAATTAAGATTACATCATAGAAAACTGAGTGTGGTGCAACTATTTACCATTACTATAAAAAAAGAAAACAAAATTACAGTAAATATGAAACGTTGTTATTGTAATTAATGGATTTTGTATATAATGCGCCACTATATAATGATCATTAAATTATTCTAAAAATTTTGATCGCGGCAGCCGCTTCTCGGTTTGCGTATAATAGTTTACGCTATGTTAGTAACTTGAGTGTAAAGGAGTGTTTTACATTCACTAAGGAATTCCCCAAAATTATAAATTAGGCGATTGTTGTGAAATACAAAGAACGTTAAACTCAGCTTTACCAAATTATAAAATTATCACGCAATCAGTTGCGGATTGTTGTTAGAATTATCACAATAATATATGCATATTATGCTACACATTACTAGAAAAAAGAGAATAGATTATAAACAGTGGTAATGAAAACGATTGGCTGTACAGATTCTACGGTAAGTGGCAGAATTTTACAAGTAAAACAGCGTCTATGTTAAATCATACATTCTGTCATCACTTAGAAGTAACTTTCTCGTTTATTTAAGAGCTATTATTATAAATGCCCATTGTTATTTATTCATACATTCCTTATTCATTGATTTGTTGAGACGTTAAATTTGTTCTGTTTATCGAACACCTCTCGCTTTCATGTATCTGCAATGCATCTATGTTTCATTTGTTATATCTAAGCTTGGTTTGGATCATTGAATGTACGTAACATGCAGTGTCTTAACTTTATACGTATATAAAATACGCGCAAAATGCTTGGGTTTCCGCAAGTTTGTCGAAGTTGCACAAAACGATATGTATATGCAGCTAAGTAAGCTTAGTCGAAAGTGTTTCTCTGTCCAGAGACATTGGACTTTTGCTCAATAGAGAAATCTATAACGAATGCTTGAGCTAATGTACTTCAGTTTACGTTCAACCCTCAGGCGTTTTTATTAACCGCACAGTCAGTAAAGGAAAACTTTATTTGCCGTACTATCTTAGCCTAATTTACGTAATTTAATACGTCGAGGTTAAAGTACAGAAGAAGTAATTCATGGCTACGTCGCTTAATATAGGCGATGCACTGATAAGAGATAGCAACAGATATTAATAGGACAATTGGCACTTTGAAAACGAAGACTTAGTACAACAATAATTATTGTGCTTTTCCTAAATAAGGATATCCGTTTGTATTTCAGGTATATACTCTATCGCAATATAAATAATTTTTAATACCGTTTATAAAAGTCTGATATTACAATTGTAGTAGAATTGATATTTTTTCATTGATAAAGTATAAGAGTACGGTAAAAAAAACAGAGAGTAGGCAGTATAAAAGCATGCATAAGTGGTTATATTGTAACATCTTGCGGAGTTTATGTAAATTGTATAATAATCTGTTGTATAATAAAATTTAATATAATACATACTATATTGATTAAATAATACATATTATATTCATGTAAAATTTTTATTAGAACGTGTTATCATAGACATTACATTTGTACAAAATATGCAAAGAGATAATATATAATTATTTTTAAATATTTAAATTAGATTAAAATATGAATAAATGTATGCAGAGAGAGAAGCAACAATCGACTTAATAAAATAATCTACCTTTGGTGAATTTATCTTACTCTCATCAGAAAGAAATCCATATAAAATTGATAATAACAATTGTTACTTATTATTTATTTTCATAACTTTTTCGATATGTTTAGAAGCAGCTTGGTGAATTTTCTTGTCCAATTTGTCTGTAACATAAAAGAATATAATTTTGTTATCTATATCAATGCATTAATCGTAAATTGAATCAAATTTTATGCAATACTTCATTGCATATTCATCGTAAATCATGAAAAAATTGCTAATACCCATAATTACTTACAAATCTTGTGTTTTCCTTTTATGGGAAATGGTATCGGCAATATGCAAGAATTTTCACATATAAAAACATATGGACTGTCACTTTCACCATCCGGATATAATTTCCTATATTCCTCTTGAGGAAGAACATTTGTCACCGTTACGCAGCCCAGCAAGAAACCCGTTGGATAATTCTCGGGAAACTTAATGTCTCCTAAAGTAATAGATGTATAACATACAATATTATAATTATAATCAAAACATATCTTTTTCTTTACTAACCACTTTTTAACATATGGTAAGCAAACTGTATATTAGATATTTCTTCGGCAGATGGTATTTTAACGGTAGATGCTATCCATAATCTTCCTCTGTGCGAAGAATACCAAGTTCTACCTTCATGGCTGATAGTGTAAAAAAGAAACTCCTATTAGTTTTTCTTGCTGCACAATTTTTTAATGTGTTAAACTCACGTTTTTATTCCTGCCACCAGCAACGATGCATACGGTTGATGTAAGCTTAAGCACAGACCTTGGTCGGACATCTCCAAATATTCTCTATCCTGAATCCTATTTTCCGCGTTCCATATGTATTCCTCGCGACATCCGTTTGTTGTAGGTATTCCCATTTCGACAAACTTAACATGATAGTATACAATTAATGACGAAAAGTGAAACGAGAGACAATTAGAAAATAAAAGTTAACGATTTTACCATTGGACGCTCGAATTCGATTGTTGGACAGATGTTCGGATTTTCAGTGTCCTCACATGAAATCGCTTCCATAGAGATCTCATCCAAACTGTAAGATTGACTAATGGCTTGATCTTGACCAGTCACCTCTCTTCCCATGAGATCTACAGCAATTCTTCTATCCAAGCGTGACATATGCTTGTGAGCATACGCTTCTGCTTCTTGCTTCTGAATCTTCTCGCGTTCTGAAGCACTAAACCAAATACTGCTTGACTGGTAATAATCCGATTGATCGTCAATTACTTTGGTACGACGGGCGCTGTAAATCAAAGAAATTGATAATTATTAAATGATACGTAAGTAATCTTGATAGATATGATGAATGCGTGCCTATTGCGATCGTATTCAAGAAGTTTGTCTCTCTGTTTAAGAGAATCATCCAGATTCTTGGTTGGTTTTTGTTCCATCAATTTGTTTTTCAAAATATTTGCTTGCTTAGATTTACTCTGAAGAATCGCTTGTTGGTTAGGAGAGCATACAAGCTCACCACAAAAGAAACAAGGTCCAGAGCCTTCTTGTGCACAAACTATTCTGCCACATTCGAAACAATTATTAACCAAGTCGTGTCTCCTTGCTTCACAGTTGCATTTATGTCTTCCTGAAAAATAAAATCGAATTATTTATATAAATTGTTACATATTTATCTTCTTTTTTTTTGAGTTTGGTGGTTAGAGCATTGTGCTTCAACCTTGCCCAAAGATATTTAGCACACTGTTTTCTTCTTCAGTCTTTCTGAAATATACTATCCTCTTAATCCATTAACTTTGAGAAATGCTATCATAGTCTGAGATATATTTAATTGTATTAGCTTAATTATAGTCCACATAATTAGAAGCATAGCAGTAAAACTATTTTCAAATATTTTAACTTTATTCTCCACCCACACACACACGCACATATGACCTGATTCATTATTACCACTATTTCTTTTCCTCTACAATTTCATGCTTCTCTTCTCCTTCTATACCAATTGTCTCAGACATAGCTCTATACTTCCTCTCTGTTTCCTAATTTTTTCTTTTCTCTACCCCATTGCTTAATTCTATTGCTGGCTCTAGAGCAAGCTTAATACTTTGTATATAAATATCTATCCTTTAAACCCTTATCTAAGCCCTATCTAACCCAAGTGACTCAAACTATCGCAAGAGCTCCTATGCACTATTCAGCAGACACACAACACATCCCAAATGGAACATTACATATGTATATAGGTTGATTATATAAATACCTTTCAAAAGTACTGCTCCTTCGGTATATAAATTAACAAATTTAGTTTTCTTTTTTTCAATCTTTTCTGGTTTTTCCTGAATCTGTGTCTGTTTTTCCTGAAACTGAGCCTGAACATTTTCTCTTCCCTTAGTTTTTCCTTTCTTCTTCTCATGTTGTTTGTTAGAGTTTCTGTTATTGTCTTTTTCTGTTACTTTTTTATATCCAGCTTGATTGTTATAAGATGCTGAAACGACGATAATAAGTTTACAATTGTGTGAACTAATAAATTATGTAATAAAAATTTTTTGAATTTTATTCACACACCACGTTGCTTCTTCAGTTCCATTACAAATTGTCTGTGCTTTGAATTTTTATTATCAAGCAAAGTTGAGAAATAATCTTCTAAATCTCTATCATTTTCTATCTGCGTAATAAACCTGAAAAAAGAAAACTATTGACAGTAATATATCAATCAAAATAAAGGTTTTTCTCATTTTCTGTCCTCACGTGATCATATCTCCTGGAATAGGAAAGTCCAAAAGTTCAGACAATTTCTGATTAATCCATTCTTCCATGGTCATTAAAGTGATATTAGCGAAGATCGTTAGTATCTAATGTAACAGAACGTAGTAAAGTGGCAAGACTTTTTTCAAACTCTCACAAGCAATTAAAATTTCAACGAAATTATGGCCGCGTTCCGAAATTCACTGTTAGCACTGAAAATCTATAGTTTATGTTACGTATACTGAAGTGGTATGTTCTTTCAGCTAACTGCTGAACTGATACAATAAGTTAAAGTGAGACAAGTATATGTTTTCTCACTCTAATTTATTGTACCAGTTCAGCAATGCAACTGAAAAGAACAGACTGCAATAGAATTGAATTCAGCACTAGCGATGAATTTTGGAACGCATTCTTAGGCTAATATTACATGTGTCGTACGACAAGCTTGTCGGCCGCTCTAATTGGTTATTGGATAGAAAATATCTGGGGTACATGGAAAATAAGTTAGGGATTTTAGGAGAATTTTATCTATCAGCCAATCGATACGTCCGATAATACTTATCGTATGACACATGTAATATTAGTCTTATTATAAGTACGAAAGTGCGAAAAGTGCAAACAACATGAACATATGTGAAAAGGATTTAATTCTTAGTACATGTGCGGAGATCCATCGTGGACATGACCATGTGGACGGTCATGTGTGATGGTTAACCTCATCTAAGGCTGACGAATATTTTACATTTTATATCTCAAATTAATTCATTTTTTTCTAACAATTATTGAATTAATTTGTTGAGATGGGTAAACAAAAACGACAGCGAGAAAAGCTACATAAGAAAAATCCCACTGGACTACCGTCCGTTAAGGATTTTGATGAAATCGAAGATATAAGGGAAGAAAGAAAGACAGCTTTACTGGATATTTACAATGAAGTAAGCGTATCAATTGTTTATATTCTATAATCGCGTCGCCTATTCTAATTTTTTTCTAACGACAACAAACACAATATTGTCAAAGAAGACAGTATGTTAAATAACAAAAGAAAAGAGCTATTGTTGAATTTAAAATTTTAAGTTTTCGCGATTTGGCATGTTTAATATGGCTTTCGGATTAGTGTCGCATCCTTTGTGGATTTGTTTTGGCGTTCAGGAACATTTTGGTTTACTTCTTCACCTCTTCCTAAACATTGACCTATTGAAACGTCAGAAATAATTCCACGAAGCCAGAATTTATTATTATTACATAATTCATTCATATTATTATTTCATAATTCATTTTATGAATATTATTTATTTTTGTATTAATTATTTAAGGAAGAAAGGTAACTTAAGGAATAAATGTGCTGAGGTTATGGGAGAAGCATACAGAACAAAGTTTATAGAGTTGATACTTGAGCTTTTGTTGTTTTTTACCTAGATACAATCGTGCAATATAAAAGAGCAATTGTCTGCTTTGCAAACACTGGAGGCAATGGCCTGTGATCCTTCAATGGCAGAATACATTGCTAAGGATGGAATTGTAAAAATAATTGGACCATTACTGCTTCATTATAATTCTGCAGTACGAGCATCTACTGCATCTACTTTGAGACAAATTGCTGAAAGTTATGAAACAAAAACAGTTATCTGTTTAATAAAGGACGATATTATGACTCCACTGTCTGCATTACTAAAACAAGTATGAAGTATTGATAAAAGTATTGATAATCTATGCTATTTTTATCAGAGTCTCAACATGGTTAAGTATTTTGGATTAGGATGAATTAAACAGTTTAAGTATTTTGGATTAGGATGAATTAAACAGTTTATAGCAGTTTATGGCATACTTCAATAAAAATTCCTGGGTTACAGTATTATTCAAACTGGATATACAAATGGGACCGTAAAGATGCAACACCGACAGATGAAGAGCAGACTTACATTCAGGCTCTTCACTTGTTGCGCACGTTATGTGAGAATGATGAGAATGCAGTCAAATGTGTTAATGAGCAGAATCTGGTACCAATTTTAACAAAATATCTAGATATTAATTCCTACGAGACATATATTATTTTAATTACTATGAAATGCTTGCTGACTGTAGCAGAAGATAACATTGATGCCGTTATGGCAATCAAATCAAGAATAGGAATTTTACAAGATATAATAACTGTAGAAGATGCTAATTCTAAGGAATTTCATAAATTAAATCTTTTAAAAATCCTCTCATTTGACATGCTAAGCAATATATGTAACTCGGATGACGTATGGAAGCCTACATATATTAATAGTTTTATCAAAACACTTGATGAAGTACTCAGCGTTGATAATAAACAACTGCTGTCTGACTTGGTGTCCATTCTGCCACACGAAAGTAATGCTGCATCGACCAGTAAAAAGAAAAAGATAGAAGAAAGTAAATTGACGTTGATTACGCAACAATATGCTTTAGAAACTTTAACAAATCTTTCCTCTGACGACAACGATGAGGACGATGAAAACGCAGATGTCGATGATTCCGAAGAAATAGATATGAATTCTGATCCGATGGATGTCGACAATGCAAGTGAAAATGTAAGGTCATTTCCCATAGGGTTGGTGGAAGCTTTCAACAACTGCAATGTAATCGGTAAAATCTGGGAGAAATCCATCCAGATGGATTCAGATAGTGAGGAAATACTGAATCAAACTGCGGAAGGAAAGTTCGTGTTGGGGCTGTTCTACGGTATTTGGTGTAGAGCCTATTTGTGTTTGAATAACTTATTACCTAATTTCAATATCGATACTTTAGGAGGCATCGATTATTTGTACAGGTAAAGGTCGACATAGTTAAGTACGATGTCGCTTTTTGTTATATGCATGCTCGCAATGGTTCTGTGCAGTTTTTATTTGATCGTCTTCTGCGTATAGCAAGTGGTTGGAAGTCGGGAAGGTTGTGGCCGAATGTACCAAGCCGGATAAACTGAAACTCCTGGACGCAGCTATCTTCGTTATGAGGGCCATTATCGAACGATTAACTTGCATACAGGCGAATGTTTTTATACGGTTCAACAAAGCCAATTTGCAGCTGATATTAAACAATGAAATTCAGACGCGAAATGCCGATGAAAATATCCGCGTCAATATGATGAGAATTCTCGGTATTTTGGCATTGAATCTGACGAGAACCGAGAATCTGGAAGCTTACGAAATTGCAAAGGTGAGTTTCTATATCGCGTTGTTGATTTTCTGCGATTTTTCCTGTCTTGAATATTGCTTTCTTGTTATTGTTGGCAGCAAATTACCGAAATTATACTGGATTCTTGTATGGGGGAAACGCGAGTGTGGGTTCTCGCGGAAACCATGGACGTGACGATGGATCTATTCGCGGAGGATGAGACCGATAAGTTAGCATACGAAGTTCAATTGATACAAAGACTACGACCTTTGGTACCAGTTTTCAAAGATAAGGTAAATAGGTTGTTTTCTTTGTAAAATATACGACAAACTTGGCCATGACTTGATTTTCATGTGTAATCGCGCTTTGCAGGTACGACAGCAAAAAGACAAGCTGAAAGACAGAATGGCCGTGGTATCGACCGTGAATACGAACATATGGAGATTTCTAAAATATAAAGAGAAACAAATTAGAAGATTTAAATAAAAAGGCGAGTGCTGTTTGCCGTTTGTGTTACGATATAAAGTTCCCGAAATTTTAGGGAAATCACGAATTGAAATTTCTTTAAAATAAATAATTTATGAAACATTCTTTTAAAGGGGTATAAGTTTTAACGACACCTATCCTGCGCGCGCACGCTTTGAGCTCTTTCGTATTTTCCTAAATTTATTTTTCGGATTGTTCTTCACATGTTTCGGTATAATTCGTAGCAGGATCATCTTTTCATGTATCATAGGACCTTTCTATGATAGAGTTTAAATTTTATTCTCTGTATCAATAAATAATAACGAAAATTATATCTAAGCATTGTGGTGAAATGTCCACGATGTTCGAAACGAAAGTCATCGTATGATCGTGACGATCAAAATAAAAAAAAATGCTAGAATTCCATCGTGCGAATTCTATCGTCTGAGAGACATACGACGTATCGTTAGTACGAAACCATTGCAATCTAGCGAGAAAATGTCATGCGTCGAGCGAAAGCGCGTGGCAGAGTGTATCGTACAACTTTGTAAGATACTTCGTCTGCAATACGTATCGAATTCTCGTTGCAACGAAGTTACAGCTAAATGCGATATGCTTTCAGTGCGCGCGTAGAAATTGAGGAAATGGTAGATTTGCACCGGGAATTCCGTGGACAGATCTTGTACAATCCTTCATTTTTCAAAAAGATTTCCCTCTCTTATCGCTCTGCTCCGGACTTCCGTTTTCATCTTCCCTCAAGCGTGCTGTGGACTCGGACACGTCGTTCAGACTAAGCGCGCTGTGCCGTCTAGGTTTTGGTATAGGGTTCACCTCGTTAAGCAACTCGGGCTTGTGCCTGATCGGCTCAGAAATGTGCAGTTCGATCACTTTAACCGGTTCCCGGGGCGCTGCAACCGGTAGCGGCGCATCCGTCAATCTGACTACGTGGAAATCCTTCTGTTCGCGCGGCAGTTCCTTGAATTCTATCTTGACGCCGGATTGCCCGTTCGACACCATGTTCTCGAAGAAGTGCCGTCGATTCGCTTGGATGGACAGTCTGGGACTTGTTAACGCGTTATCCTCCTCTTCACCGTGTTCTTTGTACGCGTTCTTGCTCTCCAGAGCTTTGATCTGCCTTTCAATCTTCTCGATTTCTTCTTTAACAGAGAAACTATCGCTACGGGACAGCGTGCTGGACGAGTCTTTTCTCCTGAGACAGACCTCCTCTTCATTTGTATCTTTAATGATCTCGATCTTCTCCTGCGATGTTCTTTGGTATTCCACGTCGATGGAATCATCTCTCCTCTCGACGGAATCTTTTTCGGCTACTGACTCGTTCGATTTTTCTTCCACCGTCTCGATTTCAATTTTCTCGAAAGTTTCGTTGGCGCCCTGTGCGATTGTTGCTTCTGAATCCTCTCTCTCTTTCATGTCGTCAATCGCGTTATTGTCCATTGCAATGTTTTTCACAATGCCGTCGGACGATGTGCTCTTGGTAATCTTTGGAGATAATTCCGTCTGTTTTTTTTCTTCTCGCGGTGTATTTTCGTTCATCAGTGATTTATCGTCCTTTAATTCGCAATTCTTCCTTGTCAACTCGTCGATATTCTCCGTCACTCTGACGATATCGATAGGCTCGACTATCTTCAGCTCGACGTTAGTGGCCTCATCTGTAGTTCGTACGTCGCTTTCCTGCGAAAACGTTATAATGATGTGAGGTGCAACAACATTTCTCGAATATCAACATAATCATCGACCAGATGATTTGCACACACCTGAGGAGTTTCCAATTGCTCCTTCCGTTGCGGCGGTTGCGGCGCTCTCCGTTTTTTGCGTCCATACGTACTCGCCGTACTGGTAACGGATACGCAGCTATTGATGGACAGATTGGATCTTCTCACGGCGTCTTGGCTGAATCTCTTAAAAACGTAATCCTCAGGAACGTTCTCGTTTTCATCTCTCAGAGTCACGTCGCCGGAACGGCTGGCTTCTTCGTCCAATTCCAACGTACCTCCATTCAACCTTTGTGATGATCTATTACCAAACCTTCGCCTAAAAGATACAACAAATCAATAAAGATCAAATAAAAAAACTCAAGAAAGAAGATTCAATCGTTTCAATAAAATTTAATCGTTAACTACGTAAGTATAGAAATGTTATGTTTTGATGTATCGTATTGAAACTTTATTATTATTTTAAAAGGCAAGACAGACAAGAAATGTGAGAACTTACAAAGGTGGAATTGGCGCTTCTTCTTTATCGCGAAGGCTGACGTTTCCGTTTTCCTTGGACTGTTTCTCCTCAAAATTCAACGGTGGTATTTTGTCCGTCGGCCTCGGGCTCACCTGTCCAAATCTGAAAAAAAACCACGACTATTTAATTGTCAAAGAAACATCTTTGATTCAATTCGCGAAATCATTGTTCCAATAAAAAACTTTGTAAATTTCTATCACTTTGGACAATTCTCTAAACATAAAATTCTTGCATCCTCAATCTTTTTTTAGATCAAATTTCAGGAACTACAAGCCGCTAATTGAAGTTAATTACAGCTTAAGATTCTCGAATAGCATTATACTTATGTGCATTATGATAAAGTAATTTCAATAAAAAAATATCGGCTTTATTTTTTTACGATTCTCACCTTCTGGCCGGCGGTTTCGGGGTGAGATCGCCCATGATAGACGTCGTGGTGTCCTGTGGGCTTCCATCGTAGATCCTTGCAGGATCACCGTTCACCGTGGAACTCGAGTTGTATCTCGAGGCATTGTTATCTAATGTATATTTCCTTCTCCTTGCCAAGGTGCCCAGAGCCTCGTCGAATTCCTGTTGGTCCTTGGACAGACGTGCAGGGACTATCGGTTTGTCATAAGACTCTCTCTTGTACGTCGTCGAGACTATGGCACACGATAAATGGCGATTTTATTTTACACGCTGAAGTGCAACGTCGATTACGTAAACGCTGATACAGCATTCTTTGTATTCACAGTACGTATATGCGAACGAAGAGTGTTTATTTTCAAGACCTCTTAAGTTTTTATTTTGAGAAATAGGAATCATAGCTTTGCAACACATAATCTGCATCTATTACAAATATAAAAAAAAATTTGGAAGAATATCTTCAATTATTTTGCATATTGTTGAAAGAATTGAAATTTTCAATAAGAAATTATGTTCTTAAATGATAAAATTTAATGAAATATATTTTAGACAGTTTTATGGGATTAAGTTGGGCTCCCAATTAACAGAAATAATACCTGTTGTAATCGTCGACCTTTTCTCAATCGGTTCCACGGCTTCCTTGCGCTTTCCGAACAGTCCATTCCTAAACACAAATATCGACATTGAGACGAATCGTTCGCTATTAATTATTCAATGCTATCATTTGTGATAACCCGGGTAATAACCGCTCAAACGGACTACGTATGCTCTGGATTTAGAATTAATGCGTGACCGTTATGTCATTCATTCAGAAACACTCTGATTCCATTGTTAGGCGACAAGTAACAATCGTGTCACGAGTTTCGCGTCGGCTTCTTAACGGATCCACGCGGCACTTATGCGCACGCGAGGATGACGAGATTGCGAGTTCGCAGCGTTTGACACACTTGGGACACTTCGGAGAGGTCATAACGCGTGATCATTCCCGAGCTTACGTCGTACTATTTACGTCGTTTCGCCCCGGCAGCACCGATCATAAGAGAATTCAAGAGTATAAACAAAACCGAAAAACAAAACAAAAGCAGTGTGTTTAAAAATAATCGCGAGTCACCGCGAGACGTCGCGTCGCGTATACACGTGAGGTCGACCTATGACATCACGAAAGAATTCTTATTTTATCCTTCGTTACGGACACGTGTGTCAAATCGAGCGTAGATCCGGAGAACGTCGGCGAACGAAGTTAATCGACTCGCCGTGACTCGGAAACGAGTAAAAATAAAGAGAGAAAGAAGCGAGAAAGAAGCCGCGAGTGGAAGCGAATCCTGAAACGCCATTACGCGTGCGGAAACGGCGCGAAGCCGTCCTCTGCATTCGTGGTTGTTAAAAGCGTCGATTATAGTCATCCTCATTCCACTTAATATCACTTCCACCTCGCCGACACGAGGCACGACTGATAATTTGAAGCGTTCCATTCGCCGTTCCGCGTACTCTCAAGCTCCTGGTTAACTCGAACTTTCGATTCGACGATCACGCTCGCGTTCGCGGCACGCGCGGATCCTCCAGCGAATTCTACGGACTCTTTGGATATTCCGATTGCTAATCAGACCAGAACACTCGCTGTTTCTAATGAAAGTATTTTTAGTCACGTGAACGCGAGAGTATCCGCAAGGAGTGTGGCTCTTCGCAAAAATGTAGCACGACTTGTGGACGTAATAACACCTAGTATTAAAGTAAACGATATTCTTCTGGCGTTATTCCGGAAAGACTCTAACAAGTAAACCTACGCAAAAGTTGCACTCTGATGTTCTTTCTAATTTGGCAAAAATGTAGAAGTACAAAAAATATTTGTCATATTTTTTTTATTTTGGTCCACTTTGAGTTTTACGGGCAGTTTATAGCTTTTTAGTGTTTTCACTCCTATCATCAACAAGAACAATAAAAATGCAACAAGAAATAAAATTGAATACAAGATATAGGCGTTTTTTATTTACTGATTATGAATATGAAATCGAATGTGTAAAATTATTTGTATAAATAATAAAATGTTTAAACAAAACATGTAAAAAGTTGAAAAAAGTTATTTGTACAAATAATTTCTCGGTTTGGCCGAGATTTAAATTATTTTTGACTAATTTAGCACAGATTTGAAATATTTCGGTTAGAATCTCGGCTAAAGAAATTTAGAATGATTCGTGTCTCAGCTATGTCGATTTTGTTAAAATTTTAATTAAAATTGCCGGATTTCTCTCGGTTTGGTCGAGATTCGAATCATTTTTGACTAATTTAGCACAGATTTGAAATATTTCGGTTGGAATCTCGGCTAAAGAAATTTATAATGATTCGGGTCTCAGCTATGTCGATTTTGTTAAAATTGCCGGATTTTTCTCGGTTTGGTTGAGATTCGAGCCATTTTTGACTAATTTAGCACAGATTTGAAATATTTCGGTTGGAATTTCGGCTAAAGAAATTTAGAATGGTTCGTGTCTCAGCTATGCTGATTTTATTAAAATTATTTAACTGTATCTTGTATTCAATTTTATTTCTTATGCATTTTTGTTGTACTTGTTGATGATAGGAGTGAAAACATTAAAAAACTATAAACTGCCCGTGAAACTGAAAGTGGATCAAAATGAAAAAATATGATCTAAATATTTTTTTGTACTTCTTAGTGCCAGATTAGAAAGAAATTGGAGTGTACCTTTTAGGTAGGTTTACTTGTAAGAATAAGATTCTTTCTTAATTACTAGGCATTAGTGCAAAGGGTTTGTTATACAAACATAAATCGTCATATATTCCCTTATGTAGATAGCGACGACGGAAAGTACCCAATCTATTAAAAGTTGTCTCAAAGAAATCCGAGAGACACCCTATTTTTTTTAGACGTTTTTCAGCCATCTTTGAGACATCTTTTACTAATTAGTAATTGACGCTGTATAGATAGCGACGACCATCGACACGAGAAATCTGTAAAAGACTCACCAAGTAGACTTGATGGAGAAGCTGTGGGACCGTTTCTTCCGGCTCCTGCCGAATGTCCAGAATTTGTGTCTGGACTCCTTGGGAGTTTTACCTTCGCGGTACGCCGGCGGCTGCGAGTTCGTTATGTCCTCGTTGAACGGGTTCAGGTGTTCCGGATAATCGTAGATCGATACGCTGGGCCGTCTGGTCCTCGTCGACATGGTTCGCCGCGCGGATTTCGATCGGTGCCACGACGGAATGACGAAACGGACGAAATGTTGCGGGGGACGCCTCGTGCACCTCGGTCATCGATTTCTCGTCATAACTCACCTCCCACGCGCTCCTCGCGATCTGCAAGCTAATTTCACCGCGAACATTAGGCGCGATCGGCCATCAGCGCGAGGACGAAAGGACGACGAACGAGCGAGGAGTGGTGTATCCGGAACGTCATTCCTGCCGCTCCTGCACGATCATCGTCGCGACAATTGTCGTTCTAAATCGAACTCGGCTCGCGATGCAGGACCGATGACGGCCATGCACTTCGATACCATCGCGCACGTAGTGATCTCCGGATTAATCTTCTAACCCGACGGGGTTAGAAAAGATCGACAGATGCATCGACCGGCGCGTTACGATTAACCCGGTTAACAGGACGTCTGATCGTCTCCCGGATTACAATGCACAGCTGTACCGAGGTTTGCATAATGCGCACACGTAAGCTGCGTTTCTCGTTCTTCCATTCGGTTGCGTGGCTTGATTGATTAACCATTTAGTTGGCTGCGTCTTCGATCGGCTATATGTACATACGTACATAATGGAGTCTTGCACAAGTTCGTCGCATGCGATTCCAATGGCTCTAAAGATAAACTACTTTTTACAGACTTGGCGTCAGACAGTTAGCTGAAAGGTAGCAGGAAGTGATAGATAATGACAATCGATGCTCTGATTAAACATGATATGTACACATAGAGAGAACATTGCAGTGAAAATTACGTTAAAATTACACTTTCTTTTACGATGTTTTCTGTAAAGCTGGATTATGCCGGAATTTTAATAATAAAAGTTTCTACAGAAACAGTAAATTTGACGATTTATCTTATATAATATGACACAGCAGACATTCAAGTAATTACAATAATTTTGTGGTTAAAATCATGTATAACATTGTTAAACAAATATATAGTAATTTGTATGATCCAAGATTACAAAAGAAGCTTGGTCACAATTTTCACTACAATATTTTCTTCGTGTATCGTTTCGCAATTATTAGTAAAAGAAATATATGACCGACAATCTAACAAACTTCTGCAAGTTCCCGGTACTTCGTCTTCGTTCATTGAGTTGCATGCACGTGATCGTATCGGCGCCACACGCAATACTTAGGAAAAAAAATTAAGTATCGCCATTTCGTGGTAATTGCTGTGTGATATGAGTCGTTTTACGTTTCGACGGAATAAAAAGAAACCGATGCAACTTCGAAGGGGAAGATGGTCTTTTCGCACGTTCTGCGATGCAAGCCGGAGCGGGATAAGAAGGATGAGCGAACGCTCGCTCGCGCGCACTAAAGCGCATCGCGCGAATCAGCATGTGCAAACAGTGTCTAACAAACGCAATTAGCTCAATTAGCTGAGTGCCCCGTTTTTATCAGCGCGCGGCTCGAAAATCGCACACACATACGATGCGTGCGTGCGTAGTACTGCTAGTCCCGCATGTGGCTCGCATGCGGGACGACTGCGTTCTCCGGAACGACGACTCCGCACTGCGACGATTGCGACGAACGAACGAACGACGCACACGACCGGACGACGTAACGCGAAATACGCGCTTGAAGGTTTTATGCTAATACCTATCGAACGTGTGACATGCGCGAATCGCCCGCGAATGCAAATCTCCGACGGCGCCGAGGGGGAACAAGCAAAAACTGCGATAACATACGCTACGAGGCGAGCGTCAAAGAGAATAGAGAAAGGGATATGTTGTCTGCGGCGTAGCAGTGATAAAAAAGATCTCTGAGACTCAAGATCCGTATTTGTTACTCGCAACTTATCTTCCGCGAGTTATTTAGATTTGATTCAGAATTAGATGCGAGTTTTCCAATCGAATAATTCCACACGCGCGACATTGGCTGCGTTCGCTTTGGACGCTTACGCGCTGTAAGCGTCATTCTATCTTTATCGCTCATTACATGCGGGAAGAAGATAGAATGACGCTTACAGCGCATAAGCGCCCAAAGCGAACGTAGCCATTATATTTGCAATCATGATTCGAGAGAGAGAGAGATTGAAAAATTTACTTTAAAATCCATATTAATAGTTGTCACTTGTTTCACTCGAGACAGCCCGATCCGATTTTGCTAAGTTGAATTTGAGGTTTTCATTTGAATTATAATATACGTGACACATCAGATTTGCAGTCGCGATTCCACTGGAAAACTTAATTCTAAATTGAAATCTAAGGCTTATATCAGCAACTATTGCTTAATTCTTTTCAGACTCAGATACTCAGATTTAAATTTAAAGTTAGATGAGAGTTTTTTGGTTAAATCGCTTCGTTACAGACAATAAATGTCACATATATTATAATTAATCTAAAAAATTTTGATTTAATTCTGAATAAAAATCTAAGCAGTTACACGTGAGGCAAGTTTCGGGCTATTAATACGGATCTCTGTATTATACTTGCGACAAATTTCAAGTAATGATAATTAACCTCTTAGTTACGGCAGGACTTTCCGTGGAGTTGTATCTCTGTATGGCAAAGTTCAACGCGGACTGCGTGAAAACAATGCAACACTGCGATTTATGTATGATAATGCTTTTCACTACGCAAATACATTAGAATGCAGTTTTAGATAAATAAATTATAATATATTAGAAATAAGAATGAGCCACTATAGTGGCGTAGCGTTCAAAAAGATGATATACGAAGTGGCGAAAGCCACTATAGTGGTGTACCTAAGAAGTTAATATGAATCTAAATTCATATTTGAGTATCTCACTTGAAATACAAGTTTCAAGTAACGACTATTAATAAAAGCACGAATTTAAATTTGAGTACCTCACTTGAGACAAGTTTCAAGTATATATACAAGTTCATATATTATATATAAGTTTATATATATATAATTTTTATATATTTTTATATATTAATTATTATATATAAGTTTATACATATACAAGTTCATATATTATATATATATATATATATATATATATATATATATATATATATAAAAACTTATATATAATATATGAACTTGTATATATACTTGAAACTTGTCTCAAGTGAAGTACTCAAATTTAAATTCGTGCTTTTATTAATAGTTTAATAAATATATATATATATATATAACAAGTTTATATATTATATATATATTATATAGAATTTAATTTCTCTTATCTCTCGCACCAAAACCTTGTAGTTTGTATGAGTGTCGACTTGGAACTGACCAAAGGATACGCAGACGAAAGGTGATAGGTCTGGGACACTCGGTATATTTTCTTATTCGCAGATTAACGATCGTTGGACAGACAGACAGACGGACGGACGGACGGATGGACGAACGGACGGACGGACGAACGAACGAGCGAACGATCGATCGATCGATCGATCGCGACGATTGTGACGCATACGACAAGCGCACAAGTTTCGCAACTCACCGTCGTCGCGAGTGTCAGCAAAAGGATCTCTTTGTGTGTCGAGTTAACGCGCGTCGTTTTCGCCGAGTATATACATTTGATGCATGTACATGTACTCGCCGTTTCACAATGAACGCCGACACATATCACCTGAGAGAAGCGACCGGAGCATGTCGCGAGTGTAACGAACATAATAGGAAGGTACTAACGAGTACTAGTCGTTCGGGCGTGACAGGAAAACGATCAGGACTTCCCCGCTGAGGAAAGACGCGCAAACATTCATCATCTCTCCCGACGAGTGGATTTAAAATTCGCACGTTTTAGATCACAATTTCTCTCGAACGATCGGAGTGGAGGAAGCGGTCGGCGTGAGGCTCCGGTCGTGTCGCGGATTCCCGGAGGCGAAGGCGCGATTACGCAAAGGGAATTTAATTTAATCTCGCCGCTGACAAGAGACATTTCGTTGGAATAAGCGAGTGCACGGCACTTCATTTAATCGGGCCACGCGATGACGCGCGATCGATCGCCGATCTCCCGATAAAGCTTCCCCGGTCGCCGCCGCGGAAAGCTGCACTTCTGCGCGGACGGCACCTCGGTAAATCGCGCCCGTCAACCAGCTAAGCAAATAGATAACCAAATGGCGGTGTTCTGTATTACATGGTGGATGCGAGATAATTTTTCACGTCGCTGATTCTCGTCGAATTCAAGCCCGCGCGAGCGCGATCACGATTGGCGCGGTCGACAATTAACGATCGATGTGCCGTTTAATTGCCAGCTGATGTAATTGACACGATGTCTAAGTCGGGCCGAGTGATTCACGATATCGCGCGCGAGACAATGCAACTTATCTTATTTTCATCGGTCACCGAAGACGTCACCGACGCGCCGAGAGACGTGGACCGGTTCGAGAGTCGACATGGCTCGAGATAACAGATGAGCGAATATCCGTCGCCAATGTCTTCCTGGACTTTTACCGGGACTTGAAAGTTCAATTCAGGAATCTTTTGTCCAGAAGGATTGGATTCGATTCCTATCCCAGTAAACACCAACTAAGAGTGTGCAATGTTACATCGATGTATATAATAGCTATAATTCTAATGTAATTACAATATAGTATAATTTGTTATAGTAATACAATTACAGTATAGTTTCCCACTCAACAATGTGCAACTGCTATGCACAACGTGTATTATATTGCACTCACATTGCTGAGAAGGGAATTACGACATTGATGTGATGCTACTGTTACTTGGTATTTACTGGGATTTGAGTCTCTTGTTCATTTTTATTTTAGTTTCTGACGAACGAAATGCGATCTTGATTACGTTTACGTCTTTAAATAACGGACTGACATATTGGTGTTGCAATTAAAATGCTTTCCAACATTGTACCTACATTAAAGATGACTCACTTCTCTTTCTCTCTCTCTCTCTCTCTCTCTCTCTCTGTTTTTCTCGTCTGGCAACGTAAGCGGACAAGAATTGTCGAGATGTGCGTGCGAAACAAAGTCGAAAGTCGACAAGGCGCTGAAACAGGAAAAAAGCTTTGTTAAAAGCAAGAAAGTCGATTATCGCGTGGCGCGCGTGAACGCGGCGATTTCCTGGCTGCGGCCCAGACTCTCGCGGCCGCTCTACTTCACCGGCGATATTTTTGGATCTCGGGAAATTTAACGGAATTGTATCACGCGAAGGCGTCGCGATGATTCTTCTCCAGAGGAGGTCGTGACGACGCGTTCTCGACTTTCCTATCCTTTTGTCTCCCACGGCGCAATCAACGCGCCACGCGACCGTTAACGCACGCGAGAAAAAAGCGCCTCCGTTCTGAATCTCGACGAATAACTGGCGAAACGGGTTTATCCGAACAGGCGGATTCCCGAGCTTTTCAGACCTGTAATAAAGCCACGGTGGCGTTCAGACGAACGGGAGTGCTTTCTTGGGATAAAATCAGTTTAGAGTATAAATTGTATTAAGAACAAGGGAAAGGAAACGAGAGAAGTTGCAGAGTCGAAGAATTTCTCGCATTTTTCTCTTCTTAGACCTGGAATACGCAGCATTGCTATCTACCTTTTTCAACATTAGATTCCTCAAGCACTGTAGTACACAGATAACGTAATCTCGTCAACGACGTGAGTTCAATAAAAAGAATCTCATTTTTTATCAGCAGTGTTTCTCGGCTGAGACTTTTTACGAACGTCGACGAATGGGAGGCAAAAAGTGTAACGCCGATAAAATCGCGAGCTGTGTATGTTTCTTCGCGAATTCGTGATTCGCGACATTGACGCGCGTTTCGTGTCTGGCGGTCATTAGGACCGAGTATCGATTGGCGGGCCGGCGCACAATTCTGAAAATCGTACAGCCGTCAAAAATCGCGGGCTCCTCAGACAGGCCTCGCTCGCGTCCAGACTCTCGTTCGAATGCGCGAGGAAGCCCGCCCGAAAATAGAATCTCCTCGCGCCTTTGCCTCGGCGGGAGGAGGCCGTTGCCGTGATCGGGAAAGTAGATTGGAGGATCATTTCACCGGCGAATGGATTCCATCGCGTGTGCCACGGCCTGTGACTCGCGGTATGGATCATTAATAACTTTATTACCGGACGAAACGGGCCAAGGATTCGCGACGCGCTCTTCTCGTAGCCGCCGTCGACGTCGAAGTCGAAGACACGAGTCGTCGGAACGTCGCGCGGTAATTAAGCGCAACATCGATGAGGAACGAAATGTTCCGCGTCTTATAATCGCGTCGCATTATCTGCAATGGCAATTTTTAGCTATGACGATAGCGGCGAGCCACAGCGATTACACGTTGCCGGTGCGAGCGCGACTTCGCATGTTATCGCAAAGACGCGCGGATTGTGGCGGCGCGATGTATAAATCTAACCACGTCGCGGACACTTTCGGCAGACTCGAGTGCCTTCGATATCAACAAAAAAGACACCGTCAAATATTTACCCCCCTCCGAAAGCCTATCGTGCTTACGTAAGAGTGCGCGCGTTGCGAGCGCGCGCGAATGACGCTTCGCATAGCGACCGTCTGCAAGACGATAAGCCTTGGTCTGCAATAGGTGTAATCAGCCTTTAAGCCCATTCTACAATGGTAGTAAGCAGTAAAAAGTAGGAAGTAAGAGTAAGAAACTGATCAACCGTCCGTTATTAATTAATTCGACAAATTGTCGAATGTGAGGAGAATAATCAACTATGATTGGTCAATTTCTTACTCTTACTTCCTACTTTTTACTGCTTACTGCCATTGTAGAATGGGCTTTAATCTTATGCTTAAAGCTTATAATTTACGGCGATAAGTGTTTTTCGTGCTGTCTTAACAATTGGAATTCGCTTAAAGCTTGATGATTGCGACTTCAGGTAACGGTGGGAGATTCTAGCCGAAAATTACGCCACGATTTTGGGCTTGGAGCATAAAGGCTCGTCTGCAACATGCGAAATGAGCTTGGTGAGCGAGTTAGAGTAAAACATGAAAATAATTGATTAAGAGAAATACTACTGAAGTCAGAGAGGTACTTCAAGTTCCTAAGCGAGAGAGTTAGAGTTACAGGGGACATAAGCGAAATGAATTATTTTTACTCTTTACTCCAACTTATGCCAAGTTCACTCCGCAGAGGAGCCTTAGTCCCGATCTACAATAGATGTAGTACGCTTTAAGTCGTAAGAAATTGACTAATCATAACCGATTTATAGAAGAATAATCAATTGTGATTGATCGATTTCTTACGGCTTAAACCTTACTACATCTATTGTAGATCGGGATTAAAGTTGGAGTAAGTAGTAAAAATAATTCATTTCGCTTATATCTTCTGTATTCTACCTCTCTCGCTTAGAAACTAGAAGTATCTCTCTGACTTCAGTAGTATTTCTCTTACTCAATCAATTATTTTCATGTCTTATTTCAACTCGCTCACCAAGCTCGCTCTTCCGCGCCTTGCAGACGAGCCTTTATGCTCCAAAGCTTACTACACCTGTTGTAGGCCTGGAGTAATACAGTTTATCGAGTCAAAGAGCGGCGCATGTCGTGCGACACGACGGAAATTTGCATTTCGACGTACGGTACCGGCGAATACCGCGTCTCGAAAAGTCATCGTACTTACGTAAGTGCGTGCGTGTGTGCGTGTCGCGTTGCTGTTTCACGCGACCCGTCAGATCATCGTACGCGGCGAACGAAGACGCAGCTCAGCCAGACACGATGCACTTTCACAGAATTGATCGTGGCCGCACGGACAACACGCGCGAATGGAAATTCGACGTGCGGTGCGTGCGAGAGAGCGACGCGAAAATCCCACCCTATCACCGCGAGCCACGCCGGCCGACTGCGGCCCGTTGCGCTCAAGTTCGGCCGCCGTCGCGCCCCTTCGGCCGTTTTCGCGCCTCGTGCGAGTTTCGCGCCACGCTCGACGGCGAGCGCGATTGGTCGGGAGCTCGCTCGCCGCGCGGGACATTCGAACTCCCGAAGGCGGTGGTAATGTGCGAACAAGTTTGTATTTCGCGAGACACACGCGGAGAACAGATCCGCGAGATATTCTTGCGCGAAGGGTCTCGCGGGCATCGTTAATTGAGGAAAATTAGTCGGTTTGCGCAAACGTTTGAGCATATCGCGCGATGTGAGTGGGATTCTTTCGCGTTCATGTGTAAAGCAAAAGGCGACGGGAATTTTTCGGCGAAATTCGTGAAAAATAGGCGAAATGTGCAATTAAAACCTGTGATATTCTTGGTGCCGAACGTTCGTTTTATAAATCGCAGCGCTACCGACGCTGACTAATGCCGACTGAATGCAAGCCCGCGCAACTTCCAAGCGCAGGACGCGTGTTTGTCGCGTAGGTAGGCGTCAGTGGAACTGGCTTGGAAAGTTGCACAAGAAAAGACACAGTGCTCGAGTAAAAGTCATATTTTACATGTTACACCTCGAAATGCAAATCGCGCGGGTTCCATTGGGGAATATTTAACACGGCAGCCGCGCACATATTTCAGGATAAAGTTCGGCGATAACGCGAACACGCGTTGAAAGTCGCGGCACTATTTTATTCGCGCGTGATGCAATCGCGTGTTTGTCGAATCAACAGACGTAGAAATGCGGAATAGCAGAAACGGCGTCTTGTGTTTGTAATCGGAGCTTTTTTCGTTCACATTTCCTTCACGATGTTATCGCGCAGTTTTAATAAAATAAAAACCGGCATCTCAATAAACGCGTTATCTCGTCCATGAAGAGTGTATTTCGATCGATGACGGCGACGTGACATCGTCGGGTTGAGCGCTATAAGTACGCGTGACATGATTTGCACGCCGATGGAAACGCGTTGTCGTCACGTCGCGATTCGCGAATTTACAATTAATCGCGGCTACCGCGAAGCAAATCGAGCCGTGAGCTCGGTCCGACGGCATTCGACTCATTGTCAAAGTGTGAGAATTTATCGCGATTTATCCTGCGCCGTATATCTCGGCTAAATTTTGTTCGATACGATCGCGAAATGATAAGATAACCCGTATCGCGCGACTTCATTTTCAGTTCGTTTGCGATACTCCAAATATGTAAAACTAGTAAAATATAAGGAGTACAAGGAGATAACTTACAGCAAAAATTTTGTAATCAGAGAATAAATCGACATTCTGCAATAACTGACTACACTGAGAAAAATGTCTAGAAAATAAAGAGAACATTTATTTGATCGTACTAGTAACATATTTATTTAAAAAATCTAAATTCTTTTATTTGAATAGAATAAACTTTTTCATGAAAAGTTAACATTTAAAAGAATGTATATTTTTTTATTTGAAATATATTTTTTATCAATAAATAAATCAATAAGTAAACGTGTTATTAGCAGTAGCAAATAATATTTTATTTCTTCAATATTTTTTTCTCCTAATATATTCTTTTATTTTATATGTAATATTTATATTTTAGGAATTAAGTTATTAAAAATTTCGTTTCGTTTTCAATAAAATTTACTATGTTTCTTAACAAATAGATCTTACTAACAGTCTATTTTTCTGCTATATCAAAAATATAGTATAAAATTGAAAAAAATTTATATGAAAAAGAAAACTATAACAATACTTCATGCAGATAATGCCGAAGGCTTGAAAAAGCGCGAAGGCGAGACTCTGATGATTTTTTAAGTAGTTTTTAAGTAGATTTTTTAAGTAGATCTGTAAAATAAATGTGCAAATATACGCGACGCAGTGTATCAGCGCTTCAGTCGCGTTTGAGACAGCGAGGATCCGTGAATCTTTTGAAATCATTAGACTTTATCACGCCATAATTCGAGCATTGTACGAGAGCATAATGGAGCCGGCTTTCAAGAGCACGGACGCAATGAGACCGTCTATTGAAAATAATTACGGAATGATCCTGATGCGCGATTGATACGGAAAGTTCGTCGCACGGAATCCCTTTGTCCCTTTAATAACTTGACCTAGAAATATGACCTTGCCGGCAAATAAGACGGAATGATTCATATTGTGCTTCTGACGAATATTACATTCGTTCTGATTGCGATATAACGGGTTTCCGTGTTCGTGTTTATGTGTACTAACGTTAATTAGAGAAAAATAATTAATTGCTCTGATGTTAAAGATTCCTTTCGAATTCGCGAAAGGAATCTTCGTTAAAATAACGTTCATAATTAGTTGTTTTCTTTTTGTTCGCGCGTGCTGTAAATTGCTGGATATGAGATTTCCTCATCGCGCACGCTTTTCTCGATCGAATTATAAAGTGCCGCGAGATACTTTAGTAGAAGCAGCTTACGAGATGACCCATTTTCATCGGCTTGGCTCAAGTGCTCGACGGATCAACAACAGTTAAACTTCGTTACAGAGTGCGGCGTCTCTGTTCTCGCTTGCCGTGGAATTTGGCAATGGTAATGTGCGCCGATACATTGAACCTCCTTAATTAATTCAGCAAACCAACACGGACATCAGGCGAGGAAACGATCAATCATGCAGCCTAAAAAAGGAGAAATTATTTGCAAAAAAGATACTCAATGTGTATTGAATATTAATTTAAGAGCGTTGAATATTAATCAAGCCTTTCATTTTAAAGAAATCTCACGTTCAACGCTTCTTTGCGATTTATCTGTTTAAGGTCGCTGGAAACATCTCGCGTTACTCTCCGCGAAAAGTATATCGCATCGATTGAAAAGCCACGACCGTGTCTTAAGAAGCGAAATGACAACGCGAGCGTTACGTTGGTCTTAAGAGCGTCTCGATTAGCGAAGCACATGTGGACGAACGCGAGCACTGCGCGGGCGCTCGCGCGAAATGGCAGGAGGTCGTTGCATTAAAATATATAAACACGCGAGCGCGTGTATAATAAATTGCGAAGACCCGGCGCGAAAAACAGGCATCGCTCCGCTCCACATTGCATTGCGCTAATTCTTATGTAATCGCACTGCCAGAAATCCTGCTGTTGCATCGAGCGCACCGGGACCCGTCAACTCCGTCGACACGCATGACGGTAAATGGCTCGATATGCAAATTTAAGTGCAGGAAGATCCATCCGTTCGTTAAACGCCGCGAAGGCCTCACCGCGTTAACCCACGCGAATTTTTTGAGCGTCGCGTTGCACGAGCGATGAGCGTAAAGAAGGCTGCGACACCGCACGGGACTTCGCCGTCTTGAAGACTCCAGGTAGAAGCTATCGGTCAATTTCTTCTTTTTATTCACTTGTCCGCACCCTGATATTCGATTTGTAAAATTATGTTTGAGGATTTCCTTGAACACTCGCTATAATCGCGAGCCATAGTCGCTTCAATAGATCGCCACAAAATAATGCGAGAAGTTGGCGATGAAGTAAACACTTCGCAGTTCAGAATGTTAAAAAAGTCGCTACGAAAAGTCGGAAAGGTTAAAAATGCAGGAAGTTAATGATGACAGGATTTTTAATGAACAAGATGCAAATTTTTATGAACAGGGTGAAGGACAACGGACTGATGAGTCGATAGATGAGGTGTCAGCGACTAAGGAAGTGAAAGAACTTGTCGCAAGTGGGAGACGTGAAGAAGCGAATAAACATATCGCGGCATTCTTGCGCGCGAAGGGTTTGAGTGGAGATCTCATAAAGAAGTTGATTAATGCCGATCTCACGGATGAATATGTCAGGTTAGCGCTTCGGTAAAATAAATCTCGCTGTCTTTTTAAATGAAAATGGCGATTTGATTAGAGTATTGTAAGTTACTATAATTTGATATCAATAAATAATCTTGAAACATTTTGTATGATGATCTTGAAAGTAAATACCAAAAAACGAAATAAAAATTCAATAACCGTTTCCACTCTTTTCTCCTACGCGCGCTTCATTTTCTTTCGTTTCTTCAGACTCTTAAGAGCTTTGGACTTTAATGACGATGATATCGGAAACTTACGAGATATATGGCGGACAAAGAATGAAGTCAGTAGAAGCGACGATTTAACCGATTCCAGTACGTCCGGCGACTCATCGTTGGACGCGCATATGTCGCAGAGCAGTCTCTATCTAAAAAGTGTTCTCAGCAAACCCTTGATCAGAGCTCTTCGTGAGATCATAGCGACGAAACCGGCCGATCCTGTGGAGTATCTGGGCCACTGGTTACTCCACTTCAAAGTCAGTTTATTCTGTACCAAAGAGATCGTTTTTTATAATTTTGAATAGAGAATATATACAATGAAATGTCATAAAATTTACGTGCAATCGTATACATATGTATAAATTAATACAAATTGCTTCTTCTTTTCTTATATGGGAAATATAAATCTTAGGTTTGCGAAGAACGAAGTATACGTCAAAAAGAAGAAGAATTTGAGCTATTGATCAATAGAGAAAAATTAAGAATAAAAGTATGGACGAATAATGTTTTTATCAGCTGTTATCAGTAGTATATGTCACTTTATATATCGTATATCCCCACAAAAACGTACGTCGAATTCACGTCGAATCCACGTAGAGTTCACGTGGAATCCACGAAATCACGTGGATTCCACGTGGGTGTAACGTGCATGTTTTTGTGGGGTATGTCACTTTTGATATTTTAAGATCATTTGTTTTCTGTACAATAGAAGATTGAAGACAAAGGACTTCTTCCTATCAAACAAAAGGAAGAAGAAGAACCTGGTGAAGACTGGAGTTATCTCCATTACGGAGAATCACAAATTGATAATGTTTCTAATTTATAAAATATATGAATATATATATTCATTATATTATAAAATATAATGAATTGGAACAAGAGAGAATGAAGATTGAAAACATAACTCATTAGAATTTGTGATCTTCTTAAATTCACATTTTAACCATATATAACAGTATTGCAATTAATAAAAATTAAATTAATAATAAAGATATAAAGATATATCTTTATCATGTGGTAATAAGGATATATATAAGGATGATGATAGTAACGATAAATATAACGCTAATACGAATTACCCAAATAGCAGACTTACGTCAAAATAACGTCATAAACTGGTCATAATTGGTCGATTGATGTCAAATGACTAAATAATGACATCTTTAAGACATATTTTTTGTGACATCTTAATGACGTTTCTGTACAACGTCTTAATAACGTATTATTGACGTTTAGAGACGTCATTAAAACGTCATTAAGTCGTCTTAAAATGTCATCGGTCTGTGACATTAGACCGTCATTTTGACGACATTTTCACGACATTTTTGGTCATTCCTTGATCATGAACTGATCAGATTTGGACGTCATTTTGACGTGAGTCTGCTACCTGGACAGATATTAGTGTATCAAGAGACGTAACAAATAGTACACACTATTAATAAATTTTTACGAGAAGCACGTTTTCCAGCCTTTGGTCACAATTATTTTTCATTACAAACTTCGTCGGTGACTCCTGCCGAACCTGCAACAAAAGTTGCAGATACATGTTAGTTTCAAATCGATGTGTATAACGATCATGTGAATATAAAGTCCACTAGTTACTATAAACACAAAGGCCCATATTCTAAATCCTCTTTTATCGATAAAAGTGCCTTAAATGTAGCTTCTCAGCCAATCAGGTGACTCCTAAACCTCTTTTAGAGACACATTTATAGATAAAAGAGGATTCAGAATATGGGCCAAAGCCCATATCTAAAGTTCATGAATACAGAGCAATCAATTCTTATCTTACCGCCTCAACATTCAGTTGATGAAAGAAATCGCCATGTTTTGCAATGTTATGACGTGTTATCTAACGATAAACTTTTAAATTAACCGGGACATATAATAAATTTATTTACGTGAACTCGAACTTATGGCTTCTGCTCATAGAATGCCACAACGCTTATCGTGCGGCGAAAGAAAGAAAGTTTGCGCGAAAGCCAATTAATATGTTGCTTTCCGTAGTACCGTTTTAGTTTTTACGGAAAAACAGTACGTCAATTAGCTATCGCTTGAATTTCCACCATGCGGTAATGCTAGCCACGTTTTGTGAACAGAAGCCCTTACTTATGAATAATGTAATTTTTTCCCCTAATATATCATGAAAAGTGAATGATTTTACTTTGTAGTACTTGGAGATAACCATGAATATTTTTCTCAATGTAAATTCGCGAAAAGTGAATATTTCCATGTATCTTTAAATTTAGATTTTTCACTTTTCACGAATTCACGTTAGGGAAAAGATTCAGTTACGAAGAACAGATCTTTAAATTATATCGTGTATAAGAGATTTTCCTTGGTACCAACATTATCCCCTTCATTTTCGGGAAACTGTCGCTTAACCATTAGGGTGCGTTCCTATTTAGCGCGTGCGTCCCTTTGCGGATTACTCAAATCGTCCCATTTTATTGCCTAACTTTACGACGAATAAAATGGAACGATTTGATTGGTCCGCGAAGGAGACGCGACACGTGACGCGTTAATTGGGAACGTACCCTTAGATGCATAGAAAAGGAATATGAAAGTAAAAATGTCGCTCGTTAATCGTAATAAGGCTGCGTTCAAAAACGTCACTCGAGTACTCTTCCTCTCTTTTTATTTCACTCTTGTATCTCGCTCACTCCAACGTAATGATACACTTGGGTGACGTTTCCGAACTTAAATATGGCTACTCGTTGTGGGGAATTCCGTGCTTGCGTTTGCTAGCCTGGTTACCTGTATCATACGAAAGTTGCAGTCTTGAGAAAAAGTAGTTTATCGGCGATAAAAGAAAGAGCGTTTCCTGATGTTGCGAGTTTATTAACCTCAAATCGAGGAATGTGTTATTATTCGGACGAGCGTCTAATATCAGTGCTTCCGATCTCAACGTGCTGCTGCAATTAACGCACCATAAGGCGCGTCGAGAGAAAGGCGCGTCGAGAAAAAGGCGCGTTTGATTGGTGGAATGCGCGTTATGACGCATCCTAACACGGGCAATGGGAACTGAACGCTGACGTTAGAGCGTTGACGTTCGACGCGTGACATCACCTCTCATCGCTCTAACTCAATAAAATATCGTTTTGTATTTTTTTATGCGCACGACGAGGACCTAGGTGAGTGTTTGCAAATTTTATTTGTCTAAATCTGCCTCATATCGATCGAATCGTGATTTTGTTTCCACTTGTGAACCGTTTGACATCTACCTGTGCGCACAAACTTAGACGTTGCGTCACAGATACGAATTGGAACGTGTCAAATCGTCATAATATACAAAGAACGATTCATCCTTGATTCGCTGAAACGACTTGTCTGAAACATCTTAAAATTCTTTGTTTAGTAATCAATCAGGATGATAGCACCAGAAGTTGGCTCTACTAATGCAGAGCCTGTACACGTCAGGATCACAAATGAGAAAGCTCCATTGATCCATGGCAGAAATATGTTTCAACGACTGAGTAATATCTTTAAGATTAGAAGGATGCAACATCCAGAAGGAGATGGCTATGTTGAGTTTGGAAATCTGGGTATTGACAGCACTCGTACACTGGGGACCTTTGCTGGTGTCTTCAGCCCGGTCACATTGTCTATGTTTAGTGCCTTAGTCTTTATACGAATGGGTGAGTGATAATTTACACCAAAAAAGTCCTGTATTCTGGACTGCTTGATCAAAATTACTCATCGTTGATCTCTTGCAGGATATATCGTGGGCAACGCAGGATTACTCATTACTTTGATACAGTTTATAATCGCATATAGTATTTTATTATTCACAGTCGCCTCTGTCTGCGCCATATCGACCAACGGCGCCGTGGAAGGTGGTGGTGCTTATTGTATCCTTTTTCTTTTTATCACAAGCAGCAGCTGTATATTATTTCCATCAAATGAGCATCATTCATTTTGTACTTTTATCTGGTAGGAGCAAGCTGTACCAGCTTGTTGTATTGAGATAGCTTATCAGTGGCTTTGCTTTGTTATCCCATATTCCACTCGTATTTAGCGTCGTGTTAGGCTAACATAACAATCGAAAAAGTCTATAAAAAAAATTATGGAAACATGAATTCTTTCATATCGATAATTCAAAGCACAAGATTTATTGAATATTTATCACTGTAAACTATAGGCTCTGTTGGGATGCAACTATGCTAAGAGAAATATAAGACCGATATAACTAAAAGTTATATTTTCCAATTAACAAATTATGCAGTTATGATCAGTCGCACGTTAGGGCCTGAATTTGGCGGCTCTATTGGTACTCTCTTTTTTATGGCCAATATAGTCTCCAGTGCGCTTTGCATCTCCGGGTGCGCTGAAGGTTTGGTCGAGAATTTCGGACCATCTGGTTACCTGAGCGGTATGAGTGGACTGATACCAGATGGCCGGTGGTGGAGATTTTTATATTGTTCTGTACTAAACACCGCTAATCTTCTGGTTTGTCTAATTGGAGCCGCGATGTTCGCGAAAACCAGTGTCGCGATCTTGGCGATTGTCTGTATCTGCCTGGGCAGCGTTATCATCAGTTTCCTCGCGCAAGGAGTAATGGAGGTAAATATTATTTTAAAATATGTATATTTGTATATGTATATGTGCCTTTTTCAGTACAAATTTTGAAAAAATATTTTTAAGACATGTAAAAGATGTCTCTTGGGCGTCTTTAAGAATTGTGTACTGTTTAAGTTAGTCATTTAGTATTGTATAATCAATTGAACTATAACTATAACTATAACTACTGATGACTCATTTATGATTAGATACCGATACCAGATGCAAACACGTTGGTACAGAATGCAACGGATCACGTGAACGGAAGTTACACAGGTCTTCTCTCTTCTACGCTTTACAACAATCTCTATGCAAATTACAGCGCCGACTATTCGAGTGGAGGAACTTTGACGGACTTTGCGAGTGTTTTTGGCGTGCTCTTCAGCGGTGTAACTGGAATAATGGCAGGAGCGAATATGAGCGGTAAGTAAAATGAATTTTTGTACGCGATTATAGTGTGAACGAACTTGTGTATATTTAAATAAGTATATATGATATTGTTTCTTTCTATCGCGCACTTACTTGATGATTAACAGGTGAACTGAAAAGTCCTGGCCGAAATATTCCACGTGGAACATTGTCAGCTGTGTTATTTACGTTCATATGTTACATTCTGCTATCTGTATTGACGGCTGCTACCACCAGTCGATTTTTGCTGCAAAACAACTTCATGTACATGATGCCGATTAATATCTGGCCACCGTTCGTCGCTGTTGGTATTCTCACGGCGACGTTTAGCGCTGGCTTGAGCAATCTGATAGGTTCCAGCAGAGTATTGGAAGCATTGGCTAAAGATAATGTATTCGGCAAGTAACTGATAACGATGAAACTTTTAACTGTTGATTTTAAATTAACATTCAGCTATTTTAATTGATAAAAGATGATAATTATTTAGTAGATCTGCCTTCTAACATCTATAAAACATCTTTGCTTTACTTTCTCATCTAGGTTCAGGATTGAATTTTATAATACAAGGTACATGGCGCGGGAATCCAATCGCAGCAGTGTTGACTTCGTGGGCTCTTGTTCAAACTATTTTGCTGATTGGATCGTTGAACACTATCGCTCAGATCAATTCAGTACTATTTCTCCTGAGTTATCTCGCGACCAATCTCGCGTGTCTCGGCCTGGAACTTGCTAGTGCGCCGAACTTCAGGTATTCTACTAAAAATGGAATCGTCAAATTATTTTAATTATAATTAACGATTATAAATTATATTTACGATGAATCTTATTCTCTTTTTCAGGCCTACATTTAATTACTTCACTTGGCATACGGCGACTATAGGTCTACTCGGAACGCTGATAATGATGTTCATAATTAACAGCATTTACGCTTCTAGCAGTATAATATTGTGCTTGATCTTAATAATCGTGCTGCATTTGTTCTCTCCGAGTAAGAACGCGCCATGGGGTAGTATATCCCAAGCGTTGATATTTCACCAAGTCAGGAAGTACTTGCTGATGTTGGATTCACGTAAGGACCACGTGAAATTCTGGCGTCCGCAAATGCTTCTGATGGTCGCGTCTCCACGTTCTGCCTGCCCTCTTATCGATTTTGTGAATGATCTGAAAAAAGGAGGACTCTACGTTATCGGACACGTGAAGGTTGGCGAATTCGCAGGTCAAAATGGCGATCCTACGATAGAAGAATATCCGCATTGGCTAAGTCTAGTCGATCACATGAAAGTCAAGGCCTTTGTCGAGCTAACTGTGACAAAAACGGTTCGCGAAGGTCTGCAGCATTTGATAAGGCTCTCTGGAATGGGCGCGATGAAGCCAAACACGATTGTTCTTGGTTTCTACGATGAAGAATCTCCGCGAGATTTCTTCTCAGATTCTCAGTACGCGACGACGGTATTCGAAAATAGCTCAACACTTCCAAATAACACTGTGTTCCCGCTGAGACAGACGACAGATGAGAAATATCTGGATCCGATACAATACGTCAGCATGTGCTCAGACGTCCTGAGAATGAAGAAGAACCTATGTTTATGTCGAAATTTTCACTTGTTGAATAAAACGCAGTTAACGAAGTAAGTAGAAAATTTTATCGTTGAATTAATATACTCACAGTATCGCTGGTGTTACAACATTAATTCTCTTGTAGAAATTCGAACTTGAAGTACATTGACGTGTGGCCAGTCAACTTCTTCCAACCGACCGACCAGGATCCGTTCGACACAACGTCGTTGTTTATGCTTCAACTCGCCTGCATTATCAACATGGTACCTAACTGGAAGAACCTGCATCTCAGAGTTTTCCATTGCGAAACCTCAGATGACAGTGGAAGCTTGAGCATCTCAGATACGCAAGGTTCGATGAACGAATTCCCGAGAATCTCGAACGAGCACAGAATACGAAAGTCATTGAACTTGCTACGAATTTCCGCATCGATCAAGAAGATTCCGGAATGGGGGGAGCAGATTCGAGGCTTAAACGGCAGATCCTTGCTCGAGCCGAAAACGGAGAATCATTTTGACGGGAGTACAGAGTCCAACGATAACACTTTGAGTAACATGTCACGGTCTTACATATTAGGGTGAGTGTTGAAAACATTTTATATCATCTTATTGATATTTGTCTTAATCATTAAGAAAATACCGAGCGAAATGATAATAGTCAAACGCTGACTTAATGCTTTCAGTTGAATCGCATTGATTCCATGTTGTAACTATTTTAAATAATATTTTTTATCATTTTAATTAGATTAAATATCGTTGATACAGAGCATTAATATTGACTTGCCAATTCACAATTTCTAATTTATACTTTGCGTTTCAGTGTCAATCAGCTGATAAGGCAACATTCCTCTCAAACCGCGACGATATTTATTTATTTGCCCGCGCCGCCAATCTCGAGTACTTGGGACCAGGACGACATGTATCGGCAGTATTTGCAATCGTTGACTGAATTAACTGCAGATCTACCGCCGATAGTTCTGGTACACGGTGTTAGTGCCGTCACGTCGACTACTTTATAACGAATTGTACGGATAGAGACAAAAATGTGTATATTCTTAATTTATGAAGAGAAAAGATATATACGATCGAAAAACGGATAAAGACTATTACTATATTATAGTTCTCGGATATAGTTCTAATTATAAACGGAACTATTGTACTAAATGCACAAAGATCGAGAATAATCGTAATTTATTGTTTCTTCTTAGTAATTTGATTACTTATTTTGCATGATAGTACATAGAATATGTAACTAAGCAATAAGTATTATTTTAGATCGATAGGAAACGCGCTTTATCACGTCCAAAAGAAAGGAAATGTTTAATATGTATAAAGTTTATAATACTGTGATAAAACAAACTTATTATATAAGAGATTCTCCAAAATATTTTTTAAAGCGACGACCAAATGGTTCTAACATCATATGAGAATATTATACTAATATATACAAGATGGGGCACTTAACTTTATAATCTATATTATATTACGATAAGTACTTTTAACAAAAGTTTTACAGTTTCAGGATAGAAACACGAGATTTTCGAAACTGCGATGTTTAAAACATTCAGGTTATAAAATTAAATGTTTCCCGTGGTATGCTTTATATAAGATATACTATTTCAGTATGACTTTTTTATACCGCATTTCATATCATTAACATTATTTAGTAATTAACATTATTAATAACATATCATAATCGATACTCGAAGATCTATTGAAAGTACTCTGCTTATTGTATTTAGTATTAGTTGAATTGTACTGTTTGAAAATAGAAAAATTTTTTAACTACTACGTGACGTTTTGAATACTACTATATAAATAAGGAAAATTTAAAAAAATCGTATATTTTTGTTGCATTGAACTCTTTGAAAAATATAAAATTTCTAAGTTGTTGAACCACATTATATTTGAAAATTTGAAATTGAATAAATATTGAACCGCGATTTCAAAATATCGAGAAAATAATCGATTCTCTAACAAAAAATAATTGAATATCGATTCATCGTTCGGATTACATTTCTAGAGATTTTTGTACCATCTAGGCCATTGCATGAAAGAGTATGTTCAGAAACGTCACTTGAGTGTTCTCTCTCTCTCTTTATTTCATTCTCGTATCTCTCTCACTCCTACTCAGTGGATGGTCTGGAGTAACATTTTCGAACATACCCAAAAAGAAGAATATCTCTAGAGAACGTCACAAACGTCAAAGCCGTATTCCACAGGTATGGTTATGATCACGAGACGATTAATTGTACCGATATCATGGTTAGCAAGAATCAAGTCGACGAGTACTCGGCAGTTGAGTGCAACGATGAGTACTGTCTGCGTGAAATCTTTACTCTACAAGGAGTACGGTGATCCTATCAGCGTTCTCCAAGTGACAACGCAAACGATCGACAAGCCAGCGAGCGATGAAGTAGATTTTATTAATGAATTTATATTGATATATAATAATTTATCATTGTCTCTGTAAATTGTGCAGTTAACTCTTATCTATTTCCGTGTGATTCATCATCATCAAGGTACATGTTATATAACTAAACTTTGTTTCTTATGTAGGTATGTGTAAAATGGTTACTGTCGCCAGTAAATCCAGCCGATATAAACACGATACAAGGGAAATATCCTAGTAAACCACCCTTACCAGCTGTGGCAGGAAATGAAGGAGTTGGAGAAATACTAGCTGTAGGCTCTAATGTGCAGAATTTGTGCATTGGAGATAGAGTGGTACCAAATTGCCCTAATCTTGGAACATGGAGAACACATGCTAATTATAACTTCAAAGATATCTCGAAAGTGTGTTTAATAATGGGCAAATCATATATATCATATTTGCTATATACATTATTTCTATCTTATTTGACAGGTCCCAAGTCATCTGAGTTTGGTTGAAGCAGGTATGTTAAATGTAAACCCATGTACGGCCTATCGAATGTTGAAAGATTTTATTACTCTAAAACCTGGAGACACTGTGATACAGAATGGTGGTAATTCTGCGGTTGGTCAGCTAGTTATTCAATTGTGCAAATTATGGAATTATAAGTCTATCAGTATTGTTCGAAACAGGCCAAAAATACAAGAATTAAAGGTATGATATTGACTTTAGTATATTATTATAATGATGATTTTTGTTTCAATTTATGTATATATTTAAATGTATATATTTCCAGAAAAAAAATGATATATAATTATATAAAATTTTATACAATTATATATAAATTCTATATGAATTTTGCTCCTATATGGTCACATATATCATATATATTTATATGGAAAAAATGATGTTAAATGAAAAAGGGAAGAAATAGTTTAATTCAATTATTGACGTTATATACTGTCAGAAGTATTTGCTTCAATTATATTTGTATAGCAGTGTCTTTTTCTTTGTAGATATATATAATTATGTATGATTATATACATGATTATATATGGATTATATATTATGTAAGGTTATATAGGGGCAAGATTCATATGATTTTTTTTCCTGAGTTGTTTTATACAGTGTTAAATTTAAAATAATATATTTAATATTAATTGTATAGGATCAGCTGAAAACTTTAGGTGCAGATGAGGTGTTGACTGAAGAGGAGCTTCGTACCACCCAGTTGTTTAAAAGTGGAAAGTTACCCACACCAAAGCTGGCTCTCAATTGTATTTCTGGGCAAAATGCGCTTGAGGTTACGCGCCATCTCGCTCATAGTGGCGTCATGGTAACTTATGGTGGCATGTCCCGAGAACCACTGACCATTCCCATCGCTTCTCTTATTTTTAAGGTGATCAAAGAAATTAGTCGTATTTGTGGGATTCGGATTTATATTCGGAGAAACTTATAACAGCTATAATTACTAATTTTTTCTACAGAATCACTCTTTCAAAGGATTTTGGATGACAGCTTGGACGAAAGAAAATATGGAATCCAAAGAAAGGGTTGACATGTTTAACGATTTGGCGAATTACTATAAAGATAAAAAATTGCAAACGCCTTTGCATAAATTAGTGCCTTTTGACGAGTATCAGGAAGTTATCGCTAGCGCAGTCAAATTCGATGGTCGTACGGGCGTGAAATATATTTTGGATATGACGAAGTCTTAAGATAATCTTTCCGTATACAGTTACATATGAATTTTCGTATTCATTTTTAAAAATATTGCATTACTCTTATAAATGGGCTGGAAAGTATATTTGGGATTATTAATGGGATTTAGAAGTATATTTGCATTTAGTAGCATTTTATGTTATCTTCCCAGTGTTTTGTAAAATACGTATGCTGTTTTATACGTTTCAAACAAAACTGACGAGAAGCGCGTCATGTAAGATAGAACGGCCACTTTTTGTAATGGAAATGTAACATGTTTATTTGTAGGAATATCGCAATGCTGGTGTATAAATATGCAGGAAAAATACAGGAAAAATAATTGCAATTTGTGGCGTTATCGTTAGGCCTTCAAAAATCTTAAATTACTCGACCTTATCGAGAAGTTCGAGAAGATCCATGCTGTGTTTTAATCCTTCGTCCTCGAACAAGTCTGCGTATACATCCAGCTTGGCTTTGTAATCCTCGTTTATCTTTAGCTTCGAATCTCCCCGCTTTACGCTGTTCCCCTCGGCGTCGACTTCATTGTCCACATTGTTAGCATTCTCGTCGTCCTCATTTGACAGTAAATTGAGGGTGAACGGTCTCTCGTAATTGGTTTCTTCGGTGCCCAGCTGAACAGCCAACATACCCAGTTCCGCTTTCACGCCGCAGTCTCTCAGGAACTGTTGGCTGTCTCGCCGAGAATTCGTGTTTTCTGTTATGCCATACGTCGGCAAATATCTGCAAGCAAAAAGGTAATCTATTGATTTAATCTTGGCAGCATAATGAAACACTCTCTTTTTGTCTTACATGTTTTTTCCCAACAAGGTCTTCCTATCTCCGAAAGTACCGAAGGATCCGCCGCAGCAGGTTTCTGGGCTCACGTCCTTCAGCCTCATGGTGGCTAGGCCGTTTCTATGTTCCGCGTATTTCTCGTCGTACTTGTGCGGTGTTACGTTGAAACTGGCGTCCTCGTTCTGTAGACCACGACGCAGAAGGATTGAAACTCGAACACTGTACGGCTCCAGCTCCTTCAAGCAACTCCATCGCGCGCCCCAAACCTCGTCGAAAGTCAGAGAGCCGTAGAACTGTACGTCAAAATTGCACTCGGCGAATACTTTCCTTCACACGCTGACTACGACACTGTCAAGCCGATCACGTGCACTGTACTCACGTCAACGATCATCTGATGCACCAAGGTGACACACTTTTGCGCGTTCACATCGCTCACCATGTCGCGCATCGCGTCTATGTGGTTCAACGTGATGAGAATGACCTCCCTGGGTCCAGTAGACGCTGTCAATTGGTACTTGACCATCATGATCATCAGGTCGAAGAGCTTGTCCATGCTGCTCTTATCGAGCTTCATGATGGATGAGAGAGCAACACGCTCCAAGGTGGAGCGTAATTGCGGCACCCCGACCATCGACGACTCCTCAAATACCGACGACAGGATCTTGGGGTTGAGCAGAGCGGCGGTTACGTCGTCCAGCACTATAATAGATTGATCAATCTAGTATTGCTAAATGGCAATGTTATGGAAGAGATGTTATTATAAGAGATATTATTATAAGATATTTAAAATGTAAGAGAATTATTTATAAATTTTTATAATGTAAGAAATTATTTGTAGGATAGACGCTATTTATTTTCTCGAAAGCTATTCGCGAGCATGGCCTCACCTTGTATTGTTTTGTCGACATCGATCCGCTGCGCCTTTAGTCTCTGTCGCAAGACATACAACATCTCGCCGCCCATGTTCAAGTACAGAATTGGTGTCGAGTGCGAGGACATTTTCGTTGGAGTGATCACTCGATCGTCAGTGGTACATACATCAGATGGATACACGTATGTCGTACTAGGCGAGGAAGTCGATGCGTCACCTTGACGACGTAAGTGTACATACTTCTAATTGCCGCGATCGGTACCGAGTATGCGCGAGGAAACTCACACGCGAGCCCGTGGATATGCGCCCTTCTCATTTTAGAGCATTGCCGTGATATTCATTAAAGACCGTTATTATTGCGGAAATTATATAACTTGATATAGATTTATTCGGGCGTTGATTTTTTCCTCGAAAAATATTTGAATGTAATTAATGCAATAAATTTTTACGTATAAGACTACATTGTTATATATCTTTGATATTATTATTTTGTGATTTAAGCATCCTAAAAAATAATATTTGAATAACGAAAGTTCTCAATTTTAAAGTTCCACTATGCAAATAGTAAATGTTACATATTAGATACGTAACATATGTTTAATGTCCTACTTAGAAACGTTTTTTCTACATAATAGCTCAGAAATGTAGCAGAAATATTTCTACTACATTTCTGAGCTATTATGTAGAAGAAACGTTTCTGAATAGAACATTAAACATATACGTATCTATAATATAATATGTAACTTTTACTATTTGCACAGTCCTTTTTAAATTCTTTTTGCTTCTATCAAATAATGTTGCATTGCTATTTTAGTCAATATAATGTGTATTATATTTATATGTTGATGCCCGAATTTAATTTAAATTTGAATCTATACTTTAATTTTGCCGCGTCACAAATATTCAAGTGGTACCAAATCATCGATGAAAGTGATCACTAGATCTTCAAATATTCTTTACTAGGTCGTCCAAGAATATCTCGGTCAGATTTTTATAGAATATCTCTTACAGAGAGAGGATAGAGAGAAAAGTGAAGGAAATTAAGTAATTTGATATTTCATTAATAATTTGTAATGTGATGAGCTTTTCATTCTGAAAAATAAATACTTAGTTATGCCTGTGAAATAGAAGCGACGCAATAATGCTTCTGCTTTTGAAATGAAATGCGCTTTTGTTCGATCTTAACGATTTCGTTGTTCAGTCTTTTGTCAGCTTAGCAAAGGAGTGTAGTTGATTGATTGTGTGTTTGTTACGTATGCTTGCGAATACCGGTAGACTGTTTTAGAAAGTTGTTGCGAATAGTTTATAAACTGTATACCTACAATAACGGTAGGAAATTCTTAGAAATTGATAAAAGAAAATATCTGTAGTGAAAGATGTGTGCAGGTATTTTATTTAATATTAGATTATTTCTAACTTGGATACTTTGAACGATATGAATTTGCACATTGTTGTTTAACGTGTTATGCTTTACAGTTTATTATTTTTTACTTTATTATTTAGAAAAACGTTTCTTTTTTTTAATTTCTAGATCTGTTTAGGGGTATTGGCCATTCAATATTCAATACACTTTTAAGAAGCAAAATGGAAGACATTGTGAAAGAGTTAATGTTTACACTTGTAGCGACAGACAAGTACTATGATGTTATAAATAACTTTCAGAAGCTTAAGACTGATCAGTATCGTGTAATATTTACTTTTAATATTATATGGGAGAATCACATTATTCCGTATAGCCATGTAGTTAATCTAAGTAAAAATGCTGAAGAATCTGAGAGAATACGGGAGGATGGCAATAGTGTGTTTGTTACTTCTACTTCTAATTTAAATTTACGCATTGCATTGAATATATATACACAAAGCATATCCCTAGCACCTTATCCATCAAGGCAACTTGCTCTGGCTTATGCCAATAGATCAGCTGTTTTATATGAATTAGCTTTATATTCTGAATGTATTCAGGATATTAACAGAGCATTGGACTTCAATTATCCCGATGACCGAAAAGGAAAGCTTTACATGCGTAAAACACAATGCCTAATCATACTGAAAAATGTAACTGCAAAAAATATGATTAAGAAAACAGAATATTGGATAAATAAAATGACTTCTGGGCCCAATAAGTTAAAATTACAAACTAAGCTGGATGAATTGCGCCAGAAGACTGAGCAGAAAAGTTTCCAGCACGATCCTATGAAACAGGCAGAATTAGAAAGTGAATCTCCTCTCCCTGTCATAAAGTCTTATAATAATGATATTCCTTGTGCATCAGATGCTGTAGTCTTAAAATATGATGAAAACAATGGCAGACATGTTATTGCTGCTCGTAACATAGATGCAGGTGAAGTAGTTGTTGTAGAAAAGCCTTACTCATTGCTGTTGTCACAGGAGAACACATTGTCGCACTGTTCAAATTGCCTAAAAAACAGTTTGGCTCCTATACCCTGCAAATACTGCACTTATTCTTTATATTGCTCAGAAAAATGTAGGGATATTGAGTGGAGCAAATGTCATTATATAGAATGCTCTTTTTTTTCTATTATGGCCAAATATGGCTTCAACGATAGTGATTTTCTTAGCTTGAGACTAGCTGTGCTCGCTGTAAAAGAAGCTGGCAGTATACATGCATTGAAAACCATGTTGGAAGAAGTTGATAAATCTGATGGTATTTAGCATTCATACTTTTTATCATTTTATAACAGCAGAGTATTCATGGTAATATTGTTTCAGATTCAAGAACTAAAGGTTTTTCACAGGATGGAAAATTCCATAGTGATAAATATATCAGTCTGTACAGTCTGGAGAGGAATACCGAGAAAAGACCGTTTATTGATCTTTTCAGAAGAACTATAGATACTTGTTTTATTTTGTACCTTTTGGCAACGTGTACCAAGTTTTTTGGTATCAAATTTTCCGACGATTTAAGAGCTTTGGCGAGAAATGACGACGTCACGTTTGTAGGTGGTCTCATTCTGAGACACCAGCAAATAATCCCGACCAATGTCCATTGTGTACGTCAAGTATTCTAATATGTCCTAAATATGTAATATTCGCATGTGTGTAATTGATCTATTTTTTATGTTTTTCTATCGATGATAGTCTTTTGTTTCATTATTTACTTATTATTTCTTCTGTAATTCCACTTTATCAGTTTGTTTAATACTTATTTATTATGATTTATTAACAAATTTATTATTATTCAAATCTGATATTTGCAGTTCACTGAACAGCGATATTTAGAATGTGACCCTGTACAACGTGGTCTGGCTGCTATGCCTTTTTGTAGTCTATTTAATCATAGTTGCAGTCCGAATATGATGAGGATTTCGAGATCTCAGCATATCGTTTTGTACGCTATGTATCCCATTCGCAAGGGCGAGCAGGTACTAAATTGTTATAATCACTTACGATAAAAATTATTTTTTATCATAATTAATTTTTAACTTATTATAGCTCTTCGATAATTATGGATATCATTTTGCTGTGATGTCGAAAATACAAAGACAACAAAAACTACTTCAACATTATTATTTCACTTGTAGTTGCATACCTTGCCAAGAAAATTGGCCTTTGTTTACCGACTTGAAGTCCTATAAAGTAAGTCATTATAAATTATTAATATAATAAAACAATTTCGACGACAAACACTTTGTTTTGCAGATTCTAGTCAAGACAAAGGATGACAAAAATAAAATAAAAAATGCATTAAAGAAATTTAATACATACGTTAATTTAGCAGAAAAGGGTGATGTCCTGAATAAGCCTTATATCATCGAAGATTTGTTAATGATGATACGAGTGCTGTACGATCGCGTGCCGATTGCTTGCAAAGAGATGGGTGAGGTTGTGGAAACTTTGAAACGGGTGAACGGTTTGCACGGAAATAAGTGCGTCTCAGTAGAAATATCGATGTATAAGTAAAAACGCGTGTTTTTTTATGATAATATTTTTTCCTTGGTGAAATGTTTTTTGTTTTGTTATCGTTTCATTGACAGTGTATCGATATATCGTTTTGTAATCAGTGTATCGATATATGTAAAGAGTTTTAGTTTATTCCAGATTTTGAAGATTCAAGAAGTTAATGTTGTAATCGTTTTTGAAGGAGTAACTTTGAAAGTTGTGAATCTCGCCGCGGTCATTTTCATTATTGCCACTTACGACTGATTGAGCAGATCTGTAAAATATTCCGAAAATTTATCTTTTGCTGTAATAATGAATAAGTAAATTAACATGATATGTGGTTTACCTTTTGACTGCGTGAGTTTATCACAATTAATTTTACGACCTTTGTCGATTACTGTAACAAAGGAAAAGTCTTCGGAATATTTCACGTATCTACCTGATACATATTGATTGCAAGTATAATTATGTAAACATAACTTTTTTATTTTAACCTTTTTATTTTTTAAGAATTTCGAATATTATTTTCTCTTTTTTGACATATTATTGGCGAAGATAATCACAGTGAGGAAACAGGAATCTCAAATACATAAAAGAGAAGGAGAGAGTTCTTAATAAAGTATTTCTATGAAGTGATATATTAAAAATGTTTAAAGATGACACTATATTTGTTAAATGTATAATATTTTGAAAAATTAAAGTTGCGATGGACAATATTGCATATCAAGTTTACCTTTTTTACTTTTCTGTTATCCTATGTACGATTTTCATGAATCGTAAATATACGGCGCAAGAAGATATACAAAACTATGTTAATTCGCAGATATTATTGAGGTAGTCGAATAGTAGGAAATGTTGTCTATGGAGTAATTTGAACTATAATGTACTTAATTATACACGCTCGTGTAGCGATCGCAGTTGATAACGTTTTATTCTCGTTATCTCGCCAATAACCATGAAACAATTGGCAAGAGAATCGTCAAGCCAATCGGTTGATAAGTCGTCCCGTGATTTCCACATTTCTTTTCTTTAGGGCATTGTTTAGGGCATTCTGTCTTGTTATTTTTTTCATCATTTGCATCATTTGCATATGAAATTCGCCATTCTACGCCCGTGTGTATCGGGCTGTGTTTAGAGATATATTGTTCCAACACGTCCGACGTAGTGATGCCTGTGAAAATTCGACGGTGTCATAACCGTTATTCTCATCATATTCTCATCAAGGTAGATGACACAAAGCTAAATGTATTCGCAAAATAAATCAAGTAGCGCGCAACGCAATATATGAACGCACCTAATGAGTGTATTTCGAGGTCTTCCATCATATGGAAACCATCTCCGCCCTTTGCGATAAAATCGTTCACAAGGACCTTATAAGTGGCATTCGTCTGAAGCTCACTGTACGATGGTATTGCGCAGTCGGCACATTGAACTTGAACGGAAACCACCCTCGAGTTTTGCGGCTGAGTCTCGTCATAGACCACCTGCAAGAGTAACGCGAGCGTATACCTGATAAGACAGATTCGGGTGCAGCAATCATTGCGCGAATATAAATTACAGGTGAAAATGACAGGTGTGACACGTAGTGGAAATTATATGTAATCTCTTCGTCGAATTCACATTCTCGATTACCTGCAGTCCTCCAAATTGCAAATACGCGCCGTACAAGTTGCCGGTGGAGGTCCGATTGCCAAGATTATAGACGCTCCACTCGAGCATCTCAAGAATCTTTTCTCCCGTCATAGTAGCCACTTGGATTACATTACCGAAAGGCAAGACGCTTATAATGTCACCTCTGTTGATCTACAATGTGACGTTACGACATAACATTGTGCTCGACGTATCTCAAAATGCACTGTGAAAAAATACTTAAAAATTAATGTGTAGAATATGAAGTTTATTTCTGAAGTAAAATTTATATTTTTGTGAAATGAACTTTATATCCCTCCCACAAATAAATTTTCAAATATCTTTTTCTCAGTGTGTTCAGAACATTCTTAACATGTTGACCACCACAGGAGTCACTGATGACCGGTTCATTGATTCTGCCGCGTTTCATTAATTTACGCAAAAGATGTGCTTAATTATATCTAATGAATTAAATATTTTAGTTGATACAAAGCCAAGAAAACTAACTCTGACGAATATATGCGTTAATATATGTATTTACTTCAGTTACTCGAACTTTGATTAAATTATTTGATTAATTTATTTGACTAAGTTAATTAAGAACTCTTTTTGTTTTACAGCAAAATCAGTGGGAATAAACGTGTTGAAAGGAATACAAGGAAAACACATTTTAATTACCATATCTCCTCTCGCTCTAGTGATGGACGTTCTGATACTGCCGCTGTTTTGAATCGCAATGGCAGCATTCGTCCATCCTTTCTTAGCCAAGTACTGAGTAGCGTACTGTGAAAAGAGAAAACAAAAACAAATTATCAACTTCGCATTCCGCGATATCTACGAGAAAATTGAATCGATCGGAGATCTTACATAATCGATTATAGAGTCGCAGATTAAATTTCCCAAATTGCACTCTTTCCGTCTGCAATTCTTGCTGTCCCCGTCGAGGAGTACTCGTGTTTTTCCGATCGTTATGTTCATTAACTCATCGATAGGTTTTTTCATCTGTATTATCATTTCCTGGACATCTTCTGCCTGCGGTAAGGATTGTGAAGGCTCTATGTTAGATAATGTGTTTTTTTTAAGATATACACGTATATATGTATTAAAACACTTTAATATTTTTACATATAGTTACTTTCTTCAATATATTTTTATTTGTCAATATATTTTTATTATATACAGGATGATTCATTGTTGTGTCAAATGTCAACAGAATATAGAGGACAGAAATAAGTAGGACTACGAATCCATTTATAGAACGAAAATTGTTCCTCGAAGTATCCTCTATATTCTCTATATCCTCTATATTCTGTTGACGTTTGGCATAAGAGTAGTGAATCACCCATATATATGTAGTAAATTGAATTATAAGTATTTTTAAGCGCGATTTGGAATGTCAAAGAGATTAAAAAATAAATAATGTGTTTGCATGAAACATTTATTAGCACATAAATTGTTCGAAATTTTGACTATCATGTTTGACACAGCATTCAACGCGAAGTCTGCGGACTTGACATTTTGCGATTTTTTCCTTTGGGGATATATTAAGAACACTGTCTATACAACTATTCCTGAATATGAAGAAGATTTACATATAAAATCTCGAAAGCTGTTGAAGGAATTACAGCAGAAATACTGCAGTTAACAATGAGAAACGTTATAAAATGCGTTGAATACTATATCGAATATGATGGTCAAAATTTCGAGCAATTTATGTGTTAATAAATGTTTCATGAAAAAACATTATTTATTTTTTTAACCTCTGACATTCCAAACCACGTTTAAAAATACTTATAATCCAATTTACTATTTTAATACTTAAGATGCCAATTATCTCGTAAACGATGTATAGTAGCAATTTTTTACTGCATATGATTTTGATTGCAAATAACTCCTATTTAAAAAAATTATAGGTATCCATTTAAAAAAACTATATTGACCTTTATAATTCAAAAAGGTTACGAGTAAAAGAAAATTTTATATGCACTTTGTAGCTGACTCAGAGCAAATTTCTCTTATTAAACTTTCTCTGCAAATTTCTCTTATTAAACTTGTAACTTCAACCAGTTGCGAGATATTTGCTCGGACATCTATGGACAGGCATCCTGTATATACATATATAGCTGTATATACATATATCCTGTATTCACAGCTGTGAATATTATATATATACACACATTTTATATTTTATCAATGTTCACAGTTGCAACCAAACCAATTCTTCCAAATGACTTTCAAAACTTACCTGTTTCACAGTGGAATCGACCAGGATCGGGTTTCCCTTGATGTGCGTCACCTCCCCGCTCGCGTCGAAGCTCACGCTGAAGTTACCTAGGTATTTGGTGTAGGCGTACGCCTGAACAACGTAGACTTTCCTTTTGCTTTCCTGTGTTATCTCCGTAGGGTAAAAACCCTCTGGTACCTCGGAGTCCGGCGGCGTACCTTCGTACAAGAAGGTGTTCGTGTGACCGCCAATCACCAAATCGATATCCTCGACCTCTTTGGCGATCCTCTTGTCGGTTTCGTAGCCGGAATGACCCAGAGCGATGAGAATGTCGATACCCTGAGCCTTGAGCTTTTTAGCTTCCTTTTGGATGGATTCTACCTCGTCCTTGAAGATCACGTTCTCCGTGGTCGACAAGATCTTCGTTTCAGGCGTCAGGTAACCGATTACACCGATTTTCCGGCCGTTCACCTCGAGGATCGTGCTTTTCTTCAGCTTCGTATCTCGCAGATCTGGTTGCATGCTGAGATCCAGATTCGACGTTACGATAGGAAACGTGACGTTCTGTATGAACGGTATAAGACCCTGGATCCCGTCGTCGAACTCGTGGTTACCCAAACTCTGAATTTAATAAATTGAAATTTATTATAAGCGCAAAACACAGACGATATGCAATTACGCGACTTCATATAAGAGTCGCGAACAAATTTGGTTGTTTGATTAATTTTATTCGACTAACTTATTTATTTTACTTAATTTATTTTTTCAAATTTCTTATCAATTTATTTATTCAAGTGTCGCGTCTGGCATCGGTGGATATATCAAATAAACAATATCAAATAAACAATGAGTTAAAATTGACTGTTCGAGAGACATAGCATAGCTTGGACGTTCAATTCAATTTATGTGGTAAAAGTACCAATTCACGAACACGTGATCTTGGACATTCGTATTGTTCTGACTTTTAAATGCGAATATTCAAACTTTTGACATAGAAAACGTGCGTATACATTTCACATTGGTATTTTTACCTTAATTAGAATCATCGTATGCAGCCGAATTGATCTTTTTTCCGAATACTTTTGCGTAATTTGATTCCAAAAATAATTAACACTCACGATGGCGTCCGGTTCCAAGAAAGTCAGGAATACCGCTGGTGCCACCCATTTGTACACGTTGTACCACGCTGTCCCTTGAAAAGTGTCGCCGGCATTCAGGAAAATCGTCGGCCCTTGCGCCCTCGCTTGGCGGATTAGTGTTGCGATTCTGGCGAAACCACCGTAACACTTTCCTTCCTTGGAGTCTTTCGGCGTGCACGCGGTCGACAATTGCGACGTTTCCTCGAATCTGGAAACGTTCAATTTGCAATCGTATAATTTGCGAACGATCAGGCGAGTTACGCGATGTCGAAAGAGCGAGAACAATTTCTGAATGAAGTATTCCCAAGTGAGAACACGTACGCGGTTAATTATCAGTTGGGTGCAATTAACTATCTCGACGTTCGTGTCAGCACGTTGAGAGTAATTACGCGACACAGAGCGCTTAAATGATACGTCTCCTCTGTGATCGGTGAAAGATACTTGAACATTCTTACACTTTTCTCACAACAATAAGAGACAAAATTTACCTCGCGTGCATGTCGTTCGTGTGAACGATCGTGATGGTGAAGTCGTCATCCTGCTTGACAACGGGATTTGCAAGCACTCCATTCACGAATGCCAATAATGCGAGAATATACCACTTGATCGGTCCTATTGACATCTTCGTTTGTTACTCACGTCACAGTGCGGGTGCTCTTTTATGACTTTTTTTGTCCCTTATCTTCGTTCCACCCGGTGTACTGATAAGATACGTCTTTCTACGGTAGTTTAACTTCTCATTTTCTTCACGAGTTAGCACGTTGTATACTCAATGTTAATTCAACACCTGCGGAGATACATAAGATACATTTTATCTGCTTTTATTTCACTTGCCGCGCTGTCGCAGTCGCAGACATTGAGAAACCACACTTAAATGCGGAAAGCGTGCACACGTTATCAAGGTACGAAAATACATTTCTGCTTGCGCGTATGCGAAGCACGACATTCATAAAAGACGAGAATCTAAATCGACTCGATATCCATTTCGCACGCCCGCGGGCCCGCCAAGAAACGCAACGGTTCGTAAAGTCGTGCACCAAACGCTTTGAACGAGTATCAATTTGACCTGATGTCTGGCGCCGTGCCCGACTAATTTGCGAGAGAAACGAAACGATAAATGGAATTACGTCCCTACGGCGTTAACGCGACACTCTTCCGCCCACTTAACTAATCGGACAATTGATTCCGTCCGATACGGGGGTTTTCGGCTTTCCAGATTTCGCAAAAAGAGGAGCGAGCGCAGTATTTGTGACTCGAGACAAACAGATGCACAAACAAAGCTTTATTTATTTTATTTTTTACTCGATAGTAGAGAGAGAGAGAGAGAGAGAGAGAGAGAGAGACGCGCTATATATCATTGTCATTACGACACTGTAATACTCCGTTTAAGATCCTCGATGCGCTATAAGTGTCAACAATCGGTGCCAAAGATTAAGTAACACACACCGTGTGCACGCCACCGACAACCGCGTATAACCATGCAAACTACTCCGCGCTAAGTAACATTTCGCACACGTGCAACGTGTTACGACACAAGGTCTTTAATGTAAGCGACGTCACTTAATTTATCGCTTTTCCCAATATATGGTGAACCGATTACACATTCCCGTTGATAAAGATAAATTTCGTTTGAATGTCAAATTCCGGTGATTTTTCAATGACTTTCCATCCGTCCGGGGACTTCTGATATTTATAATCCTTCAGTTATCTCCCAACTTCTTTCGATTATTTTCTATTTCCTTCTCTTTTAACACCTTCTCTAGTCTCGGATAATCGCTAACCTTCGGAATTATCTCTTATTGTTTCTACAAAAGAAGAAGATACGTTCTATCGAGTAGCGAGCGCGAGAGATTAAAAAATTTGATTGAAATTTCTCCAAGTATAAACGGCCCGAAATGAAGAAAGAGGAAGAAGCAACGCACCGAGCTTCGACGCGCCGACCAGTATCACTCGACTGCGAAGGGTACTGATAAATACTGGCATAATTATACGAGAGCACACGCGTATTAATTGCTCTTCCGTGTTATCGTAGTAGTGGCGGTGGTAGCGGTGACAGGCGGAGGCGGAGGTGGCGATGGCGGTGCTTTCGAGCGAGTTGCAATTCATCTGCGAGCAAGAGACGCGAGCCGATTTTGTTGAGCGACCGGCGTCGACTGAACATGACAGACGTCGACGACTGCCGACGTGCGGGCCCCACCGGATTCCTTTTTCCGACCTCTCCATTAGGATTTCTGTTGCTTTGAATCAGCACGCTTTGTCGGGACCGCTTAGGTCGCCGGACTTTATTCGCGAGCCTTGAGAATTTTTTGATCGAAAAGTGGCCGAGAGAAACGAGCAGAAAGCAGAAAAAAAGAAGAATTTAGGAAGAATAAAATTTAAGGCGGTATATCGATGCTGTCGCTTATCTGAAATGTCTTGTAAATATTAATTATACGTCTAGAAATTTTTCTATCAGATTACGATTTCGTTATGTTCCGGCTCGAGAGATAATTTCGACAAACGTGTTTGCCGGGCGGTCCGATAAAATAATCTGGAAATATTTGGAAGCACGCTCACATATATACTTTGATTTCGTTGGAACTATTTGTATTAGATGCTGATAACTGTGTGTTGTTTCATTGTTTCGATAAGTTCTATTTTAAGGTGGCCGATCACGTAAGCGCGGTTTAGAACAAGTCAGTCAGGTTTGTTATATTGAAATGATAATACACGCCATCATTTGGAAAACTAATTTAATTAAATACATCGCGAGAGAAAACAAGGTACATTCGCATTATGTAAAAATTGTATCTTAACTTTGGCATTTCTGTAAAATTCTTATCAAATTTCTTATCGTAAGTTTTCGTACACACGCGCACACGGACGGAAATCGCAAATTTGCAACGAATAATAGTCAGTTTCGACTACTAACTTACAGTTGGTTTTCATTTTCATGAGCGACTCCTTATTTTCGAACAGTAGATAGCTTGTGCTTGTGCAAATTGGCGAATGTCTTTCCATTAGATTAGAGCATTAAGATCCTCGAATGTCTTAAAGAAGCCTTTGTGACATTAAGACGCTAATGAATGCCTTTGACATGTTTCTTAGCATATTTCATGTTTACAAATAACAGCGTGTTATTATTTCTGTCTATATCTCTGTTGTGTCTGCGTTATAGTGTAATTAGGATAATTATACTGATAATGTAATTATATTGATATATTATTTTATAGTATTGACGTCCTTTATTATACTGATATCCTAATTTTCTTTAAATTTCATCTCAATTTTTTCAAGTGACAAACAACGAGTGGTATTTGTATTTTTACAAGTGAAATCTGTTTTTTAACACGTGTAAGCAAGGCTTATTGCGGCCTCTGACCGCGTAACTTAAACGGTTACTTGAATCGATTCACATATCACTTTCGAAGTCGATTATTTCGATGTAAAGATTACTTGTATCGATTTCAAAAAGTGGTTTTAGAATCGAGTACCATTTTGCACAGTTCTATTGTCTCTCTTTTTCTCCAATGGTTTCAAGATTAAACAATATTAATAGTAAATGTCCGGTGAAAGATGTTTGTTTGACTATCCTTATCAATCTTGACGTCGTTTAGATTCAATATAATATTCTCCGACTCATCGGATGTATGAATGTATTGATCAATATTACAACATTGAAAATGAATAATGACCTTTGGGTCCAACGTCATCCGCTGACCCGGATGGGAATTTATATTATACTTTCGACAGCGTTTTCAGAAGAGAAGGCTCCGATCAATGCCAAAAAGCGGATGTAGGTGTGAGAAAACAGCCACAACTATTTAAAAGCCGCCACATCTCGAATCGTCCGTTCGTCTTTAGCGATAGGACTCGAGTTCGGCTTCTCAGTCGTGTTACTTTTGGCATTTTTAGTTGTCGAGTGTTTACATCTGTGTTCCGGCGTCAATCGTCCTTCTCTTTCCTAAGATTTACATCAAAGACTTACATCTCGGTCGTTCCTTTCACTTTCGGCAATATTATCTTCGATGATCGATGTTGATATTCCAGTATATCTTAGTCGATATCCAGTATGAATCTAGATTCGATATGGTAAAATAATTTTTTATTAACACATCGTGAGCCGAAAAATTAACCGTAGAATACTATACGATTTTGTCAGCGAGCCAGAGTGCCGGCCATTCAGTAACTTCCTTGGCATCGGCTCCTTCTGTTCGTCACGCGCATAGTTCGTTTGTGCCTGTCGTGTTATATACCCTGTGTGTCCGTAAGAAATAAGTAATTACTCCTCGTAAATCCAGCCGACGCTTATCCTGGCCATATTTACGGTTGCGCTTCCTAGTATTATGTTCGCGCAACAGCGCGTTTTCTTCGCAAAGTTCGTCGTCGCACAGGAAACGCGATCTCGCGCTTACCCGTGATTATTCGCGCGAATCCACACGAATATCTTGTCCATATCTTCGTGCGACAGATTTGCGCGTGATATATCATCTATCATGAGGTGTCCAATTCTCGCGAGCAATGAAGAGAAGTAACACGATCGCGTGCTAATTAGTTCAACGTCGTGTACGGCTGTTTTTATCCCCCCCGCGCCTTTTCGCGATGAAAATCACGACTACGCCGAGTGCGACTCTGTCACCGAGTGTGAATTTTTATTTCCTTCGTTCGTGAATAAATTTGTACGGGTAATTAAAACATGTAGAGACACGTTGATTTGTCGGAATACTTGGCCGATGTTGGAATATCGTTAGATATCGGTCGTGCGTTTCACATGTCTATATGTGATAAGATCTCTTTTTTCTTCTTTCCCAGTATAATTCTGCCAATTTATATGTTATCTGTTATGAATCGCGACACAGACGAAAGAACTAGTTTCCCCGTGTGAATTAACTGTGTGTGGATGCACCATTTACGGTGCAATTCCGTGCAACAAGGGGTGAATACAAGTTCCTCAATAGATGTCCGGATATTAGATAAGCGTGTGTGTGTATATGTGTATGTGTGTATGCGCTGGAGATATCAGGAATATTCATTCGAATTATTCATTACTATTTTAATTCGGTTTCTGTGATTCACAATATTGTTCGTGTGCTCAGGAATCGTCTTGGATACATTGGAATTGCAAATCGGAGCAATTTTCACGTAATTTAAGACTTCCGAAAGTCAGGCAGGGTGAATACAATGTCGCTTATTATTGTCGATCGAGGAAGCATTGGCAATTTGGCGATAAATAAGTTTTACGATATACAGATAAAAATAGAATACACTCATGATACACTCACTTAAAACACTTATCGCACTGTCTTTGTTGGCATTGCTTACATCATAGCTAGGTGTATTATTGCGCGACGTTAAGTTTTTTCCACGTCGTGTTTTTGCGTATTAAGATTTAAATGGATATCTAGGTTATTTTTCTCAGCAATTCAGTTCACATCTGAGATAATGCGGCTAATCGAGTAGATGATGTCGCAGGTAATTAAGTAGCGTGGATCATTTTGTTGCCGCGGGCGATAAAATTGTCGTCTCATTGCGCGTTCATATAACAGTAGATTGGAAAACCGTTTAGACATAATGGGATTGCTAAACTGCCAAAATTGAGAGTCATTATGGACAGACTTGCGCAGTAATAGTATAATTAATGATACAATTAGGGATAGTGAATGATAATAGACAATAATACAAATAATATAATAATACAAATAATAACATTAATAACAATAATTAATAATAATAATTAATAACATAACAATTATTGTCATTAATAACAATAATTAATAATGTAATTACTCGGTAAGCCCGTCAGTAATGACTTTCAGTTTCGACAATTCGGTGAGTTACCGACTTCATAACATCTAAGTCGTTTTAAGCCATCGCACATACTTAAACACACACGAGATATATCGCACGTGTGTGTGTTTCACGTCTGATACCGGAAAACCGACATTCGAGGATACATCTTGAGCGAGACAGTGCTAGAGACGAAATCTCTTGTAATACTGATAAGGCAGGGGACACTCGATAATCAATATTTTCTCATGGGAAGAGCGAAGACGAGTAATGATCTAGAGCAGTCTTTCACGAATATTCGACACGTGTGCGCCCGACTTCTGTTATCGAGAGCCAAGTGTGACGAGCGTTCTTGCTGTCACGCGAGGTAACGTAAATCGCTTGCGTTTATCCTGGATAGTTACATAATCCCTTCCAGTAACTTAGCCTCCGTAAACTTCGTTTTTTACTTTTTACGATACCCGGAGGTGATCGTTCGCGCGAAGATTATCGCGCCCGAGGTCGCGACGATGATGTAATCGTGTCGCGCCGATCATTTATCGTTTATCACCTTTACGCTTTGTTACATTGCGTTACGCGCGTCTCATATACGAAATCAATTAATCGTGCTGCCGATGTGTCCGCATCGTCTTATATCGACTGCGAATTTTTCATGGCAATTATTTTATCTCGGAACTCGCTTGCGTACCCGTGACACCTGCTTTGCTCGCGCGTCACGCATGTTTGCGCGCGTTATAATTAGTGGGAGTGAAGGTGTAAGGAGCAGATCGCGTTGCAAAATTTATGCTGTTCTATTTTTCACTTTTTCTGTCTTTTCTTTTGCGTTTGTTATACAACGATGCGATTACACGAGCGATCTCCAAGCGAGTTTTTTCTGGCTGATCAACCGTTCTCTTTTAATCGACCGTTTAGTGAGAAGTTATTGTGACAAGAAAGAGATTGAAAGCTCCTCAAGTGCTCCGATTGTATACAATTTTATATATGATATACAATCTTACAAGATAACGTCATAAAGTAGAACAAATCGTCGTATCGTATACGACACTGGTTTACAAACATGTTGAAACATTTCTCTTTTCCGATATAATTAGGAATCAAATGGTCACAATTACGAGCTTGCACGATTCGTTACGGCAATAGTTAAAATAATAAATACATGATATATCCGACGTCACAACTGCAAATGAGGATCAAAGAATAGCACAAATGTCTCTATTTTACTTTTAACTATCTCAGATGAGCGTAAAATAAAGAGCCGACATTTACATCATGTGCTGTCATTTTGGCTACTTACGCGATTAATTACTATGCAAGACCATGCAGTGGCTGTTTGACTCGCTTTTAACTTCATCAGAAAAGCGCTTAAGTTGTTTCGCGAACAAGTGTACAGCTTTAATATGGTTTAAACAATATTTCTTCGATGCATTTCAAAGCGTAGCTGATCTAATGAAAGAACTTCTGGGAATTATTAAAAAACAAGTTTAAAATAAGTTTATCTTGCATCGAAGGAAAAGCGTTCAAATAATATTGAAACAAAGTATATGATCTTGTTGGAAATAAAAGTCAAAGTTGACTCATTTTTCCGAAGTTGCTTACATATACGATAACGCCCTGATTCATATAATGGATAATGAAATAGATTAGTCGTTATCTTTTGTTGTCAACATTCTATAATTAATTGGGCATAGATTAATTGAAATCGATTTGGAGTTATCGACTGTCAGCGCGAAGATCTAGCATGTTCCGTGAATCCGATAATTAGCAGAACCTTTGAGTTATAATTGTCCGTGACCGATCGACAATTTTAAGTATATCGCGAGACAAATAGATTCCTCAAAAATAAATCTGACATATCTGACAAATCGCTTAACGCGACTTGTTATCTTGTTTATGAATTTTGCGTTGCGCAATCGTCTATATTGTCTACCTCAGCCGTGATTGTCTCAGGAAACGCGACAGTCGTTTGTCGTTGAACGACCGCAATTACCGTTTCCGCATTGACAAAGACAATAAAGACAAAGAATCGTGCACGTGCTTACAATATGTCGTCGCGCAGAAGTTGCTGTAAGTGTATTCCTCGTATCTCTATTTTATCTTGAAGTCGTCACGTAATCTGTCTTCGTCGAACTTTTAAATTCAAACATATTGCAAAAGAATGTAAGGAATTTTTGCAACTCGATATTAATATTGCCTTATATACCTTTATTAGCACGATATCTTATACTTCTCGATATCTTGTACTTTATTGCGGTGATTCCGCGACAAACCAAGACCACGCAAACATAATAGTATCTTTACTGACAGGTGCAACATGTACATGCTGCCGTTGCTGCTATTGCTGTGCCAAGTTTGTTGGGGATCCACCGAACCTGATATCTCTCATCCAGCAGGAAGGACAGATCTGTTTGAGCTGTCGATAATTCACTGGAATGATTTTCACGCGAGGTGAGCGATTCGGATATGTCAAGCATGCGATTTAATTCGTGTCATTGTAATGATCGCTGAGTCAAGGACGAGAGTGTAATTATATAATTACTGCCTTGGCCTCCTTCTATCAGTCTTTGTTTGACTTTTGCGCGACTTTCGTGATCGCGCTGCTCGTTAGAGCATGACCCTTGAGAGGAAAAAAACTGTGTCGAAGGTTCGAGCAGACAAGTCCGACTTCTGGACCTTGCCACAAGGACCAGGAGGAGAGATGCGTGGGTGGAATCGCCAGAGTCTACACGGCGGTCACTAAGCTCATGAATGAACGGCCGAATCCGATTTTCCTGAATGCTGGAGATAACTTCCAGGGCACCATCTGGTACAATCTTCATCGTTGGAATGTCACAGCTTTGTTCATGAATAAATTGCCGCATGACGCCTTGGTAATGAAATGTATAGACTCTCCAGATAAAGCAAACTTTAATCTTCTCTCGGGAGCGAGTATTAGATCCAATAGTTTTTATTAATCGAATAAGCCATCATTGATTCTTTCCAAGCGCTCAAAATATTGGGTCTTGTCGAAAAGTTCGGTTCGATCTCTCGTTTATTTAATGATAAACTAACCTTGGTAAACTCTGCCTTCTACAATGGAGATATACTAGTGACGCCAGAACGTTAGCGAATACAACGACAATGATGGACAAATAATTACAATTAGTTAAAATTATCTGGCGTTGCCCGACGGTTATTACAAAGTGTTGAAGGAAATCAGGGGGAAGAGAATACTGTGAGTCTAGATTTTATGCAGCTCATATTGTCTGCAGGGTTTTAGAGAATAATCATACAAAATTTGATCCAGATCAGTCAAAAGGAATGTATAGACAGACAGACATTTTATTTTATACATGTAGATAAATCAAACTTCTTGATGAAAAGATCTAGTAGAACTTTTCAATTGACCCACTATTAAACAGAAGAGCATAGAGCCTAGAGTCCATGAACTTACCTTTGACCTGACCTTATTCAACCTGAATCGAATCCTCCGATACTGTATTTTCTGGAACATTAACTGGCGTCGTGACAGCTGCAAGTTCTGTCTGATTCTACTCAAATGTACATGTCTCTTTTAACACAGCACGACAATCGCGAAAAACGCGTGAAATATATATATATATATATATATATATATATATATATATATATATAATTAACACAAATGAGTTATTAACACAAATGAATAAAGAATAGAATTCTTTCGCTTTCTAATTGATTTGGAAAAATTTACTTTAAGGTAACGCACAACGTCTCGCACTACGTTCACCGTCGTGTCTAAGACTGTCGTGATTGTTTGTTTGTCGTATACTTACGTGTATTATTATTCTCTGAAGGTTGCGTGATCTTGTGTCAAGCGTCACGTTTGAGAGTAGTGATTCGTGTGATTTACTCTCTCAACTATTTAACGCACACTATGTTACGATATTACGATATTACGATATTACGATATTACACTATATTACGATATTAATGTTACGCATTATTTTATGACAAATTTATTAAGACTTATTTGATTCTAAGTTTTTGTAACATTTATTTATTTATTTAATAACATTTGTCCCATTTGCTCACATCGACACTGCTTAGTAGAGTCTAATGACTGTTACGTAATTAAAATACGACTGAATAGAAATAATTTTTACCGTTGATATATGATATTATATGACGATATATTTTCACAGACTATCGGAAATCACGAGTTCGACCATAAAATCGAAGGTATCGTTCCATTTCTTAGATACGTCAAAGCGCCAATTGTAGTGACGAACATTGACGACAGTGAGGAGCCGAGTATGCAGGTCCGTAATTTCCGTCCGTAATATTCGTTGACTGAAACAAATCGATTTTCTACTTTGATTTTTCCCTTTTTTAGCATTTATACGAGAAGAGCACAATCATCAAGCGCGGCGGTAAGAGAATCGGTATCATTGGTGTTATCCTGTCGAGTACGAATGTGAGTAATCGACCGATCGTATTCTTTAGCGATATAGCAAACTGCACGGTATATTTGATTTAATTTCTCGGATCGTATCTCTCGCGCCAATTCAATTCATCCGCTTCTCTCTCACAAGACACGCTCGAGCAAGCAATCTTCTCGATATGCATTCGATTCTCTCAGATGATCGCCAACACGGGGAAACTGAAGTTCTTGAACGAGGTGGAGTCGGTGAACGCCGAAGCCCAGCGACTCCAAGAGAAAGGCGTAGATATTATCATAGTTTTGAGTCATTGCGGACTGAACGTGGACAGAGTCATGGCCGCGAATTGTCCCCTGGTCGATGTGATTGTCGGCGGTCATTCGCACACGCTTCTTTATACAGGTTCTGTGAAATATATGTATTAGATACAAGTCACACACTCGCACACAAATACGTACGATCGCAAGTCGCTTTATTCGAAATTGATACAAGTCGCCGATATATCGTATGTCTAAAAATTCAAAGCTTTGTTTCGCAAGATCTTCGTTGACAGATTAAGTTTTAGCGTCGTTAACTGTTGTACCGCAGGTACGCCGCCATTAGACCTAGCAGTGGACAAGTATCCCGTGGTCGTGACGCAGAAAGAGACGGAGAGAACAGTTCTCATTGTTCAAGCAGCCGCTTATACGAAGTATGTTATTCAGAGATAAGAAAATTGTGTCAAGAATATCTTCCATCGTTCATGAAGGTCAATTCTGCTATCTGGAGTCATGAGGTCGAAATGATTTGTTTGCGATGCGACCGCTCGAATATCGAAAAGTTTTATTTCAATTTCTCTGTAGAGCCTGTCGTTACGATTTCATTCGATACAAGTACACAAGCGCGCGTTTGATTTATGCGTTTCTATTTTATCTGCTTCTGACCGAAGGTACTTAGGCAATCTGACGGTATGGTTCGACGAGCAAGGCGAGGTCGTCGACTGGGATGGCAATCCGATCCTCTTGGACCGCTCCATCGAGGAAGGTAAGCTTTCAGTTCCGACTTATCCGTCAATCCGACTTGTATCGTCATTACCGAGGCAATCGATGTAGCACGTATACACCTGATATTCGAATGCTCGAATTAATTGCACCCAGACGCGGAAATTCTGAGAGCACTGGCGCCGTGGAAGAAGGAAGTGGACGCAGTGGCGCACAGAAAAATCGGCAGCAGCAAGGTACTGCTCGACAGCCGATGTCGCAACAGGGAATGCAATCTGGGAAATTTCATAACGGACGCGATGGTGGACGCGGTAAGTACGTGCTTCGCGATATTTCTATGAGAGAGCCTTGGCCAAAATTGCAATCAAATCGAATTTAAGTATCTCTTGGTCAAAACCATAGTATGAACTCCGAATCAACATGGACTCCGAATACCTTATGTTCTGTCGTCTAATAGAGTGAAGCCAACATCTAGAAAGAGAACAAGAATAGAGAATATAGCTTTCTTCCTATTTTGTCACTTTTTTGTTGCGCATGCATCCATTTCTCGTTTCCATAATATTATAGAGCGCAACAACACTCCGACTAGACTGGTAAATAAAAGTCTTACTTAAATCTTATTGCACACTTTGTCTGTGCAGAAAGAGACAGAGAACAGAGGGGCTGTACATATTGGCTTCTCTTTTCTGTATGCGGAGTCTATGTATGTTATGTCTATGGTCAAAACTAAGAGACGACTGAATTGAGAATGGCGTATCGATTTCAGTACGTCGACGCTATCGATGACGAAAGGTACTGGACGTATGCAGCAGTGGCCTGTACGAATGCAGGAGGAATTCGGAATGATATCGAGCGAACTGAAATCACCTACGGCAGTTTGATAATGGTCCAGCCTTTTGAGAACACGTGGGATACTCTCGAGTTGACCGGAAAGACTATCAGGAAGGTCAGTCTAGATTCTTCGTCGTAACATTATCCTACTTGACACTCTTTGTAAAGTGATTGACAGATTTGGTCGTAATTGATTTCGACGCGACGCAAACCGGATTCTCTCGCTCTGATTCGTGCTAAGCTGTAAAATAATATAGCGTCGTAAACAGGCGCGCCGTAAAGTAGCGCCGTGTAGAACGACGCGTGAACGTAAGCGTGCATCAACGGTGGCCTCTCCACGGGGACGCGATGGAAATTGAAGAAGGAAATCGAGCCGCGAATTAAGTTTCATTTTCCCCCGTAGATCCTGGTAACGGGAGGCACTCTGGTCTGGTCTGGGTTAAAAATCACTTACAGCATGTGTGACGGAGAACGGACTGTGGAGAATGTAAAAATCAGGTAATAATTTTTATTTTCCTGGGACTCTTTCTTCCAATTTTTTCCTTTCTTCGAAAAGGAAAGGAGAAACTTCTTTCCCCTTTCCTTTTCGAGCTCTCTCCACGTTGATTGAATTGGAGTACAAATCATATTCGTTTCACATCTCGGCTCTTACAGTAGCTTTGAGTTGAGAGTTGCTGACGATTTTAATTTGTTCGAACGTATCGACAGGTGCCAAGCTTGTGAATATCCGGTGTTCGAGAATATGATGGACAATCAGTGGTACAGAGTAGTGGTACCGTCTTACTTGGTCACCGGCGGAGATAACTTTATCTTGTTCAAAAACAGTAGTTGCAATCACAAAGTTGGGTTACTCGATATGGATTATCTAGAAAAGTATGTGAAGAAGATGAGTCCCATAATCGCGGGGACTGACCGGCGGATGATTATTCAGAAATCCAGAAATTTCTGAGTTGTTAGATTAACTTCTGTGTACCGGTAAAATTGTATTCGGAGAGAGAGAAAGAGATAAAGACTTAGGACCTAGGAAATATATTATCGACCTATTATGACCTATAATGAAAATGCATTTATATTTTGTTGATTGACACTTTGTATGGTGATATACTTATCTCCGTGCAAATAAAGTACTTAATTTTTGTATAACCGAATAAAACCTTTCTCGTTGCAATTTTCCCCGACGTCCTTGATTATTTCTCGAACAATTGTCGAGAAGCTCGGTGAATAAAGAGCCAGACATACGTCTACGAAGAAGAAACGTTGACAAAGAACTTCTCTCGGAGTCTTGCGTGATAGCCGTAAGAAAGCAGGAAACGTCGACCGCTTATCTCGCGGTATCTCGAGATCAGGGCAGATGAAGCATTTAAATAATGTATCGAACAGGTGAAATAGCAGCTGTTCGTCCGTGTTCCTGCCCTCGACCAGAACGCGCGAACTGCTTTGTAGCGCCGGCATGGAACGCTCGTTTTTAGTGGCGAAGGCAGGAAAAAAGAGCCGCTGCCTGCCGATTAAAGTAAAATGTACATTTATTACATTATGTATATTTATAATATCTCCTAATACACATAATTTTCTACAACATACGCTTTATATGCACGTGACACATATATACATACCTTTTATTTTCTACTCTCTTAAGGATGTATCTGAAATACAATCGGTGACAAAAGTGCTTGAAAAACGAAAAATTTGAATATCTGCTTCAAACGTGTTGTAAACCTAGTGACAAGTGATATAAATAGTGGCTAACATAATATATTTCTTATTTAAAAAGTTATTTTTTACTTTCTCAACAGTTTATTATTTTTATTTGCTTTTCTTCACCTTTCTATAATAAAACTTTTGGCAGGGAAAATGCCCTGAATTCAACTTTAGAACTTTAAATTTCGTATTTATTTAACATCAATATCCATCAGTGCAAAGGAGAAAAAGTAATTGGGATAAGTTAAAACAGATAAATATGCATTGTCTGAACAATAACTATCAATATTATTTATTGTTATTATAAATATTTAATGAAAAAAGTTAAACGTAGCAACAGCGTGCCATGTAGTTTGTGACTTATATGTTGGCAGTAATGCACTGTCCTGGCAGGTTAGATGAAACAATAAAAGCCTCAAATTTTACACTTATCCTATTGTTCATCGAAATTATTTAATTTATATTCTTGTCCTCTGCATGAAACAATGCAGACAAAACAAGAATTTACGACGTAACTTTATTATACTGATTTATAGGTTATTCATTTGACATTAGCTGATTGCAATGTTACCGCATTTCCAGTTACTAACTTCTTATGACAATCGCAAAATTGTCACAAATAAAAATTAATTTCTCTGAAACCGTGTTGTGAAAACTAATCAAATTCCGCAAATAGTTCCGATAATTCAGGATTTATATGTATAAAAATACTTAAATTTTTGGTACTATTTTTTCTATACGTTTTTACTCTTCACATTCAGGAAAGTTGCTTTTGTCATAAGAACACGTGTAAAATTAACATAATAATTACTCTTCAACGGTTTAGTGAATCGACTTGAAATTTTTTTCAGTATATTATAGATAATTAAGGAAAAGTTACCCAAAGTTTTATCAAATAGGTACTATTTTTATATAGCTCAGATACGTCCTTAAAGTGAATCAGTGAATAGTCACTGATATCAGTTATGCGTATAGCATTGAGAGCTTTCAGTGTCATACTTATAACTGCAATCAATGTATGTTCACTGTTTTCGGTGATGTTTGACTGATTCATTTTGAGAGAGTATACTCTCTTAAAGTGAATAAGTGAATAGTCACTGATATCAATTATAAGTATAGCACTGAGCACTTTCAGTGCAACACTTATAACTGCAAATCAGTGTATATTCACTGTTTTCAGTGATGTTTCATTGTTTTCAGTGATATTTCACTGATTCGTTTTAAGAAAGTACTATATCTTACGATATATTTCGCGCGATATAATGTTACATATATTACGATATAATGTTACATATGTTACATATATTACGTTATAATTTTTTGTGTATTTGTTAAAATCAATCGGTTAGAATATTTTTCGTAACAGTGGCGTGCTCTCTTGCGACGAGTCTCTTCGGGGCCTGACGACACCTTCCCAACAGGTGCAAGCTCGAATTCGCCGGTGTGCGCTGAGCGCCAAGCGACGCGGACCAAGCGCAACGCTTTCTGGCAATTAACGTTCATTACGCTGCGCGTAGCATTGATAATGTTCGAGTCGATCTGCATATCTCCGGCGATTTACATAACACGGGGACGTGCGCGAGCCGGAGCGTAAATACGCGCTATCGATGATGCCGCAAGGTGAGAAGAGCTACGATATAGTCGGAGATGCTGAGGTTTCCTGCTGGACGATAACGATGCTTCGGTGCAATTTGCGATGGAAAATTATCGGCAGTATCATGTTAACGTTGCAACAGTGTGAAATTTGCCAAATTGGAAACGCGCGAGCGGCGGCTAAATAAATCTCACAGTTTCCCTCTTAATCGCACTACCTTAAGAGGAAGAAGAGGAAGAAAACACGCGGAGGATGATAATATCCAAAGAAGATACTCCAAATTGCCTCAACTTGGTCTTCTCAGACGTGCTTCTTCGTGCTATTCGCGATTAAGGCGAAATATATGCGGTCGAGAAGGTGAGGAAGGTGGAGGGAGACAAAGAGAGACAAAGTACGGGGAATACGCAGCTGGAAACTAATAGACCTATTTTCTCGCGCGAAACTACTCGAGAAGTGTTTCTTGTCAGGATGAGAGGTACTCGAGCAGGTTCGTCGGTCAATTACGAGGATTATCCCTTACTGCCGACGATTGCACCACTTGCCGGACGTTTCGCGAACGTCGCGGTCGCGGAGCGTCGCGACGACAATGAGACCGCGGCGAGGAAGCGGTGGCAGGACGTCTGGAGAGGAAGTCCGCGAGGAGAGGGACCCGGAGGCAGCTGTTCCGAAGCCAAGTCGTACGACCGCGATTGCAGGAGAGAGCGAGAGAGAGGAGAGAGGCGCGTGGACCAGCCGGGATGAACGAAGTGCGTGAATGAAAGTTGGACGGAGAAAAGACATGTCGAGATCGCAGTGCCGTTTCGCAGTGGCGGCTAAAGAGGAGACCATTGATTGGTAAGGCGGTTTAATTAATGTCTCGCCGATTAATTAATTCCACCCTCTGACATGTGGTTTATAGTATACCGCGTATGATTAACGTGTAATAAATAAAATTGGCAGTTTCCCCCCTGATCATACTATTCGTGAGGAAAAGAAGAAATCAGGAGAATATTTTACGTCTCAAAGAAAGGACAGTGCGTGCATCAAAATCAGTTTCTCTCCCGATCATATTATTGTGAGAAAAAGAAGAAACCAGGAGGATGCGTTTCTCAAAGAGAGGACTGTGAGTGGATCAAAATGTAGAAACATGTGCTTCATTCAGCAAGAATCTACATTTGGCTGCCAATCAACTACTGCCATTTTCTTCGAACAATCGAAATGATAATAAAAACCAAAATGGAGCTCCGGAAACCTAAAAGAGAATGAAAGCAAAGAAATCGTCGTTATTCGTTTCTACTACTAAGTTGTTATTCGTTTCTACTACTAAGTCAGTTGTAGTATATCGGAGACATAATGAAAATAAGAAAATTGTTCCTTTTATCGCTCTTTTTATCAACGTAATAATTAACAAACGCATCAAGACGTTTGATAAAAATTTGATGTTTTCGATCGATACGATGTGACGTTAAAGAGCCAACAGCGAAGGCGTCAAACGACAGATGGGCAAGGCTGAAAATTCGAAAATTATTCGTAAGAGGCAGTGCTGGAGTGTGCCGGCCCTGTGCACTTGGTTATCGTGCAAGTGCGACGGAATAGGGACATGCGGCCGTGCACCGTGGAGAAACGGGGAGAGAACGATCGGGAAAGAGAGGCCGAAGGCAGCAGGCCGAGAGACAGCGCGAGTGCGCGCCGGCGACTATCATGGAGGCAGGTCTGCCTTCTGGCAGGAGGGTCTCGACCTACACACTCGGCGTTACCTGCCAGCGCGCGCACGGCGGCGGCGGCAGTGTCTCCGAAGTCGCGCACTCCGATGGATCGCGGAGTCCTGAGCTGCTGCGCGTGCTGAGGGGCCGCGGCGAGGTCGCTTCCAACTCACGGCGACGACGAAGAGTATCGAGCTGCACACGGCAGATATATACGAGAAAACTGGCGAGACTCGCGACTCAGGTTAGGTCGTCGCCAAGTGCGGCGCGTGTATCGCGCATCGTGTCCAGGGATTCGCGAACGTCAGTTTACATCCGCGAGGTAAGCGCGTGATTCGTGAGATTTGCGTACATATTCGCGGTCAGCCATACACTCTCGAGAATCGCGACGACGACAACGACGACGACGACGACGACGACGACGAGAGTGCGGGAGGCGGAGGCGGAGAGGCGCAAGCGGCCCCCAGGAGAGCGACACGTCGCGATACGATCGATCCGTCAAAAGCCGTGCAGCAGCAGCAGCAGAAGCAGCAGTAGCAGCACGCAGCAGCAACCCGAACAGCGAACTCGTGAGATCGCCTGCCCATTGGCGATGGAAGAAATGTGCTCGTGACGTCACGGAATTCCTCGGTGCTGCTGGAAGCGACCGCGAGCACTTGTCATCGTGCCTTGTTCACGCGTAGCTGGCATCGTGAGATCTTTTTCTGTCTCTCCTTCTCTCTCCCTCTCTCTTTATCTATCTCCCAATAGGAGAGGAGAGATAAGAGAGCGAGTAAACGAACGGGAGAGAAAGAAAGGAAAATCTCCACACATTGGAGAAACGGAGGAGGAAGAAAGGAAGTAGAGGGAGGCGAAGTAAAGAAGATAGATACATATATTGATAGATAGATAGACACATACGAAGAAAGAGGAGAGTCGAGAAGGAGAAAAGGAGGAGAACGTATCGTGGGCGTTGAGTGATTGTTGTCGGTGCTAGTTTCCATCGAGAGTCATGAGGGACACGAGCGATATGATGGAGGACGCCCTGTCGGAGGTACGTAACAGCGGATAAATTGGAGAAACGCCATGAATTCGCATTTTCGCGGCCTCTCCAGGTTGGCAAAGTCGTTTGCGTTTCCGCGTCGCCTTAACCTCTCGAACCCGCGAGCCAAATAGCGTACCGGAGCGTTTATCATTCATGCGAGATCATTCCGTGCGAAAAAGGTGATGCTATTGGCGACGCGGATATGGATGTTCGCATGCTTGTGAGTTCTCCGGTCAACAATAGTCTGCAATGAAGTGCCTCCTTGAAAAACGTTTCCAGGTATCCGATTGCGATAATGCTAAACAGGTATTCAACGGTGGAAACGCAATGACAAAGCGAAATCGCGAATATAGAGGGTCTCCGTGAAATTTAATGAGCGAGCAGAAATTTGCACTACCGCTGCTCTATACTTAGTGAAGCACGCTCGAGATACAATTTGGCGATATTGGCACGTATTCTATGTTTACATTGGTGTGACTGACCAACACAATCAGCACACACTTACGATACCTCCATATACGAGTCTCGTAACGTGTGCGTGTTGTTGTCGTTTCTGTTATTGAAAGTTGAGTCGCCGCGCTAACGCTCTCGTAATAGTAGTAGCAGCAGCAACAGTAGTAGTATTCGTAATACGTTTTTCCTATCCGACAAAATTCCAATCCGTCGTCTATCGTTGATAGTCATCTGTATTTATACGATTGCACCGCGGAATGCATCGCGAGAGGCTGCAGCGACGCGTTCCGCTGCCAAAGCGCACCTGCTCGAAATCGATTGCGAAGGGGCGAATCGGTTTTTTGCACGTTCCCCGAGTGGCACGCTCGCTCGTTTTCGGCGCGCGCGATTGCGAAACCAACGTTATATTATTTTTTCTTGTTTTCCTGTCTTTTCTTTGTTTGCAATATAACGCAATATAACGCACAAGAGAGAGAGAGAGAGAGAGGGAATAAGAAATCATTGGATATAGTAATCGTTTTCTGTCACATTCAGTGTTGCTTTTCCGGTCGCTTTTCCCGTCCTCCATAACCATTACAGCGAGATACTCGAGTTCTATGGAGACGGCGACAAACGCGTAAATTCCCTGTACGGTGATTTAAATCTCCATTTAGAGCGAAAAGCGCTCTCTCTCTCTCTCTCTCTCTCTCTCTCTCATCCGCTGCGCGAGTAATTCTGATTCCATCCGCGCGATATACGCGATTTATGCGGCGCGGGGAGCAAGAGAGGATTACACAGGCAGCCTTTTCTTTCGCGCTTTTCCCACCCGCTTTTCTCTCCTTCCTCTCTCTCTCTCTCCCCCCTCTCTCTCTCTCGGCCGCTTCGCCCCGCAGCCGGTGTATTATTAACGGTAAAAGGGGCGCATCGATTTACGCGCGCCCGTTATTACCCGCTTTTCACGCGAGACTGTGGAATTACATCGATCCCTGAGAGTCACTATCTTCATCGCGTTGTTTGCCTTGCCTCCCCTTCATTGTCCGTCGTCCCCGCAGTGCGATACGCATCCGATAACAGTAATTTCCTGTTTACGAATCTTAGATTTTAAGCTGGCCGTCGTGGCAAACGTCTATTTACTCATTTATCTCTCGACTTCGATCTTCTCGCGTCGCGTTATCGCCGCGAGTTTTCTCGCTTAATATTCTATCAGGATTCGCAGCGTCGGGTTGGGGGAAGGGGGAGGGAGAGGGCACCGGCGAGGGCGGACTGAGGACAGAATTAGAATTTCAAATCGAATCCCATCGCGCGGGGGATGCGCCCTTTCTGCAGTTAACTGCATTTCCGACGTTCGCGCTTCTCGGAACTTCGAGGGAAAGAAATACCCTTCGTCGAAGTGCAATCTCGCATAAAACGCGGGAGTCGCCGACGCTTCTTCGTCCGTTTCTTCGCGGTTTCGACATTTGTATTTATTGCACGAACGCGGTAGCCGCTTGAATTCGCTCCGACGTATCGCCGAAACTGATCATTCTCGAAGTTGGCTGAACACTTTAATTCTTCCCGCTCGCGACGTTTCCCGACCCAAAAACTGGTTCGAATTCAATTTGTGGCCTTCTCAATTTGTCGCGGAAAGTACACGAATGGGAACACACAAGTAAGACTTCATTTTCGCGGATTCTGATGGATCATGAAGGTGGTATTGCGTTATTTATGATTAACGAGATATATCAATGAGATATAAATATGTATATACACATTTAAATATCTGTAACAAAAATGACCAAAACGATAAGATTGTCCAGGGTTTAGTTACGTGTCCAGGCATTGGCACTTTTGCCTTACCTTTATTCGCGACAATGGAAACGCGTGATTCGCATTCGATAAATGTTCCTCCGTGCTATACGTTCTTCGTTCACAATTTTATTTCAGCAGATATCGCAGAGAAATTCTCCTTCTCTCTTGGATATGCCATCGTAGTAGTCGAGGGTGTAAGCTCGCTGAACAAATGCCGCTCGCGTCCTCGTCGAAATAAGCGATTCATTCTCTGCCTCCCTTAAATCTCGCGCGCGCGCGCGCGCGCGCACCGTCGATTTTCCTCGGCGGAATTCCCCATGTTCTCAGGGCCGGCAGTTTGCAAACGGTGACTCGCGGTGCTTCTTGAATTCGGAATACAGGCCGCATTATCCGCGGCACCTCGCCTGCTCTAATGTCCGCCTGGTAACCAGCACGAGAAGACTGAGCCGAAGTGGTCAAACGTGTCCCTTCGGTACGACGTGTTACGTGCCGTACTTGTGCGCCTTCGCCTTGCATTCTCCCTTCGTTCTATTTATATCCCCACGTCACGATAAAAACACGGCTGCCATGAAGAGAAAGAGAGTGAGAAAGAGAGAGAGAGAAAGAGAGGGAGAGAGAGGGAGAGAGAGAGAGAGAGAGAGAAACAGGGAAAGAATCCTTGTGGTCTTCGTCCTGCGGGACACGAGGATACGGTCGCTCTGTGAACGCAGTCCCGAAATCTATCGAGCTGACCGGTCCGCGGGAAAATTTATCGTCTGTCGATTTATCGAAATTTATCGCGACCGTTCGCGATTTCCAGTCGACGAGTTCCGTCTACTCGAGCGGCAACGACCATGGTGATTTAATTTGTGTCTTCTGGTATCCACTCTCCTTTCGTAAACGTTTAATTTTCACGCGGCTCTCTCGCTTTATCGCCTCCCGATATCTCCGAAGTGTATTTTGGCGAAACCTTGTTACGGATTTTTGCGGGCGCTGCGGATGGCTCGTACTTCGTCCTGATCTTCGTCTTATCTGCGGCGGCATGTAAATCGCGTATCGCAAGCTCGTTTGCGATCGTTGCTTGATTTTGCGCCGCGCATTCCCCTCGTCCCTCGATTATATTATTTTCGACGCGTTTTAATTAGGCGAGCCGCGCGTGAGAGACGCTCCACCTCGGCGAAGCTGTCGCCGGCAAGAATAAAAATAAACGGCGAAATGCTGTTTACTACGCCAGCTCGACTCGATTCGCGTGCGCTCTCTCGAGGGACGAAGCGCGGACGAGCAGAACAGAAGTCACATTTCTACATGGAAGGGCGGTGCTGAAGGACGTGCTGGCCACGAATTTGCATTGATCAATTTGCCTAATTGAACCGCGGCGACTCCGCTTATTATTCCGCCCGAATGAAAAATGCGTCAGGCACGATCGATCATTCGACTCGCGATCCGCAGTCCCCCTTCTGATTATCTTTCGTCAATGATTAAGAATGAAATTATACGTCAATTACAACCATTAATTAGACGTAAGGGATCACGAACTCTATTCAGAGACGTCGTGTTGTGTGCAAAACGAAGTTTATCACACATTAATCAATTGAAATTTCCTTTTACTAAAATAATCAGCAAGCCAATAATCGAAATTAATGAATCGTCGTACATGAAATCACAAATAATTTCACTGATTTGCGAAATTAATTGTTAACCTATGATTAATTGGTAAACATGAAATTAAATATAAGTTAAGTATATATTTAATCAGATCAAAATTTGTTTATGACAAACCCATGACAATATTTCTGATTTTACATATGACGATTGATCAATTTTGATCATTAATTCGCCGATTATTTTAGTCAAAGAAAATCGTCACTGATTATGTTCGACTCTGTAAGACAAATATTGAGTTTCTCAGGTCTCGGTAGATAAGTTTAATAGAGAGAAATGCAATACAAAGATGTAGAGTAAAATAGTCCAGATTAGAAGAGAGAAACGACTCTAACGCGACGTCCAAGTAAGGTAAAAGTACCAATGTCCGGACACATATCTAATCTTGTGCACACAGAGAAACGCATTTTAATAAATAATGTCACTTATCTCAAGTATTTTATAAGTTTATATATCCGCAAATTTATCATAAGTTTTCGTCACTAATATTTTATTAACTTTATTCAAAATATATCTTGAAACTTAGCAAGTGTTTAGCATTTCAATTAAGAATATTAAATTAAAATAAAAATTCGGCTGTATGTGTGAGTTTATTGCATAGAGCCAAACCAACTTTTTCTTGAACAGAATTTTATGATATTCTGATGAAGAGAATAAATTTTTCTTTCGAACTCTTGTATGTGATAATAAGCTTTTGTCAAATTTCTGTTGAGCATATCTTAGGATTATTATAAAAAAAATATTGTTTGTTGAAAGTAGTCATTACTTAAAAGAAGGAAAATGACTGAGTAACCGCTTTTCTTAGCAATGATATTATTTCATGTATAGATATTTTTATGGTTCGCCTTTATGGTTTCGTCTTTAGACACGAATATTTAAACTTTCAACATAGAGAATATATGTCGAATATGTACACATATCCTATGTTGGCAGTTTAAATATTCGTATTTAAAGATCAAGACAACAAGAATGTCCAAGAGATTAGGTATTTACGCGTATTCGGGAATCGGCACTTTTATTTAAATACAGTCAATTGCGGTTCTTCATATGTTAATTCCTAGCGTTCGAATTTCGCGAATATGCAACGCTTCTCAAATATTTCTCGCGGCGATGCTCCGGTAACGTATCGCCGTGCTCGTAGATTGTAC